TTTGTGCATGGGTCTTTTTTCCGTCCTTCGATGGATCCATCAATTCTTCTCTCCCTAAAAATAAACATTACCAGAGGGGTAGGTTAATATTCCCGCAGTCATCTCTGCCATCTCTGCCTCCTCGGTTAGATAACTTTTCCCGGTTCAGATAATGAGGGGAAGACTGCACCATGTAAGATTCCGTGGCCTCTGCTGGAACCACCGCCAAGAAGGTAAAACCCCGACCGTAAATGTCACTACTAGCATCTATCTCATCGTCGACTCTATAAGAAACACCACGTTTCATTCCCAGAAGGGACCCAACAACGAAGTGGATAGTGTCAGATTCAACGGATCCACTCCTCCCACTACAACGGATCCCATCCCCTAAAGAAGCAGCTACGCCGCATCCCCGATCCATTCTTTGGCCTCGCCTTCATTGCTCTTCGCGATCGGGCCAATCGGAGTCTCTCGGATGGGGTGGTTTTCCAATGGAAGTGAATGAATTGCCCCCTATCCCTATGCCCAGATACTACTACGTAGTAGCTAGTAATCCTAAATCGCCCTTTCCCAGGGCCATGGCGAGCCTCAACTTTCCTTCCACACCATTCATGGTCCAATCTCGTGTAAATTGACACTGTCGATCGTATTCAGCTGCCTGATGCCTCGTCAGCTGGTGTCTTTGACCTCCATTTTGTGATTCCCTTAGTCGCAACTGAATTGACACTCTGGTAGTAACACACCACATAAAAAGATCCGGTGTTCTCCCCGCTTGACCAGGACCGTTCACCCTTATCACTCATATCATCACATACTACGCACAGACTTGAAACTAGCAATCATGTCGGCTTCCAACAAGGTCCGTGTCGCTGTCACCCAACACGAACCCGTCTGGTTGGATCTGCACGCCACCGTGGATAAAACCTGCCGTTTGATCGCCGAGGCGGCGGGCAATGGCGCCCAGCTAATCGCTTTCCCCGAATGTTGGCTTCCGGGGTATCCAGCATGGATCTGGTTAGCATGATCCTTAATCCGAAAGTTACTTCGCGACCGTATATGTACTAATCATTAGGCAGGTGCCGCCCCGTCGACATGGGCCTGTTCACCACTTACCTCAAGAATTCCCTGTCGTATGACTCGGAGCACATGCGCCGCATCTGCAATGCCGCTGCCCAGTACAAGATCACCGTCGTCCTGGGTTTCTCGGAGCGCGATGGCAACTCCCTCTACATCGGCCAGTGCACGATCGATTCCACGGGCAAGATCGTGATGCGTCGGCGCAAGATGAAGCCCACTCACATGGAACGCACCGTGTTCGGCGAATCTTCCGGGCGGAGTCTCCTGAACGTCGTCGATCTGCCAATTGGTAAAGTGGGTGCCCTCTCGTGCTGGGAACACATCCAACCATTGCTCAAATATCACACCATGATTCAAGGGGAGGAAATCCATGTCTCCGCCTGGCCAGTTCTACATCCCCATATGGGGGGCGACTCACTGTGGGGCATGTCGCAGGAAGGTAAGTTTCCATCTATAATCAGCAAGATCTACCGCGGAAAGTTGACATATGTTTCAGGTGGAATGGGTGCATCGCAGGTATATGCGCTCGAGTCGGCGTCATTCGTTTTGCTCGCGACCGCAGTGCTGGGTCCCAGCTGCGTGGAGAAGATGAACCTGTCTCCTCCGTGGGATACCCTGGGAGGAGGCGCGTCGGCCGTCATCGCCCCGGATGGTCGCCGGCTGACGGAGCCATTGCCCCCTAATGAGGAAGGATTCATCTACGCAGATGTGGATCTGGATGTAATCTTGTCGTGTCGACACTTTGTGGATGCCTGTGGCCATTATAGCCGTCCCGACCTGTTGTGGCTGGGGGTCGACACGCGCGAGAAAACACCACACCGACCGGAGGGACAGGGAGACAATACCACAAGCAGTCTGGATACTAGTTCAGTTCTTGTGGAGGAGGAAAGTGCCTGATAATATCCCGCCTTTCAATGGCCTGCATCGGAGCCCGCGGACGATTCGTGCCAGATGGTGGTTCCGTCAAACACATTTCTTATTTTAGCCACCCGACCTTCTCTTGAACAAAATCAATACCAATAAAAAATATTTATTCTAAAGCCATATTCCATCTGGCGTAAATTTCCTCCAGCAACTCCGGAATTAGAAGTTACTTCGCAGACCCATCAGTGTTCTCTTCTCTGGTCGGCACCAAGTGCAGCCCGGAAGACAACCGGATAAATCTGGGGTGAGCTAACATAATGCTGCAGTCCAAATGCTAATGGTCCTGCTGATCAGGGCGCGTCTTCACCCTCTCGAGCATCTCTGATTTGTGGAAATTCACCTCTCCCTGTAATTCCGTGGCTGCACTCCTCTGTATTCCCATGCATCGTGTTTGCTTCAATGCTACTCATCCACACTCTCGGGTAAATGCACGGTTATTCTATATATTGTTCATCTCCTACTTGCGAATGATATCCCCACCCACATGCACCGATGTTCCTCCAACAATGCGTCCCTTTTACTCCGCTTTCGTAGCAGCCATTCCCTTGGTTCTCGGCAACTTCGATGCCTCCCATGTCTCTTGGTACACCACCCCGGCCAACAACTTCACCTCCACCCTCCCCATCGGTAATGGCAGACTGGGCGCCGCCATCTGGGGCACCGCGACCGAGAATGTCACCCTCAATGAGAACTCCATCTGGAGTGGTCCATTCATCAACCGCGTCAATCCCCGCTCATATGATGCCCTCTGGCCAGTTCGGTCGCTTCTGGCACAGGGGAACATGACCGAGGGGAATGATGTTACTCTAGCAAATATGGTTGGCATCCCGGATTCACCGCAGTCCTTCAGTGCCCTTGGATCGCTAGTACTAGATTTTGGACATGACCAGGCCGGGATAGGGAATTACACCAGATATCTGGATTTGAGGACTGGTGTGGCAGTGGTGGAGTATACTTATCATGAAGTGCATTATCGGTATGTTTCTATGGTGTGTTGAAGCGGGTATTGGCTGATGAAGATAGACGAGAGTATGTGGCCAGCTATCCGGATGGTGTCGTCGCTGTGCGGCTGTCATCGAGCCAGCCAGGAAGTTTGAATGTGGCTTCTTCGCTGGCTCGTGATCGATATGTCGTTTCAAATCAGGCAGCCGTCTCCAGTGATATCGGAGTGTTGACGCTGAGGGCTTACTCGAACAACGTTTCGGATCCCATACAGTTCACGACCGAGGCTAGAATTGTCTCCGATGGTAAGTAGTAAATGAAGCTATTTGTACATGATATGCCAACTTTACTAATTTGAGGAGGCCGAGCCACAAGCAATGGAGTTTCCCTCGTAGTCCGAAATGCATCGACAGTCGACATCTTCATCGACACTGAAACGTCCTATCGCTACACCACCCGAGAAACCCGGGAAGCAGAAATCAAAGACAAGCTTGAAACTGCCTCGAGATCAAGTTTTCTTACCGTTAAGCAAAATGCGATCACCGATTATTCAACTCTGGCGCAGCGAGTGGACCTGAACCTGGGCTCCTCTGGCTCAGCGGGCAACCTGCCCACCGACACTCGATTGGTAAGCTATCGCACTGATCCTGACAGCGATCCTGAGCTAGCTGTCCTCATGTTCCACTTTGGCCGGCACTCGTTGATCGCCTCGTCGCGCGCTACCGAGTCACCGGCCCTACCGGCCAATCTACAGGGTCTATGGAACCAGGACTTCGATCCCGCTTGGGGTGGGCGATTCACCATCGACATTAATCTTGAGATGAACTACTGGCCGGCAGAGGTCACCAATTTGGCTGACACATTTTCGCCGTTCATTGATCTGCTGGACATCGTGCATGGCCGAGGGCTGGATGTAGCTGAAAGCATGTACCACTGCAGCAACGGCGGGTATGTCCTTCACCACAACACCGACCTCTGGGGCGATGCTGCTCCCGTCGATAATGGGACCACCTGGACGATGTGGCCGATGGGCGGGGCATGGCTGTCGGCTAATCTGATTGAGCACTATCGATTCACACGGGATGAGACTATTCTCCGGGACCGCATCTGGCCACTCTTACAGAGTGCTGCGAGGTTCTACTATTGTTATCTCTTCCCTTTTAAGGGCTACTATAGTACCGGACCATCACTGTCGCCGGAGGCCTCCTATATCGTGCCAGATGATATGACCACAGCGGGCAACGAAGAGGGCATAGACATTGCTCCCACAATGGACAATTCCCTGCTCCATGAGCTCTTCCAGGCTGTCATTGAAACATGCGACGTGCTGGGAATCAACAACACTGACTGCACCACCGCTGCAAAGTATCTCTCGAAGATCAAACCACCACAGATCGGCTCCTCCGGTCGGATCCTAGAATGGCGACTGGACTACGAAGAATCCGACCCCGGCCATCGACACATGAGTCCGATCGTCGGTCTGTTCCCTGGCGATCAACTGGCCCCGCTCGACAACGAAACGCTCGCCACGGCCGCCAAAGCGTTCCTGGATTGGCGCATTGCGCACGGCAGCGGAAGCACCGGCTGGTCGCGCACCTGGACGATGAATCTGTATGCCCGGCTATTTGATGGCGACCAGGTCTGGAACCATACGCAGATCTATCTGCAAACGTTTCCCAGTCCGAACTTGTGGAACACGGATTCCGGCCCGGATACTGTGTTCCAAATTGATGGGAACTTCGGGTTTACCTCCGGAATTGCGGAGATGTTGCTGCAGAGCTACAAAGTTGTACATTTGCTGCCGGCGCTTCCGGCCGCTGTGCCGACAGGACATGTCTCCGGTTTGGTGGCTAGAGGGAACTTTATCGTTGATATGGCATGGTTGGGGGGTGTCCTGACGGGGGCGAATATCACCTCGCAGAGTGGCAGCACGTTAGATATTCGTGTCCAGGATGGATTGGATTTTACCGTCAACGGAGAAAGATATGCAGGAGGTATACAGACAGATGCTGGAAAGGTGTACACGGTTGTACCTGCCTAGTATATACACAATTTGTTCTATATACATACACATTTCTCCTCAAGTACAGCTGACCTACTGCCGTACCCCCAACCCAAACATCCTGACACTATTCTCCCACGCTGCATCCGCCACCTCCTGCACTGATACCCTTTTCACCCCCGCAACCACCATCGCTACCCTCTCCATGAAACAGCTCTCGTTACGGTTCTTTACCATCTGCCCCGAGATAAACTTGTTGTGCTTCCTCACCGATGGCATTTCCCTCGCCTTCTCCAAGAATGGCGCAATCTTCTCATCCCCACTCAACACCTCGCACCACGGCGCATCCGTCTCCAACTGCAACTTCTCCAGAGGAATCGCCTTCACCATTTCCAATTGCTCCTCCGTTCGGAAACATACCCCGTTCACACTGACATTCAATCCCAGCTCATCGGTTAATTGCCGCATCTCGCTCACAGATCCAGTAAACGAGTGGACCAGTCCGCCCTTAGGTAGCCGGGGTAGATACGGACGGATAATCTCGATGAAATCGGCACAGGATTCCCGAACGTGCAGGAACAACGGGAGTTGGAATTCCACTGCTAGATCGAGTTGATCCTTGAATGCTCGAGCTTGCGTCTCCTTGTCGGCGCGGTCGAGGTACTCGTAGTCCAGACCGATTTCGCCGAATGCTACGAGCGGCGAATTCTCCTCGCGGAGGAGGGATTGGCCTAGTTCGCGGATCTGGGAGAGATAGGATGGTTCACTGGTGGAGGCGTAGATCTCTCCTGCGTGGTACGGGTGCACGCCTAGTGTTAGGGTGCATGTTTCTGGGTGTTGACGGACGAGTTCCAGGTTGCGGTGGAATCCTTCCAGGTTCATAGTCGTTAACATCATCTTTTCGCAGTTGTAGGCTTTGGCTCGCTGGATGACTTCCCCAAAGTCGCAGGGGTGGTATTGTTTGCCCCGGTAGATGCCTTGGAACTGGTCGGCCGTGTAGGTTACCGCTACCTATTTACTTGTCAGTGGGGATGAAGGGCAATGTTATGTTCTGGTTGGGCTTACATCGGCGAAGCGGAGGGGCTTTGTGTCTGTGGCCATTGTTGAGGGACTGGCTGTCCGATATTGCTTGATTGGCGGCCTTGAGGTGTATATAATGTGGAGTAAATAGCGTACTTCTATGATTCTAATCTTTGAACTAGGATATCTGGGTGTCAAAGGGTAAGTGTGGAGAGTGGCGCTGCCTGCAGCTTGTCTGGGGTAAGGCGTGAAAATTTTCTTGTGAGATGCTTGGCGCATCCGACGATCTCCAACATGATGCTTCACGCAGCCACCCCTTCCTCTACAGAGTAGACACCTTTCATATGCAATCAAGAGTCTTTGGGCATGCTTTTCGCGAAGTTTAGGTGTTCTTGGCGTGTATTTAAGAGGCAATAGTCAATTTGCTAACCAAATACATATCTTTGCGGGAACACACCTGTTGATGCCGCAGTGGGGTTTAGTGACAACACAATAAATTCATAATGCAAGGTAACTGCTAATACTAAGATATTATAAAGTTCATTCTAGCGAGCAGACGGAAGTAATGTATGTACAACTGTCTAATACGTCTAGTGCGTACTTGACTCCCATATCATATTTCCAAGACCCTTTCCTTCCAAGCTTTACGAGGTGGCCAATTGAGTAAGTGGTTGAAGTCTAGACGCCGAGCTCGTAGGTCAACACCAGATCAGCAATGATCATGCAATAAGTCTAATGTGAAGCAAGTAGCTCTCCTGAGCTTTGCACCTCGTTATGCGAAAACAATATGCCCATGAATTTGACCATCTCGGCAGCTGCAATCGTCAGACTTTCGTTCTCATCACATTGGGATAAACTCACCGGTAATGCGCCTGACGGTCGTGTCATTCTCATCGACTCCATTGATGCGTGTATATTCCAGGACCAGGTCGACACGCGATCGTCTTGCTTTCTCGTACAGGGCCAGCCGAGCCGGAATCTCGTGGACTTGGGTTCCAGCTGGGAGCAGCACCGCTAGGGATACCGCATCTTCGATGGCCATGGCACCTCCTTGACCCATGTCTGTTATCGTTAGTTTATGCGATGACCCTAATAAGATAGGGCACATACAAGGCTGGAATGGGTGCGCTGCGTCGCCCAGTAAAGCAGAGCATCCTCTCACCCACGATGGGAGAGACTTCATATCGTACAGCTCCCAGACCTTGAGATTCTCGTCCGCTGCGTGGACGAGCTCCCTGACTTCCGGGCTGAACTCGGAGAATCCAGCAATAAGGGCATTCCTGTTCCCGACCGCTTGCCAGCCTACAGTGACCGTTAACGACAATGCTCAACCTGATAAATCGGCAAAGGGCATACCTTCAGCGGCATCACCGGCTTCGGCAGTGGGAAGGAAACCACACATATTGAACATTGTATTATCAGAGCAGGGATAGGCCACGAGTCGGCGATCATCACCAGCCCATTCGACGAACACTCCGGGATCGCGCACAATTTCCTGAGTGGCAGGGAGATGGCGCAGCTTCTCTGTCGGGAGAATCCATCGGAAACACGACTTGCCAGCCGGGAATGGAGGAGGGGGTGTCTGTCCGATCACCTCACGGACGACGGACTATATGTGGTGAGTAGACACTCAATGATTAACAAGTGGGAGTGCTTACATGCAGACCGTCAGCCCCAAGAAGAAGATCTGCTTCATATCTCTCGCCATTGTCGAGAGTCACGGAAGGGCGCGGACTGTCAACATTAATGTTGACGATCTTGCAGCCCATGTGGAGAGTGGCTGTCCGGATGGCGCACAGCTTGAGGTAATTGTGGAGGTCGACTCGATGGACCAGATACCATTCCTTATTTGTTAGTGAGGGTTTGTCCTAAGGCTTGTATGGGTGACATACTGCTTGCCATTTCTGTCGGATTTCAGCAAAGTCTTTCAGGTACTTCAAGTTTCCGAATTGGTCATATCGGTGAATCTATAACCGTCAGTAGCTGTGCAGATATCAGGCACTGCCAGGTATACCTGTTCCAACAAGGTGCCACCAAAGTCTTTGGGGTCAATGCCCAGCCAGTTCAACAGAGCAGTGCAATTGGGAGGCACATGGATGGCGGCGCCCGTCTCCCGGGCGAACTTGGATTTTTCGATAATCTGCAGCCCTCAGTATGTGCTTTGAGAGTCGATGCATATATAGGAGCAGTTGACGTACCACAACTTGATGACCCTGTTGGCCCAAAGCAATGGCAGCCGTCAACCCCGCAATGCCGGCACCGACGATGAGGACCTGCAGCGGTCGGAATTCCTGAGAGATGGTCATTAGGTAGATTCAATGTTTTAGTGTGGTGCTTAATTCCTGGTGAAAGTTGGTAGTTCCATCCCTGCTTCGTGAACAGCTTTTAATGCAGGGCGAAGATATCCACAGCAGGTCGGAGAATAAGACTCGGGAAATACCTCGGAGATACGGTATCCGGCGGAATTTGCTACTCTGTCCTATAAAGCTCAAGAGGCCAAAAAGAACCTATACTCAAGAGAGTTAAATCGCTCGTTCCATGGTTGCTCCACCGGGCCGCCGATCTTTCCTTGATCCCGCAGTGAATCCATGGATCCGTCGCTGTCCAAAGTAATGCCCCCGCCACGCGGCTCATTCTTTTTCCTGCCACAGGGACCCTCTGGGGTGGACTGATCCAGTGCAGCGCTTCGATTGGCATTTGGATGAGAGCCAATGGCGAAATATTTTTCCAACTATGCAGTGTTTGTGCATGGAACCAGGGTGAAAGTTCCGTTGCGGGAACAGGGTCCGACCCTCGTCCTTGCTCCTCCAGATCTCACTATCGGTCCCAATTCTACAGGACAGGAAAATGTTGTCTCATCTCTTGTACTTGCCTAGAGGGTAGAATCGTTAGGCCAGCCAGTGCAACTGTCTATCATTCAGAGTAATACAGAACGGTGAAGCAGTGCTTTGCATTCCACTTTGTAGCATTTCGAATCCGCCAGCCACCGTAAAACTCGAGCATACAAAACATATCGTGAACTAAGACTTAGTATCCTCAACATGAGTCGAACCACCCCTCTCGGCATCTGCCTCCTGTGCCTTGAAATCGGTTTTATCGATCACTTCCATCTCTGCATGTGTTGCCGGGACGGTAGCATTTGGATCCTCCCGGTCCCAGCTCTTGTTCAAGCTGTTCAGCGGCATGAGCGTTAGAGTCAAAACCAAGCAGAAGATAACCTAATCGCATTACTATCAGCAAATCTCAGTTCAAAAGACACGTAGTAAACGTGTATACTTACAATTCCCACCAGGATCATTTGCGTCTTTGCATAATCCGGTGACCCGTCAGCAGTCGGGAACCGCTCTCCCAGCGACGTTTCGATCGTGGGTGCGATCGACGAGACCGCATTGCCGATGTTGTACGCCACACCAGTAAAGGCAGCTCTGATGCCCGGATGAGGGCACAACTGCTGCAACAGGTTTCCCAAGTTACCGATCGCAGCACCGTAGAAGAATTGCAAGAAGAAGGCTCCCAGAGCGAGAAGTCCCCATCTCGTGGGCAGCGTCCATAGTGGTAACCACGGAGCGATAAGCAGTCCTGCGATCGCTGCCACCCATTTGGCGCTCACTTTGTGCGAAAGGAACCCACCGACCACGCCGCCCAGGATACCTCCGATCTGCAGAATACAGGTTACCCATGTCTCTTGTAGAATGTTCAGCTTGCGTTGGCTGACGAGGAAGGTCGGGTAGAGATCCATGGTGCCGTGGCCCATGGTAGCCAGACAGGAGGTCAGACAGCAGGCGTAGATGAAGGGCTTGTAATGATAGCGTAGCACGTAGGCGAGCTTCTTATGGAACGGAAGATTTCCTCCCACAGCTGCGCGGGTGTCTTGAACCGGTCCGTTGGCGTGTTCTTCGTCTTGAGTGGCGGGAGAGGCAACGCTATAGTATGGGGTCACCGCGTGAAGAATGGCGATAGGGACTGTCAGGCCGGCGCAAAGCCAGAAAAGAGAGCGCCAACCGTAGCCATCTTTCGAAATGGTGAGTAGCGATCGAAGGAAGGGGAAACTGTAAGCTTACTCATAGCCAAATGCAAGCCCGATGCAAAGAGATAGCCGGACGAGAAGCCTTGCTGTGTGAAGCCGGCCACCACACCACGGGACTTTTCCGGCACTGCTTCCAGCACCGTCGCCATGGCCAACCCATAAGTACCACCGTAGGCAACCCCTGGGGAAGTTAGCATGACCACTGTCAACCATTTCAGTAGTCATCTGCAACACCCACCGAAGAGAAACCGGAATCCGATCAGCTGGGGAAAGGTCTGCGAGAACCCCGTGGCGACAGTGAAGCCGCACATGAGTATAAGGTCAATGAGCATGGGAATCTTCCGCCCGTACTGATCAGACAGGATACCAAAGATTACTGCTCCAACTGCACGAGACAGCATAGTAGTGGTATTGGCTTCTGACACATTGGTCTCAGCAACGTCAAGAGCTTCCGCCACGGTGCTGAGAGTAAATGGAAGGGCATAATATTGTAGAGAGCCCAGGGTCCAGCACGCCCAACAAGCCAGCCAGATTAACGCCTGGACAGGCTTCATGTGCAGCGTGGAGCCGATCTCCCTGGGGAGAGCGGCGAGGGTGGCGAGGATGTTCATGATGAAAGTGGACAGAGAACTTGAGGGAGTGGTCGAGGACAGAATCGGAACCTCCCTCGAGCGAGGCAACGTTTATACCTCAATCTGGGACACCATACTTGGCATCATCTTGGCATATGGGGAATCCTAGATGTGCGGGGGAAGAGGCAATAGAAAGGGTCTAGCAGCTGGTTGGGTTTTGACCTGGGCGAGGTGGGTTTGACATGTATCTCCCCTCATCGTTCGCCAATCGCCAGCTTCAGGCGCTCACCGAACCGGTTGCACAGTAAGATTGCGGCATAACTGTGCAGACTCCATGACGGTCGTCGAGCAGATCTAGTGATGCAAGTCGGGTGTGAAAGCTTTGACCGATCGGAAACATCTGAGCCCCCATCGGTGTTTCTGCTCTTCGCCGATATCGAGCCCTAGATGCTTGATATCAACCAACCGATTCCCCTTCGTTCTTGCTGACAGTCTCACTGTATCGCGCGATCATGACCACTGATTTGTCGCCACCACGATGTGGTCTGATTAGATGCCGATCCCCCAGTTCCCCAGTTTCCATCCACAAGGGTCAATCTAAGAAGCAGGTGTCCTGCGGGGGTCGGTTGTCCTTGCGATCCAACAGAATGGCACGACGGACAACGATAGTCCGCACGACGGCTGCGGCGCCGGTCCGGGACGGGCAGATGGAGCATCAAGCTCCAACCAATGAAGCATCCATGCGAAGTCAGCTGGTAGCAACATATATGTCGGCCGTGCATGCATATCTCGCTTGGGATAGACCATTGCTTTTTCATTCCAGCTTAGGCTGCCCAGAATCACCGCAAGTTGAGCTCGCGTCTGCCTCCAAGTTGATAAGATTTATTCCGACCATCTGTCCGGTCTAATCACTCTCCCCGCTCACTCACCATGGCCGAGCTCGTCCCAGAGAACGCGTGGGATACCCATATTCATGTCTTTGATCCCAAGAAATTCCCCTATGCCGTGCCACGCTCGTACACGCCCCAGGCCGCTCAAATGACTGAGTATCCGACGGTCATCACGGGCTGCAGGAACATCGTGATCGTTCACGCCTCCATGCAAGGGGTCTCACCGGCCCCATTAGTCGATACTCTGTCCAAGCAGCAAGAGATGCCGGGATACACTCTCCGAGGCCTGGCAACCATCGACCCCTTCACCGTCACCGATGAACAGCTGGACGCGTTACATGCCGCTGGAGTGCGCGGGGCGCGCTTGCACGAGATGGCCTGGGGCCACGGCAAACAGAGCGGTGGCAGCGACATCATCAAGAAGGTAGAAGCTCTGGCCCACCGGCTGGCCCGGTTGGGATGGGCTATTGGCATCTTCTGCCCTGTCAGTGCCTGGGCTGCCATGGCGGAGACGATCCGCAATATGGATCCTCGGATCCAGATGGTGGCTGATCATTTTGGGGGGACGTTCCCTGGGGAGGAGAACTCTGCTGAGTTTGCCACGTTCCTGGACCTGATCCGGGAAAAGCGACTCTGGGTGAAGGTCTCAGGCTTCGAGCGACTGTACCACGGTCACGAAAGTGGCATGAAGGCCATCGAGCCCATCGCGAAGGCGGTGATCCAGGCCGGTCCGGATCGCATCATCTTTGGCACGGATTGGCCTCATACGCAGTTAGGGGTGACACGCAAAGGCAAGACTGACCAGCAGCGGTTGGAAGAGGTGGAGGGATTCCGGGAGGTCGACGATGCCGGGCACATCCGGACATTGCGTGAATGGATCCCCGATGAGAAAATCTGGCAGAACCTGTGGGTCAACAACCCAGCCAGATTGTTTCAGTAGTTCATGGATTGAATTGCCCCGATGACGTCTTTTTATGTCGACACGAGAAACCATTGCGTGCTTTGCTCTTATCTCTTTATCTCCTACGAATCCGATCGCCGGATAGCTATGAAGCTTGGATGAAGTACTACTTAAACTACGTAGAATAGAGCATCTACAGTCTTCCAGGAGAGAATGGCAAGCTCTATGGCAATATTCATATGCAGAATTAATGACACTATAGAATTTAACGTACGTCCGAGCACTGATAATGAGATAAAGTCACATCTGGTTTTTAATCGCCGGATCGCCGATCCGAGCTCGCGGGGTGGAATTGCCATTAATAGCCGGACTGCGGGGACAGGCCTTTATTATAAATCCAAATTGCCAGCTTCCACATCAACCAGCACATTCCATTCATGCAATCTTCCAACCACAGAGCCACGATGTCTGATAAGTCCAATCTTCTCATGTTCGGTGCCACTGGCACCATTGGCAAGTATATCATCGAAGCGATTGTCAACGCCCGGGATTCCTTCGGTCGCATCGCTATCTTCACTAGCCCAAACACCGTCAGTAGCAAGGCCGACGAGCTCAATGCCCTGCGTCAGAAGGGAGTCGACATTTTGATTGGTGATGTTGGCAATCGTGAGGATGTGCTCAAGGCATACGCAGGTACATTACTGCCGCAATCCACCCTTCCATTACATATGCACCTCAATCTAATCGACTACACCAGGGGTGGACACCGTCATCTCCGCGCTCGGTCGCGGAGCCATCGCAGCTCAAATTCCTCTAATCCAACTGGCCAACGAAACCCCCAATATCAAGCGCTTCCTGCCTTCTGAATATGGCACGGATATTGAATACAGCCCCGACTCACAGCACGAGAAGCCCCACCAACAAAAACTGAAAGTTCGCGCAGCCCTTAGAGAGGTCCGCAGCACCCTGGAGTACGCCTACGTGGTAACTGGACCCTACGCCGATTTCCCGTTCTTCTTGGGTCGGTCCAGCAATTCCAAGGCAGGCAGTTTCGATGTGTTGGCTAAAAAGGCCGTTATCGTGGGAAATGAGCATGGCAAAATTAGCGTCACGGCGCGTACAGAGTATGGTGACCCTTGGGCTGATATTTATCTTCCTGGTTCAATATAGCTAATGAAATATAGCGTTGGTAAGTTTGTCGTGCATGCCCTCACCCATTGGGAGGCCGCTCGCAACCGCGCACTCAAAGTCAACTCATTTACCACCACGCCGGCCGATGCCTTGGCCGAGTTTGAACGCCAGACCGGTACCAAGTGGAGTGTCGAGTATACCTCACTAGATGAGCTGCGGGCTTTGGAGAAGGAGGCGTGGGAGAAGGAGGACCCCGTGGCTACGGTCTACACACTTCGGCGCATCTGGGCCGAGGGAGGCACACTGTATGAGCGCCGGGATAACGAAGATATTGGCGTGACGGAAACGAGAGGCCTGCAAGAGTTGGTGACTGACTCTATTCGGGCACAAATCGAGGGGGTCCCAGCCAAGCATTGAGTTATGGCCAGACATATGCTTTCCATAGGATGTATTGTTTGTATCCCACCTGCTCCCATGCCAGATAGTCCTTGGTCATTCGTTTGCCTTCCGATTAACAATGGGTGGGGATATTCAGGGAAGTAGCTCCTGAGCAGTAGATAATACTCCCCTATGTAGATCCCAACGGGTCAAGCCGAATAATACCGGTGGGCGAACTCATTAGCAGGGCTGAAACTCCGTTGATGGCGCCAGGGCATTTCTTGGGAGCCTTGGGACTTCACGCGCACTGGGCGAGTGGCAGATTGCTTGGCATCGTAGGAAGTACCTCACGTCCATGTCAGATAAAATGCCCTCCTTGTTGATACACGACCTGCATCATCCACCAATTGGTTCTTTGTCGAGTCGAAACACAACAACCCGCACATCAACAAGCGGACTTCAGCACCCTGTGTGTATTTACCTCCGAGACTCTGCCTGGTGATCATCCGAGAGGTTGTTTGAGATGAATTTTGGTCCTTGGCATTTCCTAGCAGTTGCAAACGTGTCTTGCCGAATTCGATTGGATAGTGAGACGGTATCGGGGATGTGGGGGGACGCTTCGAAGGGAGACAGATGCAGGTGCTTTTTCTTCCACACCTCTAGCCAAGTCTCCAGCAAAGTTAGGAATCACGGAGTGAGGGCAAGGGAGTATCTGACTATGGTGAGGTCCAATCAGCAGCGTACCAAGAGTGCTTAAAGTCCGTATATGTGGCTTGGTATAGTCTTGGTGTGATGACACTCATCCTGGGTAGATGGGAGTTGTATTGTATCCAATGTGACAACTTCACACTCCCACGGCATCCATGAAACTGCCATATTGCACAGCTTGGCCGTCAATAGCTAGCGACCTCATGGACGCCTTTTCATTGTCGTACAAATGACTGTCGCGACCTCTCTAACGGAAGATAACCCTCCGTGCAGCTTCTCGCGTACACAGGCAATACTGGTGCGAGCTGCATAGAGACGCATTATGACCGCAGTGCTACCTCCGGTGTGACCTCCTCGCCTCGATGTCTCAAGCGTCGGGGGATCTGACCGTCTGGCGAGTGGGGGTGATTGTGGATCGGGGTTGGAATGTTGTGATCAGTTGATATCCGGCAGTTTACGGACCGAAATGCTCCGTTGCTCTAGTCTAGAACAGGCTAGCATTGTACGAGCGTCGTCGTTGTAACTAACTGGCCAATGAGAGTGTTCTTTGGGTTATTACTCAGCGGGACATCCCCTCGTCCCAAAGAGGAAGGACAGTGACTGAGTGACAACCCTCAGTTCGACTTCAACATTTACCCCCTGTTGAGTATACAGTGCGGGGATATCCAATCCCATTCCTCAATAGACGTCAAAGCTCTGTATCTCGGGAATTTCCTCGCTTAATTCCCTCCCCTGCACGGTCTTCCCCGCAGATGTCAGATCGGTCACTGCGTCATGCTGGCTGTGCCCCCAACTAGCTCCTCTTGGCTACCCCAGATTATCGGCTCCCTACTGTCTCTGAATTAGCCCGTCCTGGCCACGCTGCTTTACTGTCCGTAACCCCCTCTCGTTTCCTTCTGACTGCTTTTTCTCCGAGCAAGGTCGGCCATGTGCGGAAATGAGTCCCAAGCGCCAGTCTTCTCCGACCACCCCCCGGGCCTGTCAATTCTGTCGCGTCCGCAAGATCCGTTGTGACAACCAGAAACCCACCTGTGGCTCCTGTCAGCGTCATGATCGACAGTGTGTCTATGTGGTCGACCCACCCCGCCAGAGGTAGGTGTTCATCCCACCTGGATGCCTCTCGCCATCCATGGCTGCAATTATCTTGCCACGCATGCGCTGACGCTGCTGCCCCAGGCCGTCGCGAGCTCTCATCAATGCCGCTCACCGCCAGAGGCGTGCGGCGGAAAATGTGATTCTTGCTCTGAAAAAGGCTGATTCGGTTGCTCGAGCTGCTATCCTGGATTCTATCCATGTCAAGGACGGCGTCCTGCAATTGCCGGCATCATTGGCCGGCCTCGGTGCCAATAACAACGACATTCCGGTCTCCCAACCAACCCAAGCCTCGGACAATAGCTCAAATGTGTACAGTACGCCCAATGACGAATTGAATGATAGTAGCTCCGAAGACGAGGACTATGATCCCACCACCTTTCTCTCCCGCGATGAATGCGGCACCGTCGGCATCTTTGGCCCGTCGTCGGCGTTGCATGCCCGGAGCCCCCTAGGCCTACCCAACAGTGCCAACTCACGACCTGCCGCAGAGCCAGATCGATACCAGCTTATCGCCGAGGCTGCCCTCCAACGCCAACGTGAACCTGATCTGCGACGTCTGCCGACCATTGGAGGGATACCGTCCGAATTGGCTCTGCATCTGCTCGATCTGCACTGGAACCGGCAGCATCACACATTTCTGCTGACCTATCGCCCCGCCTTCATGCGTGACCTCGTCACTGGCGGCCCGTACTGCTCAGACTTCCTGCTTAACGCCGTCTTCGCTTGTTCGAGCAAGTTCTCGACCCGTGTTGAGGTGCGGGAAGATCCGCAACGGCCCGAATCGGCTGGGAAACGGTTCTTCGACCGCTGTGATGAATTGCTGGCAGAACAATCGCTCTTGACCCACTCGAGCATCCCGACCATTGCCGGTTTGATCATGCTTGGTAGTACCTTCAATGCCCGGGGACAGACTTCCAAAGGCTGGCTCTATACGGGATTCGCCCTGCGCATGGTATACGACCTTGGTCTGCATCTGGATTGCAAGGAGGTTGCTGCCAGTGCGGAGGATATCGAGGTTCGGCGGCGCGTCTTTTGGGCGGCCTTCATTTGTGATAAACTCCAGAGTTTGTACTTTGGACGTCCCTTCACGATTCAGCTGCGTGATGCGCATGTGTCGCGAGACTTTATGGATACCTTTGAAGAGAACGAACTGTGGATGCCGTACATCGATCCCCTGAAACCAGACAGCACTGCTCGTTCTCACATCCCCACGCGCATCTACTCCGTCACCGTCTTTCAGCAGCTCTGTTCTCTGTCCAAGATCATGACCAGCATCATTGACCGGTTTTACATGGCTGGTGCCACTGGAAGTAAGACTCGCAAGCATCTGGAACTCATCGACCGTCGTTTGGAAGCTTGGTATCGTAAATTGCCGGCAGAGCTGCGGTTTGAGCCCTGGGCAGATGATGGCCAGTCGCCGCACGCCACTGTAGCACCCAATGTCATTATCTTGCTAACTACCTACAACGCCCTCATTATCTTACTCCATCGTCCGTTCATGGGCAGCGGGCATCTGCGCTCCGATGACCCGCCCGCGGACTCCTGGGAGCGTTGTGTCACCGCTGCTCGCAACATCACCAGCCTGGCTCTGGCCTATCGGTCAGCCTACTCGCTGCGCCGAGCCAACTACATGCTCAGCTACGCGGTCTATGTAGCCTGCACCATCCATGCGCGCAATCCGGCCATCCGGGAAAGCACGCGTCGGAAAGAAGCATCGTCCCCGCTGACGGTGTGTCTGCGTTGTCTGGACGAGCTGGCCATCCCTAACTGTGGTGTGTCGGCGCCATCGAAGATTATTCGCCGGCTCATGGAGGCCAACGGCATGTCCATCCAAACTGGTAAGCACTGCACAGTCTTCAAGAAAGCTCAAAGCCACTAATGGTGTTTAGGATGTGACCCGGCTATTCAAGACCCATTCCAGGTAGACATCAACTTAGACTTTCAAACCTTTCCCGGTCTGGACTTCAGTCCTGCGCGACTGGATCATGCCAATCAGATCTCTGGCTTCCAGGACTTTAACCAGGACCTGGACCTGTTGTTCGGGTTCATGAACGAGCCCGACGTGTCGATTTCCTCCATGCTCACTGGGGTTGTACCCTATTAGCGACGTCTATATAGACCACATTTCAGAATAGAAAGTCCGGGAATTGAGCCCGATGTTCAATATAGAACCCATAAATTACATAACATCATCAAAACATCACATCATAGCCCAGTAAACTCACTCTAACACGCTCGGATCCTCCTTAACCGCCTGATCATAATACGGTTGAAACGCCAACCACATCTTACTCGAGTTACCACTCTTCCTATGCGTCATCTCCGCCTCCTCTTTGTTGATGTAGACCTTCTCCCACCCTGGTCCGGCCGCCGCATTGGCCATCATCTGCGCATGACAGCACCGATCGAGGGCAATAAACAGGAACGCTGCTTCATCAACCGTCTTACCGCAGGTGATCATACCGTGGTTCTGCAGAATTACACTGCGGCAGGTTGGACCGAGGGCCTTGGCAATGCGAGCCCCTTCTTCAGTGGAGAGCACGGTGCCTCCGTAGCGAGGGTACACGGCCAGATCGTTGTAGAAGCGCAGGGCGTCCTGGTAGAGCATTTCAATGGGTCGCGCAAAGCAGGAGAACGCCTTTCCGTAGACGGAGTGTGCGTGGCATGCGGCGTTCAGGTCTGGGCGGGCTTTATGGATTTCACTGTGAATGGCGAATGCGGGGCCATTGATGGGATGCTGGGCGCCTCCGGGGAGAACTTCGCCATTCTCGTTGACGAGGACGAGGTCAGAAACTTTGATCATGGAAAAGTGCATGCTGAGTGGGTTGATCCAGAAGTGGTCTATTGTAGGCTTTGTTAGTGGGTCGTTGGTTGCAGAGGGAAACACCGGTCACTGACGAGGATTCAGGGGATCGCGTAGCGAAATGTGTCCAGCCACTCCCTCGTCAAATCCCTGCCGGGCAAAGACACGGAAGGCCACGGCCAGATGCTGTTTTTGATATGCCCGCTCATCTTCAATGTTGTTGAAAGTCGGGGGCGAGCGGATCACAACCTTGCCCTCTTTGTCGCCTAGGAAGTGTACATCGTCGAAGAACTTGTTGGTCGAAGCTGATCCATTGCTGTGACCGTTCTGGGGGGCAGATTCAGTGACGGTAGTGGTGGCCATCGTTGGGTCGACTCGACAGTACTTTCGGATTATGATTACTCTGTAGTATGGAGAAGGTGGTGTAGACAAACAGAGTTAGTCGAAAAGAGGTAGGACCAGGATTAAATTCTTAGACAAGTCGATCTACTAGGCCCGAGATTGACTTATTTTATACCTATCCACGTGTCTGTATTCAATAAGCATAAAAACTCCGTGTCAGCGGTCATTACACTGGGTGAACCAGTCGGAGCGGTAAATCCAGCGACGGAGGGTTGTTCTCCGTCGGACGGAGGTGTAGATCCGCCTCGGAAAGTGGCAAGTAATGGTCCATTTTCAACTCGACAAACTGTTTGTCTGGTCCCCGCAAGTGATGTCAGCGGGGATGCGTTCGATCCAGCGTGTGCGCCATTATCATTATTATTTCTTCCTCGCGCTGGTTGTTTAGTATGATGGTTTATTGAAACCGCTTCACCTCATCTTACAGCATTCACATATTACGACCAATCAAGGAAATGAAGGCTGTTGGGGTAAGAAACGGCAAAGGCAATGCCGATGCCCTCTTCATCGAAGATGGTGTGCCTGATCCCGTTCCGACGGGCAATCGCATCCTGGTTCGCATTAAGGCATTCGGTCTCAATCGCATGGACATAATGCAAAGAGAGGATCGCTACCCATACCCTTTATTGCCCGAATCGGGAAAGATCATGGGAGTGGAGTTTAGTGGAATCGTAGAAGAGAAGGCGCCCGATTGTGAGCTACGACATTCATCATTGCGAGAGCATTAGCTGACAGTGACAGGCTCCGGGGATTTTCAGGTGGGAGACAAAGTGTTTGGTCTTGCATACGGGGGTGCAGTAGGTGACTGGTCACACCATTCATGAAATTTCAACTGACATGATATAGTATGCACAAAAGATCGCTGTGTCGGAGAAGATGCTTATGCACCTTCCGTCTACACTGAGTTTTGAAGAAGCTGCTGGTATCCCGGAGGTAGGATTAATCACCCGCACTGCATTCACTTCCAACTCAACTGACCAGACAGACCTCTTTCACAGCTATCCAGGCCATTCACCTAGTCGGTAACCTTCAACCTGGCCAGTCAGTGCTCATCCACGCTGGTGCCTCTGGAGTCGGTCAATCTGCTATCCAGATCGCCAAGGTAGGCGGAGCATCCAAGATCTTCACTACTGCTGGGAGTGACGAGAAATGTGATTTGTGTCGCTCTCTTGGGGCGGACTTTGCGGTCAATTATCGCTCCGGAGAGGACTTCTCAGAAGTGGTCAAGCGGGAGACAAATGGACGCGGGGTGGACCTGATTGTGGATCTCGTAGGAAGGGACTATTTTCACCGAAACATGGCCTCGGCAGCCATGGATTCTCGCATGGTCCTGGTTGCAGCTTTAAGCGGGAGCAAGGTGGATGACTTTGATCTGCGTGCATTGCTCAACAAGCGAATTTGGCTCATGGCTACAACGTTGAGAACTAGAGCCGCTGATTATCAGGGACAATTGCGTGATCTATTCTGTGAGAAAATCCTTCCCTATATCAAATCAGGCGAGGTGAAGACGACGGTGGATAAAGTATTTCCATGGACTCAAGTACCGGATGCCCATAAGCGTTTGGAGTCGAATGTCAACGCCGGCAAGATTATCTGTCTGGTTAACGACGACTGAATAATCTCAAGTATAGCTTACAGATATGGTCAGATAGATAACGTGTATATGACTGCTCGTTCCACTCGTGACACAAATACATAGAAACGTTAGCTGAGAGCGACACAAACTCTGAACTGGATGCTAAGCTAGAAAGGGAGATGAAGAGACTTGTATGAAACTGGAAGCTGTCCGCAAAGACCGCTGGCAGAAGCATAGCCTCATTACTCATCAAACTTTGACCACAAATCGACCGTCGGCCTCTCCTCTTTCGAGTGCCTGCAGACACGCCCCGATGTCCTCCAATCGCACCTCAACAATCATAGATTTGACTCGACCATCGCGTACATACTGCAGTGCCTCGCGCGTATCCTCCATCGTTCCTGTGCTACTGCCAGTAAGGCGTACACCACGAGCCACAAAATATTCAGGACCGATAGGGAAGTGCATCTTGTTTGGTGCTGGAAGGATATCAGTACGTGTGGTAGCAGGGATGCCTCACGTAGCTTACTGATCCCAGTGCAGACTATAATCCCCATTTTCCGGACGTAAGTCAGGGCTTGTTCATAAGCTCTGCTACTAGAGCTAACCACAATTACTCCATGAGGACCTCCCTCAGTAACACGGATGACATCTGCTGTGAGATCCTGCAAGACGTCCGTTAGCCACATTCTGCGTAAGCCATCAGTCTGCGTACTAGTCTCTCCATGAAATCAATGTATGAAGTGAATCCCAATTTGCATGATAACTCCCGTTTACCTGGGCCTGTGTCAATTCCAAATACCCGCAGACCGCTCGCTTTGGCGTATTGTATTGCCCTGGTTGGAGGTTAGCGTCCATAAATCCATGGGATCGTTTCTGGAAGACATCTCACAAGTGGCCCAGCCTGCCTCCAGCTCCAAAAATTGTTATCCACTGCCCAGAAGTGAGGCCAGTACTGCGAATAGCCTTATATGCCGTTGTGCCTGAAATTCCCGCTATTAGTTAGCATCAACTGGGGTCTTCCCCTCATACCAGCACACAAGGTCGGCGCGGCTTCACTTGCAGAGATATCTTCATAGATGCGCATGAGATACTTCGAATTGACGATCGAGTATTCTTGCATGTTTCAGCTATGGTCAGAACTCGGGGTGTGGGTTTAAAATATTACCTCCCCAGCATCCCTCAACATCCTTTTCACTAAGCTTTCTCAAGTCGCATAGCTGCTCGGTCCCTTCCTGGCACATCTCGAGGAGCTTTGGCCAGCTTGTTGACCACATGTACAGTCTCTAATATTCAAGCTCTTTTGCTTATGGCACTCTTCCTGCACAACAACAATGATCGGAATGCAGCGTGGACCCTAACAGGCAGTGCTGCGAGAATTGCAATTGCGTTAGGCTTGCATCGAAGCGATATTGATGAGAGCCTTCGTCTAACTGAACAAGACTCCCGAAGGCGAGTCTGGTCTACATTATTAACGGTCGAGCAATTTCTCTGCTCGTGTTTGGGACGCCCAAGTGTAATTGACGGTCGGGAAGTAACCCTGGGACCTGCACCCGAAGACTCTGCTACTGCATTCCCCAGTCATCCCAGCCATCACCAGGTGGCCACTGATCTTCAACGACAAGCCAGTCGACTCCGCGATGCGATCGCTTTCTTGCATCGGCCTGCTTCCCCTGTATCATCAACTGATACGCCGGTTACTGATCCAATAGCGCTCCTGACCAGGCTGAAAAATTGGGAAATTAACATACCAACTTATCTCATTATACCGTCTGCTATCTTGGATTCGTGCACCATTCCCCAAGAGGCAGTTCTGGAAGCGTTCGTTTCTGGTTATCCACCGGCTCAACTACAGCCAACGGTTCTCCTCCATTTAACCTATAACAATCTCGTTATCCAGCTTACGCGGCCATATTTGCTTAAAGTTATTTCAATGAGTCGAAGGCATAATCCAAAACAACAATACCCTTGGGCTACACCTCATGATACTTCGAAAGACGTGCGAAAGAGCGCTGAGTATCTGGCCTCCAGCTGTGTAACAGTAGCGATGCGGATTGTTAACCTTCTCATCCTAATTGAACATGCCAACAGGGTCAATGGAAAAACTAGCCTGGACCTTTTTTACGGGTACTCGGCTGGAATGGTTCTGCTCCTCCGTCAGCTTTGGGTCATGCCCCCGGATCTTCCAATGTCTATGTGGCAGCTAGAAGACGCAGCTCAGCGTGATCTTCGATGTCAGGTGACAAGGTTGCAGTCCCTAATGCAAAAAATCGCGGAGTGTCCGACCATGCAGAGGTTTAAGTCAGTGCTTCAAAAGTTCGACGAAGCTGTTCTTGCGAACGGGCAACGGATGCGAAGTGAAATTGATGAAGTTGCATCTTTGCACGTGGTGCAGGAGGAAGGCATAGAACCTTTGTCGACCTCACAGCTTCAAATTCCTAGCGTCGATGGGACTAATAGCGACCTATATGGCACTATCTTAGGTAGCCCAAGCCTGTGGCAAGATTCCCTACAGACGATCACCCAATACAGTCTCGACTGGAGCAACTTTGAGCAATTTCTTGGCAGCATGAACGTGGCATAGGATTCAATGGCTACGTAGCTACTTTGAATGAAACTTCTCGAGATGGCAGCTTTACGTCGTGCAGACCTCGACATCAAAACCATATTCATTCTGTCAAGACTGCGCTCACCTGATCCCTCAAACCCCAATCCATCAAACATGTCATTTCCCCCAACGTGCTCAATCCATTTATGATCACTACTGAACCGCAAAGTCCTGCATGCGACAAGGTCTTCATGATTACTGGTGATCTTACTTAGGCATCCACACAAAAGTTCAGTGTCATAGCCCGGCGAATGTTCTCTCCTTCTTTGATGAAATCCTCGACGTTGTGTCGTGCCCTGGCCCAGTGCTCCCTGTTGAACTGGCAACGATGGTTGACATAGTCAATCTTGACTTTGACAGATCCTCTCTCATCCTCCCCGCCCTCTTCGTAGACCCGGAACATTGTAGACTTGACCACTATGACATCCTGTTAGTGGCTGCGTCACCGAAGACAGTAATATCTGCCTACCAGGATTTTCCCTGCCATCAGCGCACACTTCCACATTGGTGAAATGGTACTGCTGCATGTCGTCTTGCTTGCGTGCAGCAATGATGCGGTTGATGATGCGCAAGACAACGCCAAACTGTGCCGGCAGGTTTTCCTTGGATTCCAGCCGCCCGCGCAGCTCCTGTTCGACCTTCTTGTTCATGCTTTTCTCATCTGTCTTCAGCTCAATGGTAAATTCCTTCTTGTCGGCTTCCACCAGCCTTCGTGGCGAAACGTTAGAGACCACTCCGAGGAAATTTACTCTCAGCATGGAAACTCACCAGGATTCGTGCTCCTTGCGCAGATACTGGATCGCCTTGCTGCGATGGTCGGTGCGTCTGACGCGCGATTCGTTGTAGTCGTCGGTTGGCAGCTTTCCCTTCTGCATCAATTCATTGACCTGGGATTCAGCGCGCCCAAGTTCAAAGGCGTTCCAGGTCTCCAGGTCATGTCTCAACTCCTGCACTGCCTTGCGATGCTTGTCGGAGACCGGCTGATTGTAGTAGATGAAGAGGAGACTAGGGGTGCCATAGTCACCAGTCACATCTACTCCCTCTGGAGCGCCCACGAATTTGTGTCCATTATCACCAGACAAAGGAGACGCGTCCATTTTTTAGGATCTCCTGTAGACAAAACTGTGGCCGGAGATACAATCAGACAAGATTTGCTATGATCTGGGAAAGATGCTTAAGCTGTCGATGGATCGAACTCATAGCATGGCTTCTCGGTGAGCAATGACTGGGCTTCTTATAGTTTCGTGGTCCCGACAACAGAGATGCTATGTTTTGTAGTGTTGTGAAGCCTGTGTCAAGGTCTAAGCGCTCATGTTACCATAACTTACTTAGACTACTGATAGCAGCGGTTCCTGTGACATCCGAAGTGATGCAGATGCGTAAGACTCCGCTGCATCCGACATCAGATTATGCTCACCATGCGCCCAACGCACAGCAAGGTTGGCTATTAATCGATAGGTCAGGTGCTTCGCCTGACTTACCTTGGGGCACTTCACTGCATCGTGGAGCAGATGCAAGGTAACTCTTAAATGCACGCATATGCTTTACTCAGGCGAACTTGGGCTTTTCTCCGGGTCAGGTAATGGTGCTTCAGGAATTGCTCATTCTATCTTGACATTGCACAGTTTACATGGAGTCCCAGCAAATACACAGGGTCCTTCTTAGTTGATTTTAGGTTCCCACTTATAGCTATGGATTTACGTACAGTAGACAAAATTATCCATAATTTAAAAAATCGATAGCAGCTTCAAATGCCATTCCGACACTGGCATACTTTCACAGAAATATGAGCAAGCGCCACCGTAGCGAGATAGGTGCGTTGCTCCTCACGCACGCACATTCTTCGTCCACATCCATTTTGTGGCTTTGACCACGATACAGTAGACTGGATGTTTCACAAATATTCCAATTCGTGGGTTCCGCGGCGGCCTGACATGGTGTATCTGTAACACGAGGTCAACTTAAGAAAACAAAGCAGTTTTCAACATCAGATGCGGAGATATCGCGCAGCCAATCTTGTTGTACGAGATGTACGCAACGTAACAAGCTTAAATGGCACGACGGGGTAAGCCTTGGCACAGACATCCTCGGGCGACTCGCAACAGCTACTTTTTTACGTGGAATGGAGGCCCAAGCTCACTATGGCTAGTCATGATGGCTTCATCTGATGCACGGAGTATAAGCAGCTGCAACATGACAGATTCCTACCACGTCAACAACCACAATTCTGTCAGCGTTGTCTCGCAATTCGCATCAGATAGTCGTCAGCATATATCCAACAAGTGCAGACGATGCAGGTCCACGCTCGAATAGCCATGGAAGCGCTCTCTTGGTGAGCGAGAGCCCAATGCACGTTGCATGCTCACCAGTGTACGATTCAAGATGACGCTACTGTCATACTCACCAACACGTTGGGGATTGCAAGGTACTCTTGTCCCATGGTCAATCCTTTTACTTGAAGTTGACGAGCCGTGCGGCCAGACGGACCAAGTCTATCGAACATGGTCAACCGGACTCTATGATCCAGATAGATGAGTCACTCCCGTCATCATTTCGTCGCTAAATTTGCAACTATAGTCCACCAAGAAGCAACAATACGTGAAATAACCAGCCTCTTACCTAATCAATGAAGCTGCTTCATTGCATCAGCTCACTATATGAGTCAGGCACACGGCATGATGCGGAAGTTATACTATAACTGGGGAAATTCGCCACCGGTGCACGATGGACACTGACACTGTCAAAACGAAGATAGTCACCGATGGAAAGGGTGGGTCCATGAACAAAAGATCGTGCGTGAGGCTGCAAAGAGCTCGCTAGCTAGATATGAGTCAGGGCAAGATGGGAAGCGCGGCCGATTCCGGGGATCCGCCAGAAGAGGGCACGTGGCATGCATTGGGGGGAAATGGGATCCAGGCCCATTTGGGATCCATGGCTAATTTGGCTGGAGCTGTCACCAGTCGGCAAACCGGTCGGATGAACGAGTCAGATCGGCTTCGCGAGCTTCTATAGAACCTTCGATTTCTCCGGGTTAGGTTCGACAAACTAGACGGGAGGCCATGCCGGAGTGCTGCCAGGAAGCTCCGAAAAACCGGCAGCGGCCATGCTTCAGACACAAAAACTCTTAACCCAGTTGGGAAAGGCCTCCGTCTGGCCACCAGCCCTAACCAAGAACGCCGAGGGAAAGAAGGCGGAAAAGTGGAAAACCTTGAGAATGGGGAATCTGGAATCCGCCACCGCGACGCTGCATAAGGTTTAGTGGCTACGACTCCCCCTCCGGCCGCCGGATTGCAACAGGAAAAAAGAGGGGACGCAAGTAGTATTTCCGGGGCTGAGCTTAATTTGATCCTCATGCTTCCCCCAGGTCCGGTGCCGGACCAGCAAGCATTTGCGATATCTGGTGATTCCTCGTCCAATCGAGGTGTGAAAATCGTGCAGGCTGTTCGTCGATCATCTTCAGATGGTCCCTGGACGTTTTTTTTAGCTTAAATAGAGGCTTTTGGTGCCTGAACGATGCATGGTGCGACCGGTGGATCCGTGAGGGCAAGCAGGAGCCCGATGTCGGAGCAGGATTCTGCGGGCGGCAAAGTTTGTGTCACACCAGCAGAGATTGCATTAAGTCGGCCTCTGATTTGCCAGGCTGACCCTTCTATTAACTAAGAAAAACCTCCTCGCCATGCGTCAATGCTTTGCAGACTCTGGCCATATATGGTTGATGCCCGCATCGTGCGGGTGTGCCTGGGTTTAGTTCCGCTACTCCCTTTACCTGGTGCTGTTGCTGCTGTCGCAGAGACTTTGAGAGATTCGAGACGGGTGCTTGTTCAACACTTTATATCCCATCCATCTCACTCACCCTTCTCGAGGAGTCGGCCTGTCAACCAACCCATTCCTGAAGAGCAATCATGTCGACCTTGGACGTGAAGGATATCGAGAATGGCCCCGGTCGCCGGGTCGAAGAAGATGGAGGCATGTGGGAGAATGATATCGTGAAGACACCTTCCGTGGAGAAGGACCCCTTTGGAAATGAAGCTGTTGGAGAGGTTCACTATAAGACTCTCGACTGGTGGTACGTTCGGACCCCGTGAACTATATACTATCGCACCGTTTATATCAGACGGCATATTCTCTTGATGGCGAAGACTGACGAACTCTCTTTCTCGTTTATAGGCAATCTGGCATGCGTATGCTACTCCACTTTGATATGGTCTTTTTTAATCCATGTAACTAACCGTGATTCTTTGTCTGCAGTGATGATCGCCGAGACTGTGTCACTGGGTGTTTTGTCTCTTCCCGCCACCGTGGCTGAGGTTGGCTTGATCCCGTAAGTAGTATTTGATTCCGCACCATCTACATCGTCACCCTGTCTGTTGCTAACCAGTTATGCAATCAGTGCCATCATCCTCATCGTCGGCATGGGCATCATCGCCACCTACTCTGGCTATGTCATTGGACAGTTTCGGGCCAGGTATCCCTTCATCCACAGCATGGCTGATGCCGGCGAGGTCTTGTGCGGCCGCTACGGTCGCATGTTCACGGAATTCGCTCAGCTGGTGTTCTTCATGTTCGCGTCTGGTAGTCACTTGGTGACCTTCACTGTCATGATGAACACCCTTACCAACCACGGAACCTGCTCTGTCGTGTTTGGTGTCGTCGGCTTGGTGCTTTCCTTCGCCTTCTCTCTCCCTCGTACCATGAAGAACGTTTCATGGCTGGCCGTGACTTGTGAGTGCTTCATCTTGTCCACTCACAGCCTCCTATTATGCTAACCCTGTAATCCAGCCTTCATCAGTATTTTTTCGGCCGTCCTGATCACCATGATTGGAGTCGCTGTTGAACACCCGCACCCTGCGCCCATGCAGCTCACCCGCTCGACTTCTTTCGTCAAGGGCTTCTCAGCTGTCACCAACATCGCTTTTGCCTACTGTTCGTCTTCCATCTTCCATTTGTAATCGGTCGCATCTGAGTACTAATCCTTAGTCCAGGTGGTCATCCTGCCTTCTTCGGTTTCATCGCCGAGATGAAGGATCCCAAGGACTTCCCCAAGTCCCTCTGCATGTTGCAGGGCTTTGAAATCGTCTTCTACACGGTCGCATCCGCCGTCATCTATCGCTACGCCGGTCAGAACGTCACCTCCCCCGCCCTGGGCTCCGCCGGTACTGTCGTCCGTAAGGTCGCCTATGGCATTGCCATTCCCACCATCGTCATCGCGGGTGTCGTCCTGGGACACGTTGCCATCAAGAACGTCTACGTCCGCCTGTTCCGCGGTACGGATGTCATGCACAAGCGCAGTGCCCTGGGTGTCGGTGCCTGGATTGGTCTCGCTGCGGGCTACTGGATCATCGCCTGGGTGATTGCCGAGGCCATCCCTGTCTTCAGCGACCTTGTCAGCTTGGTCAGCGCATTGTTTGCTAGTTGGTTTTCATGTGAGTATCCCTTATATTATCGATGTGTCCTTGGCCCCATGAGTTGGTCGCTAATAAATTGTCTAGTCGGTTTGCCCGGTGTCTTCTGGCTGTACATGTACTGGGGCAACTACTTCACCTCTGTCCGCAAAACGCTCCTTACTCTCGCCAACTTGGCCTTGTTCGGCATTGGCGCCACCATCTGTGTCTGTGGTCTCTGGGTCTCTGGACTCTCGATCTCCAGTGACAGCTCTGGCAGCAGCTTCTCCTGCGCCAATAATGCCTAATTCGGGTCATGAGCTACTGCCTCCTCGTGACTGGGTTGTATATGTGTATAGACTTGTATTATAGATAGACTTTCATTTAATATACCCCTTTGCGTTTGTTGTTCACCACTGGATTCGTACATGTATGCTCAAAATTGACATGTACAAGCTATTTCCCAGTACTGTTCCCAAGTGTCACTTGACTACTTCTATCTCCATCTTTATCAACGTGATTTTGTGCCTCTTCTTTCCAGGCCGCGCTTTCTGTGATGCTGCCAATACAAAGTCACTATTGATTGCTCGATTCATCAAGCTTTTCGACAACGTTGTCCCTATACTACGAATGGAACTTACTACGTACTATTCAATGCTGGCTTACTTCAATTCGCAAGCCTTCGTAGTATTAAAACTATCTCAGACAAAAAATGAAGACAGATTCAGTAGTTGTGGTACCAACGTGTATCAAGTTGGATTTGGATTTGACTATATATATATTCCTAACAGGTACCAGTGGTTACCCGTTGCATAATACCCCACACACTCCAGAAAAGCAAATGAAGTCAACAGCCAAGAGGTAGTAGTAGTATGTTAACCAGTGATAAGCCAAACACTGACTAGACTAAACATCTTCATAAAATAATCACGTTACTACTACTAGTAAATGCTCTACACGATGCAGGTGAGTCACATATAATTGCATCTCCGCTTTCACATGATGGAGGCACAATCATCCGAGGTGCCCGGTCAGGACCCTTGGGCCATCAAGGTATCTTTTCTTAGTCGCTCAGCCGTTGTTGGATCGATGATCTTCATTTGGGGATGATGCTACTTCAGGGTCTACTGGAGGACGCTACGTTACATCGCCTTCGCGCCACAATTGCCTTAACTGCTGCGAGCGGAAGGTGGCGCGATCGGGTATGCGGGTGCATAAAGTCTATCCGCTTAGTCATTAGCATAACACAAGACTAAAAGTAGCCTATTTGGGAAAACGCGTCGCTCAAAATAACGCGATGGCAATCATTCCATTGCCAGAGAGGAATTTTTGATGCGGAAGGAACTATCGATGTACGACTATTTACTGCTATGTCCTAAGATAGAACCTCGTTTTTCGTTCGTCTCATGCAATACTCCTCCCGGAAGTTCTCTGGCCTTGATGGAATGGGTATATAGGTAGTACGGAGTATATGTACTATATGTAATCCCCGAAACAAGGACCAGCACTCCTTGAAGTCTGCGAAGAAGATACATCTGTAACCCAGGGAAGTTTGTGACATCAATTTATGCATAGTGCCGCTGAAGATTGAGCATGCGATGAACCATAATGGAAAGGTCTAGCCTCAGCCGTCCAACCTGAACAGTGAATCAAATGTTGGCTGGCTCCAGTCATTCACTCCTTCACATACCGATCGAACCATGCCACAGCTTGCTCAAATGCCGCTTCTTTGGCGAATCTCTGTCGCGGCTCTGCTTGATCACAGCGGACCGCAAATCCGTGCTCTACATCAGAGAATAAATCTATCTGAAAAGGAACACCAACTCTAGCTAGGATCCCCTCGCTCTCGTGGCGGTTGGCAGTGGTAAAGACGGGATCAACAACTTGTCCATTGGTCAGCATCACCAATAATGTAGGAAAGTACACAGTTTTGCTCAACTCACTGGCTGCAGCAATGCTCAACGGCCCTTCGACCCCCTCAAGCTCCTCCACCGTCACCATGGTTGGGTGGGCAACGAACCCTGCGTTTAGTTTGCCAGCTTTGAGGTAGCGACACACATATTTGCCGCCAAAACAATACCCGACAGTGCCGACTTGCTGGCAGGCGAGGGTAGTGCGCATCTCCCCTAGTATAGCATCGACAATAGGATCGACCGTAGGTGGCAGGTGTTGGTTGTACCAGCCCATGATATCAAAATCGGGCCCATGGTCGACTGGGATGGGATCACCGTGGAAGAGGTCGGGCATAACTACGAGGAAGCCACGGGCGGCAAACTGGTCCGCCATCAAATGGGCATTGATGAAGCGATGGCCATTGCCATCGGTGAGGAACAAGATGGCCTTCTTCGTCGACCGATCAGGTGGATAGGTGATGTACGTCGAGACTATCACACAGTCAGTGATGGTAGTGACAACGTTGTCGGTAGTGAATACACACTGTTGGCAAGTTCTTGGATCTCCCCACTGGCCCTGCCATCGTGCAGATGTCCTGCCATGCAGCATTCAGATGGTGCATTGGAAGTCATGATTGCGATGGGCCACTAAAGCAATGGTCAGCAACAGGTGCTGAAATGGCCAGGAATTAAGATGGGATGGGAAAAGCATACTGACGCAGGCAACCAGCGGTTGGCGTAATCCTTTCAGCGTAGGTTCAGCCTGCTGTCGGACCCCTGCGGATATTCCGATTTAATATTATTAGTTTTCTCTCTCGAACCGAGTTTGTAACATATTTAACCAGCTTTGGAGTTCGAACTGGGCCTCACTGTGTTAAATATGCATGGAAATGCAAAGCCACAATACCACCTATAAATAGCTGCAACTCACCTGAGCCACCATGGAGAAGGCTACCTGCTAAAACACCACAGCCTGATGACTTTGGACCACGGTATGGTCTGCGGTGCCTTGTAGTGGAGAACGAATGGTCCTTTCTTCGAGACGCTAATGACCCGACCAGCCACTTAGCGATGGACCGGGTGGCAGACTTGCAGGGATCTAAGGACTGGCCGAGCGACCGGTCGCATCCTCAGCTGGTGCACGTTGAGCGAGGTTTCAGGTAAGCGCCGATATCTTGGCCACTCATATCTCCGCCAGGGTAGATTTAGTGGTGCCTGCGTAACCTCCAAGCAGTCAGCGCGTGGTGGGCTGGCTATATGGGCAGCCTATCTCCCCCCGAAGAACTGACAGGCAGTCCAGTTCAGTCCGGGCCATGCTCCCCATGTCAACAAATTCTACCTCTACCACAGCTATAGTGGATGGCTGGATTGACGAGCCCGATGGGCGTGGCACCTGGTCCATTCTCTCGAGCTGTCTACTGACTATTGTACTATGTTGCTGGACGGCTGTCATGCCCAACATCCCTGCCCGCTCCGACCGATGGTATCATGGCCTACGCGACCGACTGCATTTGGCCTTTCTGGGACTTTTGGGCCCCGAATTTCTGCTTATGCTGGCGCTAGGGCAGTGGTCCTCGGCGCGAGCGTCTGTCAAGGTCTCGAGATCATTCTGTACTGCTCTGCCCAGAAAAACAAACATGGCTAATACCCTCGACAGGGGTTTGAGCAACTATTGACAACGAAGACCACCAAGCGACCCCTTTGGACTTTAACTCATGCTTTCTATGCGGATATGGGGGGTTTCTTGATCGATGGCCCGGGAACCGATCGGCCATTCCCAGTAAACGCGAAGCAGCTTCAATTCCTCATTGAGAAGGGCTACGTCGATTACCCTATGATCGGTGAAGACGACATCAACGATCGGAACAAATCTGATGCGTTCTCTCGGTACGTCTCCAGCTTGCTCGAGAGCTTTTATCATCGGCTTATATAAGTTTCCAGTGTGATCGCAGTTTGCCAGGCACTATGGCTGCTCGTCAACTGCGCCATGCGTGTAGCTCAGGGTCTGGCTCTGACGACCCTGGAGCTCACTACTATCTCATTTGTGGTAGTGTTCCTAGTGACGTCTTTCTGCTGGCGCTTCAAGCCATCGGACATCTCGAGTACCCTGACTCTTGACGTAAAAAACGATATCAATATCATTCGGGAACAGGTATGTTTTACTCTATTCTAGCCAATGATGTGCGTTAACAGTATCTCGTTTCGGATTAGCATTGCCCTTATCCTTCGCAAGAATGGCACGAGACACCCCTGGACTTTGTGTGTGACGATGTCTCCTTTTGCGCAGTGCACTGGCATTACTACACAGAAATCCTGCGAAAAATGCATATTCCGCTGTTTTCACGTCCAATGACCGCAAAACCACGCGATCGCATTGTCAGTGACAACTTTCCCGTCACCGACCTGAAGGCCGATTGCATTGCCACCCCAGTGCTTCTTGTATTCGGCTCAATGTTCATGCTTGCCTGGAATTTCCACTTTCCTTCCCCCGTCGAACATCTTTTGTGGCGCATCGCCAGTATATACAACCTGGTATTCACCGTCATTGGTGGACTGCATGCCGGCTATTGCGACAAAATCGTGTTGCCCAGGGAGTATAAGCGGCGACTGGTTCTTCCCTTGTCGAGACTGAAGACCTCGACTAACCCATCCTGGCAGCGGTCGTGTCTGCGAAACCTAGCAGCCAAGTTGAGAAACATCGATCCGTATCGCAATCCCAAGAGGGAGGTGCCTCTCCGTGTGCTATTTCCTACTTCTGTTCTCTGTGCAGCCTATTGCGTGGGTCGAGCGTACGTTCTCACGGAGGACTTCATCGGACTGCGCAGTTTGCCTGCCAGTGCCTTTCAGACGGTTAGCTGGTCAGACTACGTCCCACATCTGTGAACAGAGCGCGGTGCAGCGGATATCTCATTGCTCATATCACACATCTAATAACACATAGAGATTCTATATACTGTAAATGTTCAAATGGACAAGACCACCCAAGCATTTCATGGTAGCCGTCACGACCCCCAATGGTAAGATAAACGCTAAAATCAACACTTCTGTGGTTACTTTCATCCATCTGTCTATACAATTTCAGACTTCCAGTCGGTGAACAAGGAGTCTCAGAACCCAATTCGGGCAGCCCGATTCCTTTTCTACCTCGTCGATCCGATACCGGATCTCACCCATCAGGCCTCGAAGTGCTTCTTGCGTGTATGCCATGCTTCCGCTCTCGTGGAGACGGTTCAATACGCGCTGCTTCTGCGCGATATCAAGTCCGCCCGACTGGTGCCCGTGCTGTAAGATATTACGAATATCCGATGATTCAGACAATAACTTATTGGCATGAATGAGGGGAAACGAGAACTTCCCCTCGTCTAGATCCTCGCAAAAGCCCTTTTGTCCGGTGTACTGCGCTTCCGTGTCAATTTAAATGTCTAATCGTACTGTCTTGGTGAACCGACCTCTTCAGTAAGATTCTTATAATCATCACGGATTTGGAAATATTCCCCCATAAGGTCGACAAGAGGTTCCAATGGGAGGCATCTATTGTGTCAGGAAAGATTAGTATAGTCTTTCATCAAAGCATCCGCGCTTCCTACCGGTTCTTCTTCGACGTCGCCTTTTGCATCATCAATCGAGCTAATAGCCGGAAGAGACCACCAGTTTCTATATATCTGTCAGTAACAGATTTGTGATAGGTATGTATGAGATGAAAAAGCCTAGATTTACTTTGAAGTATCATCTCCCGGTATTCGTCCTCCGACGGACACTCGCCCTGTCGTGTCCAATACAGATCGAAACTCTGACCGATGAACAGATTACGCATCTCTTCGACGAAGATGTCCACACAACGCGAGTCCTCCAACAGCCTCACTTGGTCCATAGCCTGGATCAGGACAAAGTTAGCGGAGTTGATGGTCAGCGCCTGTCCAAAGACGGTGTGTGTAGCGGGCTGGCCCCGACGCAGAGGCGATCCGTCTTCAATGTCATCCAGCCTACGCAGGAGGATATATCGTTAGCAGAGTGGCGTTTTGGGTACACCTTCTAATGCAGTCACTCACATCAGAGAGGCATTATGTAAAGTCTTTGCAATGGTCATTACGACGCTTACAAAGCGATCCGGGAGAGCAAGCCACACGTTCAGCGCGTCGATCAAGGTCTCGCGAACACCTTTGGAGGGTAGAGAGGCGATATACTCCGCTGGACCAATTAGGTGCTTTATAGATTATTAGCAAAATCGATCAATGAGACGTTACATTGAGCAACGCTCATACCTCTGTTCCGAGTATAACCCGGTCGGTCTCCTTTCCCCAGTCGTCGACAGAAGGAGCCGATGAAACTGATGATCGTGCAGAACGATCACTTGCCCCAGTCCAGAGGGAGGACACAGACGAGATACTATCTTCTGAGACACTCCGTCTTTTACCTATGTTAGGCAAGTCGCGAGCCTCTACCATCGATGCTTGCAACAGGGCACTGCCTTTCTCACATAGCCAGGGGTGATACCGAGGACACCGTAGACTCCAAGCGACGTTCCCTGGAATTTGGCATCCCAACGCCGTGAGATATAACTGCAGCTTAGTGTTGGATTTTCCTTTGCCAGCTATGAATTCTTGTACTCGTTGCTGGTACCCCCTCTCGTAGTCGTTCGTGACTTGCTGGACAAGCCGTTTGGCTTCCTCCTCATCCACCTGGTGCCATTGCATAAATAACCAGACGGCATTCGTCATGGCGGTCTGGTTTGACTCGGGCTTTCGATACTCTTCCCACTCGACATCGAAGGAGAAGTAGTCATTGGCGAGTCCGAGGGCAGCATAGCACGGCTTGACAATAGGAGCAACAAGCTCCTCTTCTTCGTGCGTGAGGAGAAGGCCCATGCCAAAACGCATCAATGTGTCCACAAACCTGTAATCTGGGTTAGAGCAGCGTGAATTTGGATCAGTAGGGACTCCTTACGGTGCACCCGTGTCAACAATCCGGTAGTCCACGTATTCTTCCAGGTTCCTAAATGCGCGGGTCTTGTCCTGCTTGGCTGTTGTGTTGACCATCGTCTTCCAGGAGTCAATAACAACCTCAGCGCATGCAGCGTCGATCGACAGGAGGTCGAGTAGCATCTTAGACTGGATTTGTTTGGTTCCAGTGACCGATCGCACGGTTCGGTACTCTGTCTCATCGAGAGCAATATCGTCCGTGTTATTGTTCAACTGGAGTTGGTTAGGCTTGGGCAACTCTCTGGAGTCAACTTCGCTGTAGGGCATACTGTGGATTTGGCGGCTGATTCAACCACATTATCGTACATGAATGCATCTATCAAGTGTGAGCTTTGGCGAAACGATTGTAGCTTAGCGTGTCGTTGAAATCTCACATTCGAAACAGTAGCTAATGATGGCAATGCGATCGGGCCGACAAAAGGGCAAGACGACCGCGGAGAAGTGACCCTCCCACGGGTTACAGCATCCCCAGCGCTCTATCGGCCCAATATACTGCTCCCAATCGGCTCGGCATTGCTGGGATCCTGCGTTCGCCCAGTCCTCAAACTTATGACGGTGCAGAGGATAATCTCTGCAGAATCCTTGAAGATCCCGTGAGGCACGAGGAACCTGATCGGAGGTATCATCGGGGAATAGATGTGTAAGTGCCATCACGGTATGAAGCAAATTAATCTTCGAGCACCAAACATTCGAGTGGCTTTGCAGATAACGTGCGGGAGGTGAGAAGCCAGAATAAAACATTTCTACAAGACTGGCATGGTCGTCTTTAAACCTAATACCATGGACGGACAAGCCCATTTTCCGGAAAGAGCACTGGCAGATCCATAATGAGACAATTCAGCGTAATTGCTCAAGCTCATACGTTGCCAACAAGGAGATCTCTGTCTACGAGAACAGGCGTTCATCTGAGCGGGAAGCACAATCTGATCTGAAGGGGGATGGAGAGATATCACTGAGAGGATCATTGTAGGCATGGGCCAATCAACCCCTTGCGGGCTGTGGAGATCTGTGAACCATCAACCAGAGTTGCGTCGCGATGAGGTGTGCCAGGATTAGAGGATCCACTCAGATCCACTTGTATCCTTCATCCTTCGAGTCTAAATGGAAGCAAAGACGAAGATCGTTGAAAGTGCAGTTCGTTTTTTGGATTACGTTAAATGGTTGACCCGGGTTCGGCTCATTCAAGGAATACTAGTAGGCTCAGGATTGTCAGTCATTGATTTCATACATGTTTGTTCCATCTGAGTTCGGGTTCTTTGCCCTGCACGGACCAATAATATTGCGGCTGTTGGTGAGGGAAACCTGGCACCGGAAGATCGGCAAGTGAAGCCATCATCAAGAATTTAAACTTCATCTCTCACGACGCTAACATCCTTGATGTTCCCGAGGGAAGGGTAATACGGCGGGAAGCGAAACCCGACAACTGGCTTTGACCATGTACTTTGCGGGTTCATAGTAAGATGGAAAACAACACCTCATATGTCAGACCAGTGAAATTTCAACAAAATATTGGGGGCGTGCCAGCAATCACGCATCATCCTGCAGCATGCCCGCTAGGGCAGTGACTCTTTCAGCCGCGCCCCCAGCCACTCAGCTCAGGAACCTTGACGTGACACTGCAGTCACAAAAGACTGAAGCGGCACCATTTTCTTGCAACAACATAGATCTGATCACTTCTCTGACCTCCTCGCACTTTATTGTCCTCATTCGTGGAGCCCAATCTTTCCGTACCTAAAAATGGAAGAGTTAGCCCCAGACCAGTCGACCGTGCTTGAGGATTTCAAGAGTTACTGTTCTACAGAAGGCCTATTGGGGCGTCGGGAGGGGTTACAGGCTGGGGACGTGGAAGATGGGATCACCGACAACACTACCCTTCTGTGAGCAAATCATCCCTTTTCGTTGAGACCGGACTGACTGGCATCTATAGACGATATTTGGAGGCCCGTCGCAGGGACCCAAAGGACGCCCTAAAGCAATGGCAAGAGGCAAGTAAGTTTCAGGCTGATAGACAGGTTCTCCGTTTGTATGATCTGATCTCCGTGGAGGATTATGAGGCAACACGTAAGCTGGTATGCTGAATGTTGAAATTCCCACGAGTCGCATGCAAACCATCTCACACGATGACCAGTATCCTCACTGGACGGGACGAAGGGACCGCCGAGGGCGACCTATTCTGGCGCTCGATGTCGCCCATTTGAACGCATCGACTATGGCAGCCTGGAGGAAGACGCGTAGCATTTCTAGGCAAACTGAAATGATTTTACCAAATCCAATCATTCCGGACATGGAACAACGCGCAGCAATACATTTTGATAGCCTTACTCGATTCGTGCTACCGCTTTGTACAGCCATGAGCGACCGGCCTGATCCGACCATTCCCGTCACTAAATCCATCTACATTGTTGATGCCTCTGCCATCTCGCTGAAGCAAGCCTGGGATTTGCGGGATTTTGCACGCGATATCAGCTGGATCCTGTCGACCTGCTATCCCGAGACCATTGATCGGATCATTGTAAGAAATATTTACACCGTGACTGAGAACGATATTGACTCTTCCTTAGGTGGGTAATGCGCCCTTCTACTTTGCCAAGATCTGGGCTTTTATGAAGAACTTTGTCGACCCCATAACGGCGGACAAGCTGGTCATCACCAGGCCCGCGGATGCATACGCGACCATGGCAGAATATATGGAACACAAGGATATCCCAAGTCAGTTCGGAGGAGGTTTCCAGTTCACGAATGGGATGCTGCCGGATTTGGATGAGGGCATATGGCAGGCTCTACAATGGACCATCTCCAGTAAGGAGGCATTCCCGCAAGGGCCACTCAAGTGGACCGAAGACGAGAATGGCCAGCGACGGGCCGTGGCAACAGGAAGCATTGATAGTCGGCAGCGATGCGAGGAAGTTGCGATTCTTCCAGTGAACCCGACAATACACTCGCAGCTACCGAATTGACTACAAAGCATGATTCAGTGTCCATGAGATAGAACATGGTATTGTTATTAGGAGTTTCACTAGAAGCAGTAGTGACGGCAAACGCCAAGGACATAGCCAGCTATGCCACTTTACTTTCTATCTATTCTCTAGTGGGTAATAACCAATCCGCTAGGGTATATGCCGCAAGAGTAAGCTAGAACTCCCTTTTGTACATCCATTTGAATAGTTGGCAGGCCGTGATCGTCAACCATAAACACACCTGAAAGATGGTCATCCCCGTCCCGACCCACTCGATCGCCGGTGAAGCTAGATACTCCCCCAAGTCGATCGTCGCCAGAACGAAGCCAGTGATGGGAAAGACCATGCACCACCAGATGAGCTCGAAGCGAATGGTGTGGTGCCAGAGAGCCTCCAGCATGCTTAGTGCCGCCATGCAGAAGAGAAAGAAGGCCAAGATCCATAAAAATACCGACGCGGCCACAGCAACAATGAGCAGGACATCTGCGGTACGCACACTTGTTGCGGCGCTGATATATTGGGTTGGGAGCTTTTCCACCGCAGCGTCCGCCATGCTGATCATGGCGATGATTGTGAAACTGGGCGGGCCCACTGCGATGAACATCTCTGGTCGGAAATTTGGCACCGGGAGACCCTCGCTGGACATCTCCGTCAGGCTCTGCACCAGAACGACCAGGAACATGAGGAATCCAAATCCTTGCATGGTGGTGCCGCCTACAAGCATGGGCACCGCCTGAGTGGGGGCCTGGTTCGGGGCTAACACGCCGGCCATGGTGCCACTGAGCATGGGTGGAAAGTAGGGTAGGATGTTCACAATGGCGAAGTGGTCACCATGGTTTGTGCCTGTGTACGGGATCCACCAGCCCAGGAGAATGGAAAGCAACAGCGAGACGCCAGTGTAGACCCAGAAGAAGACGTTCAGGGTGAGGATTAACCAGCGGCCACAATGCGGGGTGCCATAGTAGGAGGTGCAGAAGATGATGGTCGCGAAGGCGAGCAGCGAAACAGGAACAAAGTACAGGTCCTGGGGCTTCTTGATATGCAGCCACCGGGCGGCGAAACTGGGCGATTCTTCCAGGGGCTTGTGAGCCTTCTGTGGTCGGACAGCCTCGAATAGGAGACAGAGGGTAACTGTGGTGTAGATAACGAGGTTGGCGATGAAGACGATGGTTCCGATGGTCGTGAGGCCGGTGAACTGGTTTGGGGTCTGGTGCAGCAGTACCGCTATCCCACCCCAGCTGAGTGAGATGGCATACCAGCCCCAGGCTACCGATGAGGTAACCCTGCGAATGGGAGACATTGTATAGCCTCCTTCTGCATCCTGGCTCATGTCGATAGCGATGGCGATGGTTCGCAAGAGGGCGGAAGAGTCGGACTAACAATCATGGCTAGGAAATAGGGTTGTCTACGGGCTAAATAGCTGCTGTCTACAGACCTCGTGTCAAAATATCCTGTTGTTTGTATGTATCTTCTGTTGCCTTTCCTGGACATCACCGAGCATCATATCCAAGTCTCATGGTTTCGGAGGCAATGGTTGGTGACGTCATTTTTTAACTCGCAGTGGAGTCGCTCTCAACCAGGCACGCTGGCACACATGATGAAAGAGCAACCTGATGCCAGATAACAATCAATATCTGGTCAACAAGACCTTATCAATCCGCCCGCATCTCGGTCGATTGCCGAAGTGGTCCGATATTTGGCTCGGGATACCGATCGGGTGGCCGCAGGGACAACTTAATATGATGATATATCTTGTAGACTACTACTACGTAATAGAACAAACAGGCGAACAGAAGTTGCCAACTAGGATGCATGCACAAAGTACTACTGGTACCCTGACAACTGTTATAACACCCATGGTAAAATAATGCAACCGTGCATGTTACTTCAAAAACAAGTTCATCAATGCTTATATACAAGGTTTATCGCTCATTGCGGTCACTCCGAGTGTATCCTGTAACTACACACACCATGGTTCATCCCGCACGCAAGGTGCGAAGCTTTCTCAGACAATATAATGAATCAACCGGCCATGAAAAACTCCAAATGTATCTACGCGACCGCTATTTAACGCACAGTCTTCTCTCCCCGGTCTCGGCGTGACAGATGCAACCGCTTCCCCCACTTCATCCGACTCTTGCGCATTGCCCGCTGTGTCCGTTCCCAGGGGTAGTTGACCGGCGACTCTCCACCCGTGAAGATCATGAAATCATACAGGAAGGCACCGAGGAAAGAGCCCGCGAGTGATCCGGCCCACGGCCCATAGAACCAGTATGGATTGGTGAACAGCGACGAGCCGTACCCCAGAGCCAGCAACGCCAGTCGCGGCCCAAAGTCTCGACTCGGATTCAAGGCGGCACCCGTCTGGTAGGCAAAGCTCATCGTGTTGCAGGTCACCATGAGACCCACGATCAGTGAGTTCATACCTGCTCCCGGGGGTGCGTTCTGATCGTCACCCAGTGCCAGGACCACCACCGTCAGCACCATCGTGCCCAAGAATTCGGTGAAGAAGGCAGTGCCAGGACCAATCCAGGTCTCGCGCTGACTGGTCACGAAGCTGGTGATGATGCCCGTGGTGGAGTTGGTCAAGAGATAGTGTTGGATGGAGTGATAGTAGAGACCGTACGCGGCGAGCGCGGCGATGAAGGCCCCCAAAAACTGTGCAGCAAAGTACTCGGGCATCTTGCTCTTGGGGAAGCCACGGTAGAACCAGAGCATGATGGTGATGGTTGGATTGAGATGGGCACCGGACACACCACCAGAGACGTAGATGGCCATCATGGTAGCAAACCCCCAGACCCAGTCGGTGGTGTTGGGATTACCGGCGTCGGCCACGGTCACTGCCAGATCGCCGCAAAAGCCGACGAACAGCTGCACGAAGACCCCCAGGGACTCGGCCAGGGCTTCGCGGTGATGGGTGCGGATGACGGACCAGGTGGTGTGGTTGTTGTGCACCTCCTCCTCCACTAGCTCCTGCACCAGCGGATGCAGGTCTTCCGGATAGGCGGCCTCGATCTCCTCCAGGTTGGGCAGGTCGTCCATCATCATCCCGTCCTTGCCATCGTCAGCGCGCAGCTCGGGCTCCTCCGGCACGGGCTCCAAGGGCTCCTCACTACTCATCTGAGGGGGTTCCTCATGGGTCTCACTGGGAGCCGGCGTCTCGCCTTCAGGCACTGTTGACAGGTTCTCCGGCGGGAGATCCCAAGCAGATGGACGGCGGATGCGCGATGACGAAGTGCGCGAGAGGCGCGAGCCTTGTCGCGTTGTGGTGGCATCCCCACTCAGAATCTTGTTCATGAAATTGTTCTCGCGTTGGATCCGGGCATCTTCCACCTGGGCCGCCATTTTACGAGGGTCAGCCGACTTCTCGATTTGGCCTTGCTCCAGGTCATTGGGGTCGACCTCCAGCCCCAGCTTCTGTGAGTTTTCGGCTGGCAGCTGAATGTTTTGACGGGCTTCCAACAGCTCCTCCTTCGTCGGCACCATGCCCGGTCGGACGACACGAGGGAGTGGCTTCGCCAAACCCCAGACCGGTTTGGAGTTGGCAGGCTGTTCGTAGGATGGATTGAGATCGCCGTAGCCGGGTTGCACAAACGGTTCATGGGCCAAGCGCAGCTGAGGCGTCTCATCGGGACCAGCCATGGTGAAGCGACCTTGGGTTCGTTCAGCCAGCGTGGTGTGTGGCACCAAACTGGGAATGCCACTGCCACCACTGCGGCGGGAAGCGGCGGAACTGCGTCGACGAACTCCAGCCCCGGAGCCATCACGACCAGACACACGGCGGGTGGGAGAAACAAAATCGGCGTCACCAGCAGTTCCTCGACGGCCGCGGGTAGGTGATAAAGGTGAGGTGGGAGGATTCTCTCCTCGAGGGGAGATCGCATCGGACTGCTCAGGCGAGGAGAACACCCTCCGATCAGCTCCTGGTGCAGCTGCAGGGGAATGCGTGTGAACGTACCGTTGCCCGTGGGCGCCTGGGCTCCCCGTCGTTCATGATGTGACGGTATTAGATGCTATATGCTTGTTCGGAGGATGATAAAATTGCTACTGCTGACGGGATGCGGATGGCCGACTCAATTGGAAGCAATGGCTACGAGAGACACCCAGATCCCCAGCCGGTGTTCCGGATGTTTAAGAACCAGTTATTGAGCAACAGGGGTAGGGTACAATAAAGAATAGGAGAACAAATGACTGCCGTGAAGGAGCAGCATGGACCATGACGACGACATGCTGGCGCCCTCTCCGCTCCTCCGACTGGATCAGAGACTGCAGTGACGGCGTAAGCGAGCGCATCCGCACCAGTCATTGAGCAGAGTTGATGCGCGAGATCTACAAAGTACAGGCGAGTGGGCTGCGATGGTGCGGGCGGACTATTGGGGAGCGTTGAAGACATGGAAAGACTGGCGTCATGAGTGGATCCTGCTGGGGCTTGTCGGAAAGCTTGAGAGGCAAAAGAATAGACACGCAACAGGGTTTGGTTCCTGGCCTGATCCCCCAAATGCCTCGCTGGTTGGCCCTAGGGGGTAGAGATAACCCACAGTAGCCCCCCGCTCAATGACGGTGCTCTGTGGTCATCGTCACCGATCAACCTGAGTTATTGGGCCATGGATGGCCATATCCCCTCCTCATCGATCGATCGGGGCGCTGACGTGGGAAGGACCAGAAATATGTCAAAGATTTCCACTTCAGCCGGTAATCGGGTGTCAATACCGACGATTGTGTCCAGTGAATATTCGGCATAGTGATAAAGTACTTCAATGCGAGATGGATATTGTATAGAGTTGTGTGATATGGTTCGTGGTGGATGGAACGTGCGTGGAATCAGCCACGAGGGAACCAGCCGGCACGATTCCTTCCGTTCCTTGATTCTGGCTTCTCGGTTCTCTGACAGACACTGAATAATCCAATCCATTTCATTCTCATTTTGCCTTCCGAGGATTCTCCGATGCTCGGTAGATTCCCGGTCTGAATCCTACACACAGAAAGCACTTATCGCCAAGAGAAAGCCCGCATTGAGAGGAATAATGGCATTTATCAGTGTTTGCTGGTTTCTTTTTCAGCTTGAAAGACCTAATGAGCATCCATTCTCATAGTCATGGGTCTCTTTGATCAGTTTTTTTCAGACTTTTGTTGGGGCACAGGGAAAGGTCTTGGCGAGGAGTCTATCCGAGACTCCCGCGAAGAGTTTGCAGAAGGGAATGAAGGGCAACTCCAGAGGGGACGGAGACACGTCTTCATTGTATAGAATCCATCTCTGCCAATTCCTATATAGGCGCAAGATTATATCAAGACAAACGTCATGTGATGCAGTTGCCTCCTGGCAACTTGTCATAGAGAGGAGATTCTGCATGGCTCAACGCAAAATGGCCCCTGGAAGGATCACTCAGAGCCCAAAGAATGCTCCACAAGTGCCCTTGTGCAAAAGAACATCCTCCTATCTCAGCTCTTATAACTTAATCCACTCTCATTGACGTCCCCGGGTGCCCGACTGTAGCAAAATTTGAGCCGAAAATTTTGGCTGGCTACCTTTCACTCACTGTGAGAGGTTGGAACTGTGCTACTTAATTATAGATCCCGACAGGCAGCCATGTCTGCCTGCCACTGGACATCTACCTATCTAGCACTTGCCAGGTACCCGGAGATGAAAGGGGTTCCACTCCGACAGAAGATGAAAGACGAACAGTGGGGCGTGTCTCAGTCGAGCAGCGTCCGCCTTCCACCTTAGGCCTGGAATAGCCTCGTTTTCCCCTATTTCGGGAATAGGCGATGGCCCTGTCAACGCTATCACTGTCCGGCTCATTAAGGGCCCAAGGGTCCAAAGTTTTTAGATTGGTTCGCCAAGCATCACCTGTAGAATATAAAACTCGAAATCCCCGGTTTCAGAGGGTGAGAAAGGTCAACTTCACCCCAACTACTCCGTACGAGTCATACCATTTGCTATCTTGTTATGGATGCCCTCTCCCGCCTCAATGGACAGATCTCCACCTTTCTCGCTGTTGGCTTTCTAGCCTCGTGGGCCATCACTGCGTTGAGTTTGACCGCCATCAATGTTCTCAATACCGAATTCACATTCACCGCGCATGCCGCCTCCATCAGCTTGCTCACCTTCCTCATCTGCCGATTGCTGGTCCGCCTTCAGCCTATCGCCCCCACCGAGGGGAGAACCATCGCGCATCTCCTTGCAACAGCAGACAACGGTTCTCGACGGGGCGCGCTCATTTTCTTCTCTTTCTGCAGCACATGGCTGTACGAGCTGCTGAGCAAAGGCCTCCTCCTGCTTCTGTTGACCTTCTTTGGCGGCGTCATGGCGACCGTGATTTACAACGACCCCAACTTCTCGGAAAATTGGCACACTCAGTCGGTATCCGATCAGCCCCAGACGACGACGGCCCTGGCTGAAATTAAAACCTTCAAGGAAAAGGCTGGCTTTGATCCGACACAACTATTTCGTTGGATCCCGCCTCAGGCAGTCGTCTACTTTGTCGCCCTGGTGTGGTTTAACTTCATCAGTCTGGGGCTGTACATTCTTGGCCATGCGCTGAAGGCTCTTTGTAGGATCTTGGGATTTACTGTTACGCGAACCACTAGCAAAGACGCCCACCCGGTGGAAAGACGCTCTTAAGAATGCCCGGGTGGAATGTCATGTTAGCAGACTCAGTGCGTGACCCAAGGGGCGTCGTTAAGACTCGTCCCGAATGTAAAAAATGCTTTTCTCAACCACCCTTTACTACCTGTAATGCAACTCCGATTTGATCCCAGGGCTGTCGAATATTGAACATACTTTCCGTATTCGAGACTTATATTTATCGTGAGGGTTTAACCGAGTTGAGCCCACCATTGCTGCTGGCAGCGCGCCCCTTCTGTTTCAAACTTTGGAGGAAAACAGTGCTAGTTACATCCCCAAAACGAGAAGATCGCCTAAGAACCAATTAACCCAGCCTTCTGGAGGTCTTCAAGTGCCGGGATTGTCGTCGCTTCCCTCCAGAACCCCCAAACGCGCTGAATGACGAGGTCCTGTTGCCTTTCCGTAAGCTCCGCGTAGAGTGGTAACAAGACAATTTCCTCTGCGGCGCGTGTGGTCACCAGATCTTCGCCATGAAAGCGCCCCACCCGTTTGCCGAACGGAGAAGAGTGTAACGGCACGAATTGGGCCTGTGTCTGAATGTGTGCGGCCGCCATATGCTCGATGAAAGCAGGTCGGTCCGAGGCGTCAGCCAACCGAACCCAAAAGATGGCTGCGTTATGGTACGCCTCTGCAGCCGGGTGGGGTAGCCGGATGATGCCCGCATGGGCCAGGGGGGCCAGACATCTGTGATAGCGTGACCAGAGACGTCGACGGTGTGAAAGAATCTCTGGTGCGGCTTGAAACTGGGCGTAGAGAAAGGCTGCTTGAATCTCACTCAGGGTTGCGTTAATCCCGACATCCAGCCAACGATAGACATCCACTTCAGCTCGCAGAAATTGAGCTCGGTTCGTGCCGTGTTCGTATAGGATCTCTGCCCGCGCCACGAGTGCGTCTTGATTGACGAGTAATGCTCCTCCCTGGCCGCCACTGGTGAATATTTTCTTCTCTTGGAAACTGATGCAACCCAGGTGTCCCATGGTCCCCAACGCACGTCCTCGATACATGCTGCCGCAGGCCATGGCGGCATCCTCAATCACGAGGAGGTCATGTCGATTAGCAATATCCAGAATCGTGTCCATGTCGCAGGCGATTCCAGCATAGTGCACCGGCACAATGGCCTTGGTCCGAGGCGTGATCACCTCCTCGATCTTCTGCGCATCTATGTTCATGGTTGTCTCTTCCACATCAACAAAGACCGGAAGCGCCCCATGGGCAACAAAGGCATTGACTGTCGACACGTATGTATAGCTTGGTACTATTACTTCATCCCCTGGCCGGAGATCGGCTAGGAGGGCCGCAATTTCCAAGGCCGAAGTGCACGAGCTCAAGACAAAGGCCTTGCCATGCGGCATGCTTGATTCAAGCCATCGCTGGCACAATGCCGTGTACTTCCCTTTCCCCGTCAGAGTTCGGCTGTCGAGTACCTCTTGGATGGCCTCCAGCTCCTGGCCGGTGACTGTTGGCTGGAAAGTGGGTATGCTCGCCCCCGGCATGGCAACGTCAAGCACCTAGGAACCAACTCTTGCTGAGGAAAGTTTGTACTTTCGTCTGACTCAAGCAATTATATTCTTTGAATTTGAAGTAAGGCCATTAGATATCTGGGATTCTTGCTACACCATATATGATTAGTCACACTTTCCTTGCGCCCTTTTCTCCGTCTTTGCTGCTTGACGGCTGTCATGTGCACAATCAACGGACGCTCGAATGTCGGTTTCCGAAAGGTCTTGTTTTCGGTGAATTCCTGGATCGTGAAGGACACTGCCAGACTCATTTCAGATTCCCGGACATCCCTGGCTGACATCTTCGACCCTCATGCTGTTATGACATGTAACACAAACCCCTCCCTTATGCCTGTCATGACAGAATGGTGTGTCAGTCTGTCCGACGCTTGTCACACCATAGAGTGGTTGCCCAAGTATTTCTTGGACTGTATGCAGGCGGGCAAAATTGGCACAGGTTTAGACTCTCAAGCTTGAGGTGACTTGGACTGCAGTAAAGTGCTGAATGGACAGGCTCTATTGATCGCCCACAAATTTGCATCGCATTTATGCCCATCCTTAGATTATGTGGTAGAGTGAAACCTTTAATTCCCTACTCAACGACATGAGTTCCCATTCTGCGCCCGTGCCATTCTGCATCCGTTGGGGTATTCTCGGTATGTGCCTTGCTTACATTACCTTGTCCGTGGAGAGATTTACCAGACTGTTGACTTCTGATAGCCACAGGAAGCATTGCTGAAAGTATCACACCTGACAAATAGTGCTGTGATTCTTACCGGCTAATCCGCCATGTAGCATTTGCAAAAGACCTTCTCGTTGATCCCGCCTCGCGAGGTGTTACTGATGTGTCGCATTCATTGGTGGCGGTGGCATCTTCGCGATCCAGCGAGATCGCTAGCCGCTTCATCAACAAGGTCGGAGCGCCGTCGTCCTGCATTGCGTATGGTAGCTACGACGCTCTGGTGGCGGACCCCCGGGTAGATGTTGTCTACATCGCCTCACCACATTCCCATCACTACCAGAATGCTATGCTCGGGCTGCAGGCCGGAAAGCATGTGCTCTGCGAGAAGCCCTTGACTGTGACGGCTAGACAGGCACATCATCTCGTCGAAACCGCTCGTGCGCGTGAACGTTTCCTCATGGAAGCCATGTGGACACGCTTCCTCCCAATCTCGGCTCAGATTAGGCAAGAAGTCCAGAATGGTGCCATTGGGCCCGTTATTCGGATCTTCGCCGATAACTCGATCGGAACGAACGCTTTGAAGGAGTTGAAGGATAGCTATCTTACTAAGAAGGAGTTGGCTGGGGGCGCTTTACTAGATTGTACGTGATGCTTATCGTGTCTTCACGGAGCGATACTAACGATGGCTGGACTTTAGTGGGCGTATATCCAATCCACTGGATCATGCAGACCCTCGCTCCCAGGCCCGATCCCAGGCCCAGCAGCATCCTATCAGCAACAACACCCCTTCTCGGCGCCGGGGTGGATGAATCAACAACCATCCTTATGACCTTCCCTGTCACAAGTCCGTCGCCTGTGTCGGTGCAGGCGGTTGCCAGTTCCAGCCTACGCGCCATGGCGGACCCCGATGGTCACACCCCGGTAGTACGGATCCAGGGGGACAGAGGGGAGATCCAGATCTATGGCCACTCTTGGTGTCCGTCCAAGTACCGGATCATCAAACGAGTGCAGCAGTTTGGTATTATAGGTGAAGCGGAAGAGTATGAGTATCATGTTCCAGGAGGCGCACATGGGCTCTGCTTCGAAGCGGACGAGGTCGCCCGTTGTGTCCGACATGAACGCCATGAAAGTGCAGTCATGTCGTGGACGGAAAGCCTGACTGTCATCGAAATACTGGATGCAGTGCGCAGGGCGCATGGGCTTTTCTTTTCAGAGATCGTCGAGTCAGATGAGTATCCAGTAACTATGCCCGCCAAGATGAACTAAGCATGTGATCAGCCTTCATTTCAATATAATGCAAGATGCCTCTTCTAGGTAGTTTCATATATCACACCGTTGTTTAGATGACTTGAGAATTCGAGCGCGCCGTAGCAGTCGACTTTTTCATGGGAGTGAATGCAATAGCCAGAATCATCATCAAGGCACTGAATGTTCCTAGTGAGATGGCCATGGCTGCCCAGCTCACAGCCTCCCGAATATAGCCGGCATACAGAGGCCCAACCAGTGTCCCAGCAGCAAATGCGGCGTTACTTAAACCGTAAGCCTGCGAAGACGCACCTCCATCCCCGAAGATCCCCGGACGTCCCTTCTCCACGTCGTCCTTGGCTAAGGTAATTTCTGTCATCATTGCAGGCATGGCAAATGATACCCCACAACCGAAAAGGAATAAAAACAGACGGAGCAGCACTGACATCACTTCCGTCGGCTCAAGTATCAGCGAGAGCAGCATAAGGCTCGGAGTAATCAATGCAAAGCCCAAAATCGCCGGCCAGAACGGACCCAAGCGATCCACCAAAGATCCGCCAAGCGGAGAGCAGATCATAGGAAGGGTATTGGACAGAAATACAATGGCGATGTCTGTCGACCGGTAGAGGAAAACCTCGGGGAGATACACGGGCAGTACGGCCTCCAAGGCAGTCATGAACGAGTTCAGCATGAACATTCCCACCATTGCCACGAGAAATCTAGGCATGCATATCAAGTATAAAAGTGCAGGCCTCCTTGGAGAGCCCGTAACAGGAGTACCTGCCACTTCTGACATCAGAGGACGCCCCTCCTCGTCGGAGAGGTCTTGCTTGACATCAATCCCATGCGACGGCGTGATGAGAAGCACCCGTAGCACAAACTCCAGTACTACAAGCACGAAGGCTGGGACAAAGACGGCGAAGTATCCCGCCAGATCATATAAAAGCCCACCCACGATGGGCCCTGCGAATAAGCCAACGCTAAGACTCATGCTCGTAAAGCCGATAGCACGTCCTATGTGTTGCTCACCAACTGTGTCCAGCATCAGACTGAAGCCGATGGTAAATACTATGGCAGTGGAGCAGCCCTGTAGGATTCGAGCGAGAAGGATCAGAGTCAATGAGCTGGTAAGTGAAAAGAGCAGTGTAGCACCCCCCATAACCCCGACCCCGAGCAAAAATGGCAGCTGCTTCGTATGAGTTTGGTCGCCCATCCAACCGAATAGCACTGTGACCATAATTCAATAGGTATGTGCATGCAATGAGGTTCTACTGACAATGGATGCACGTACATGAGCCCAGCATGATGGATGCCCCGTAGCTGGCAAGTAAGATGGAATTCCAACGCTGAATATCGGCATCAGTGAGACCTACACGCTCGGCGAGGGCAAATGGAAGCATAGGCACGACTAGCCCATAGAGGAAGATATCAGTAAAAACCGCCACGCAGACCACAATGACTGCAAAGGTGGTTGATGACCGGATCTGCTTCACCAACATGTTGCGGAGGGACAGCGCGGGAATGCAAGGCAGTGCAACACGGTCGCATATGCTGCATTTGAGGCGCAGGATTCAGTCTATGTCCGCCGAAAGATATAATATTTAAGCCACTCGAGCCTAGGCTCTTGTAAGCCCGGACAACTTATCAATCCCAGAAATTCCAGCAGGACGGATGGTACGGCCCCATGGTGCGACTTCTTCAATAGTTGGAAATTAGATCAATGTAATACAGTGGCTTGCGCAGAAGATACCGCGGACTCTTCACTTTACTTGCAAACTTATCAGGATATGTGATTATAGTGTTGTTCGTAAAATCTGACATCTCTTGTGTCTCCAGGCTGTGCCTTGGCATTGACTTGAGGACAGAACAAAAGCAAGGAAGTCGGTTAGTTCTCACAAACCATTAACTTAAACTACCGTGTGTCACACTAATGCGAGATTTCCGGGTCTGTAATTGTGGCTCCTTCCGTAGATCGAGGAGATTGAGACTTGCAGTTCCAGTGGCAATGGTTCAATCACGTCCATCAGGACACTCCGCCCGCACTTACTGGCTACGTCGTGGCACAAGTAGTCATTCTATTGGGCAGCTAAAGGGATTTGGTTTATTCTGTGTGGAAATACATATTCGGGTCCGAAAAGTTACATCACATCAATGACGACTCTTGTAGTCAGGATATACCCTCGATTGTTGGTAGTCATGCAGCCGTGCTCTGCAGGGATATGTTTTCAGTATCTCGAATATGAAGACCCGTTCTAACGCACGGCAAACCCAGCAATAACCGTCAGCATCTCAATCTGCTCTGGACCGTCTAATAGCTGCTTCTCCAAAAATGTTGAATACATCTGGAGGAGCCAGGGACGACTATGGTGGTGCTCAAGGGCATTGGAATTGGCCCATCTGTGTAACCGGTCAACTGATAATCCTAAACCTAAACTAGGCCCGTGCGATACATGCCTTTCAATGACTTTGAACTCTAAGGTATCATCTACTCGATGATGTTCTGTTAATAGAAATGCCATGCACGATGGTTCTGCCTGCTCCACGAGACGTGCCGTGTCGCAAAGGAGGTGTCTGAGCTGATATATCAGTGAATATCAGTGCATTATGAAGAATGCCCGACAAAGCGTGAGGTAAGGGGCGCATACCTCAGTCTCTTTGCCATGGGCCGGTCGCAGGGTGGCGATAAGTTGGACTTCAGCCATGACTCACTTCAGTTGCTGGCAGGACCAGCATGTTAGCGAGAGGGAGTTTGGGATTTTATCTCGTTTTCTTGCTCACCCTTGTCGGAGTTCCCGTTGTCGAGCTCGAGCTATTCATGCAATTGGCGCTGTACATTGACCGTGTTTGCATGTTTGCAGCTCCATGAAGGTCCGCGACGCCCACCTTGAACATCTACATACTGCTGGTGGAATATCCCTACTGTATTCAGCCTTGCTAATTCCTGGACTTACATATTCAGCAAAGCGGAGCGGCTTCCTTTGAGGGAGAAATACTTGTCCTTTCAATCTTGACTGGACGATACGAGCATTGTTGGTATGTACATCCTTGTGCATATCGATCCAGATACCGACATTGATGAGTGAATGTCGAACAGTGATCTATCTATCTTGGCCATCATTTACTGGGGTAGCAGTGGAGAATATGGTCTGCCTGTCAGGCTGACTAGGAAGTTCCCCCTGGCTCCAAGGCTCGGTACATACATGTGTCATTGATTATGCCGCGTACGTTACGCTGACTGCATAAGAACATACCAGGACTACCGTCTTTCTGTACACATGGACAACAAAGCGACAGTGAGCCCTGCAAATTCGAGTCCAGCTTTGGTCATGCGGGGCATAAACCTGGAACACGACGTATACTTCAGGTCATAGTTTGAGATTCAAATGACTATTTGCGGAGACCTGAAGGTGATGCGGAGCAGTGCTAAAACTGTTAGATAGGGTATGTCGTTTGCTCTGGATTCAAAGTGATAGATAGATCTCCGCTCGTGGCACACCCCAACAGCCTACCTTACCGCTGGCTTCTCATTTTTATCCGCGAAAATTGTGACTTGGGAACTATTTCGGACCGTACGGAACAAGAGTACAACCACACCCACAAGTGTCTGAACTTCGAAGGCGCAGAGGCGTCGATATGGTGAGGAAGGTGTCCGGCTCCCCAAGATTGGAACAAAGAAAAGCAAACTCTATGTTGGATTCCTTCAACTAACAGAGAGACCAGTGCTCGTTATGCTATAGTTGTGTTTTGAGGCTACTGTTCAATTTATAGACGATCGAGACCTCTGTGCCAAAATTGTAGTGTGTATGTGCAATCATCACACAAATTCGGCGGCACGATGACTGTCCAACAGCTAGGACTTGGAAGCAATGGCTCAGAAGATGAGGATGTTATGAGAAGTGTGAAGACCATCTTGGTTACTGGAGGCGCAGGATTTATGTGAGTCTATTACCGGACCATGATCATGCGGATGTCGAGACATCGATAGGTGAACTAACACTGCATTTTCAGTGGGGGGTGGTTCATTCGGCACCTCCTTCAGGTATACGGAACGAGGTATACGATACTCTGCTTTGATATCCTCGATTATTGCGCGTCCAAGTGCAACATACACTCCGTCGAGCATCTTCCCAACTTCCACTTTCTTGCAGGCGATCTGTGCGACCCCGACAGGGTAACAGCTGTCTTCCAGCTATTTACAGTGGATGCCATTGTCCACTTCGCAGCGAATTCTCATGTGGACCAGTCTCTAGTTAACCCCGTCTCTTTCACTCGGAACAACGTGACTGGGACCCATGTTCTTCTGGAAGCAGCACGACAGGCCGGGACGGTCGTACGGTTTATCCACGTCTCTACTGACGAGGTATACGGAGAAAATCGGCCAAACCAGGACTATGCCTTTACCGAGGAAGATCGGCTGAACCCGACCAATCCATACTCAGCTAGCAAAGCTGCTGCTGAGATGGTCGCCAATGCCTATCGATATTCTTTCAATATGCCCATCATCATAACTCGCTGCAACAATGTTTTCGGTCCCTGTCAGTACCCCGAGAGTAAGGGCTCCCTGATGGCATTTAGAGGGCTGCGGGTTCCTGACGTATCTTTTCATAGAACTCATCCCCAAATTTGCAATGCAAATGCTGCGTTCCCAGCGTATGACTTTACATGGTGATGGAAACGCAGTTCGTGGGTTTGTCTTCGCCAGCGATGTTGTGAACGCTTTCGATCTCATTCTCCATCGAGGTCTTGTATTCGAGACCTACAATATCTCCTCCAAGGAGCAGATTCAAGTCATAGAGGTTGCGAAACGAATTCTACGGTGGTTTCATGCGGGTCCAAGCGATGCGTGCGAACAGCATCTCGAAACAGTGACTGATAGGCCTTTCAATGACCGGATGTATTGGACCGATGACTCCAAGCTCCGGCAATTAGGGTGGACAGAGAAAGTTTCGTTTGATGATGCACTTACATTGACACTAGAATGGTATCGTGACCATGGCGAAACATTTTGGTCTGAGAGAGGCCCAGCCTGTAAATTGAATGGGGGTCCGGGGTAATCCTACTTATTCACGTTGTTATCATCGAGTTGCTTGCGTTTCAGGTGAGGTTAAGACCCATATATGAGGGTATTACTGTTATAATATAACCGATATCTGGATTCCACTCTTGCTAGACAAAATACAGTAACTTCATATTCTTATTGAACGGTCATACACCTCTTGTAATTGTGACATTTCCCTCTAAAAACATGAAGACGAGAAAAACGTAAATTCCCTCCCTTAGCTGTTGACTCTCCAAGCCTTAACCACGAAACAACTTCATTTCTCAGGTCAGCAAGTGCACATGTTAGTGCTGACTCCATGGATCATCCTGGCGTTGTTGGTAAGGACATTAAATGTCAGCACAGAAACCCCTACAGGTTCGATCATCAAAGTGCAAGAAAGGAGATTTCTTTGATTGGGACATAGAACCCGTGTGGGCTAACCCAACTAATGGGTTTCCAAATCTTGATTCAAATAAGCCATTGCCCTCACCAGAAATGAGCTTCGGAGACTCGCCAAAAAGCAGTGCGGAGTTTCCCAGGGGGCGGCTAAGAGCCGACGGCCGGAGAGTTCCAGCAGGCCCACCACAGCCTCAAATAACCGTCATCAACCGATCCAGCTTCTGATTCTTCCAACAAACTACTTCTAATTATATAAATATCATATAAATATCCCATCAATCTGTTAGCTCTACCCCTAATAGGTATCGGGGGTATTTAAAACCTGCTTCAAATCAATCTGTGTCATCACGGGATTAAGCGACCAAGTCTTTTATAAATCACTGATGAAGTATATAGAGAATTTCAATTTCGGAGTGGCTTGTGTGCTGGGAGAAACGTGAGATCAGTATTTGCAAAAGCCTTGGGTTCTATCCCGTGCACTATAGAAATATTGATGAACTTGTAGTTATAGTCGCCAGTGTCCCGATGACATATAAGAAGGATCATGGTTTGATTTTCCACAACAGAAATGGTGAGAGAGTCTGGCGGAAAACTGCCGAGAAAAAACAAAAGAGAAAGAAAAATAAATACATAAATAGTTAGATGAAAAGGAGATGAGGAAAATGAAAGAAGAAAAGGGTTCCGTCAAAGTAATTAAAAAGACCCTGAAAGTAGTAAGCCTCTGATAGAGCGAAGAAAAACTACCATCAGGCGTATTGGCGGGGAGCTGCGGTTATCCGCGCTGATGTGAGATCCGTGCGGGGATAGCCTGCTTACGGCACAAAGTTCGTTAGACAGCCCTTGTCCTGATAGTTGATTTGTATCCGTTTAGTCTACTTTTAAAAGAAGCCCAAAGCCCTGGAAGACGAAGTGGTTGAAGAGATTACAACTTCCCTCCCACGGTCATCAATGCCCAACACCATCGACTGATCAACATGTCCTTCTTCCCTACCCCAACATCAGAGCAGAGCATGCACAAAGGCAACTGCCATTGCGGCGCTGTGAGCTTCCGCTTTTCGCTGTCTCCGCCTCTGTCCGAATATCATGTCGTTAGCTGCAACTGCTCTATCTGCAGCAAGAATGGATACCTGCTCGTGTACCCCTCGCTCAAAGACTTCACCCTTGAGAGCGGCGCCGAAACAACCCGGACGCACCAGTTTGGCCGGCGTCAGGCGAAGCACGAGTTTTGTGGGACCTGCGGGAGCAGTTGTTTCATCCGGCTGGTGGCAGAGGACGCGCCCCCAATCATAGCAGTAAATGTGAGTGCATCGATTTGAATATGGGGCCAAGGGTGATGCTAATCTATCTAGGTCCGTCTGCTGGAGGACTGTGATCTGGACAAACTAAATTATAAAAAGGTTGATGGAAGGTCTTTCTGACTAAATTATACGTACCAGCTGCCACTCTACCAGTCAAAGTTCTATTCACGAGATACAGCCAGTCAGCGTCACTCGGGACACTCTACTCCTCGTCAGTATATGTAACCTTGTCCATCTCATACGAACAAGAGACATGGGAATGGGTAACTCGGATATAACTTAGGTTATATAGGATGCTCTATGTGCACTATTCTATCATAGCTTTTGTCTACACGCGTCTAGGGTATCTTTTACAACTTGACCTGAAATCGAGGGTGTGTCCGGATGCGTGCCCCGTACCGCCAGAAGAACAGCGGACACGCACACATCACGAGCGCAATGAAGGCGAGAAGAGAATTACCCCATCCCAAGCCCAGGGCATCGTACATGGAAGGTCCGGCCAAGGGCAACAGGGCCCCAACCAGCGATCGTAGACCCGTGTTGGCTGCCGTCACCGAGGCGGCGTAGCGGAGATAGGAGTCGACCAAATAGGTACTGGCCGACATGAAGACAGTCATCAGGCCAATAGCAAAGACACCAGTGCCCAGGATGGGGACGATCCAGTGGGTTTGGGCCTTGGCTGCCCAGCCGTACCAAAACAAGCCGATGGGGATGGCCCAACAGCCGAAGACCATGGGCGGCAAGCGTGATTCTGGGGTGAAACACCCCTTAGCCGAATGGGTGCGCGCAATGTAATTGGAAACAGCGCCACAGGTGACGAGTCCGATCAGACAGCCCACACCAAATCCCAGGTATGCCAGGCCTGCGACGCCGGGGGAGAAATGATAGACGTCCTCGAAGATGGAGGTGATGGTGGTGAACATCAGGTACAAGTAGCCATAGGTGATGGCGGCAAAGAGCACCATGAGGAGGACAATGGGCGACTTGACGAGGAGCTTAATCGGGCGAGCCAATGCGATGAGAAGGAGCTCACGCGCCTGCTGCCCACGGTCATGGACCGAACGCAGGTTGGGATTGCCTGTAGCCTTGCGTAACCGGGCCGCTTTCCGCTCCAGAATGACGGGGGCATAAGTTTCGCGATACCAGATCATGCACAGAATACTCATCACTGCGGTCTATGTCCAAGACGATCCATGTATTAGGAGGTGACGGGAGGAGGGGGGCTGGAGTGTGGACGTCTAGACTTACAGCGATCGCAATCACCCAGAACACCCAGCGCCAGCCTTCAGCTTCGGCAAGGAAGCCACCAGCTACCGGTCCTACCACGGGGCCGAGAATGGGCCCCATGGCCCAGATGGCCATGATACCGGCGCGCTTCTCCTTGGGAACCATGTCGGCCACGGTGCCTGAGCCAATGGTGAGGGGGCAAACGCCGGCGGTACCAGCCAGAAGACGAAAGACGATCAGCTGTGGCATGGTTTGGGCCACAGCGCAGGCGATGGTGAAGATGAGGAACAGGATGTTGCATGCATGATAGAGGGGCACCCGACCATAAATCTCCGAGAGCGGGGCGATGAAAAAAGGGCCGATCATATATCCCAGGACATAGACGGACACCACGAAGGAGGCGAGCATGGTACTGGTGGAATGAAAATCGATCATAACATCCTCCACTCCGGGGGCGAACATGGAGGAAGCCAAGGGTCTACCGTGGTGGTGTTAGCCATCAATACCAAGAACGTACAGCACGGAAGAGGATATGATAAGCAAAATCAGAGCAGCAGCAGCAGCGAGACATACGTGATAAAGGTGTTGAACGCCATTAAAACTAACTGGCGGCCTTTTTTCCAGCGAGGCCAGTTGAATGGGTTTTCGGGGTCATCGGGGCCATCATAATCTACGACGTTGTCTGGATGCAGTTCCGTGGGCTGCAGAATCGTGGGCGGCTGACCCTTTTCCAAGTCAGGGTTGGCGAGGGTGGTATCGGATGCACCCATCTTGGCCCTCCTCGGTATCGTAGAAGGATTTGGAAGGGAGGTGGGAAAAGAACGGAAACAGGGGTAAGCAAACTACATCTACTGGATACAAGGGCAATGCCCCAGATTTTATGCTGGGAGGATTTTCAGACGACTTGAGGACGAATTGGCCGCAGCCCCATCGCATGTTGACCCATGGGATGTTATGCCGACCGTCAGGAACACGGGCAGATTAGAATAATGGCAAAGTAGTAACCGAACGGGTTATGCCACACTCCTAGTACGAGTTTCCAAAATCATTTCGGCTGTCTTCCATCCGCGGGCCAATGGGAAGGGTCAGTAGCCCCTGATACACATAAATCAGCCATCATAAATGCTCCTGCACAGGGACACTAGTAGTCTACTCTATTCATGTCGATGCATAATTGATAGATGTCTAGCATAAAGGAAGACTAACGAGACTAAATAATTAATTTGATTAATTTGTTGGTTAGTTAGTTATTCCCGAGGTGCTTACGTCAGCTAGTTTCTCCTAAATGTTGCCTCTTAATCTCTAATAATTTATTTAACGTCAAGTAGAATTGGAGATGTACCTGGTTGGAGATGAGGCAAGATCATTCGACAATATGGTCGGGCGATATTAATCTCAAAATGGGGAGACAGGGCATGAAAACACACAGTCTTCATTCTGCGCAGAAATACTTATGCTTGTTCTCGGCTCTCTGGGTTTTTCTTCCCGAAAGTGGGGCGACCCACTAAATTTAAAGCAGGATTTGATAGGGGGACGAATGGGAAACCGAAAACGAGACCGAAAACGAGAAACTCACTTAAATATCCAATGACCAGGAAGACATAAGCGAGGTAATACTAGTATCCAGTCTGGATGTGCTGGTCGAGAGGGCCAGTACTAACACTACGGAGTAGTATATCAGGTCAAACACTCTCAGTCAGACCTGGAGACTTTCCAGTTCTTGTAAGAAATTCAAGTTCAACCCATACTCTCAATGCCACTGTTTACATAAAATATATATTCAAATAGACCGAAGTACCACCACATACCTCCACGATGCCTCTAGCAATTCCATTTTAAATCCAGGTATTGATGGTATAAGAAAGTAGGGTTACAACAAAATCAAAGGAACAACATTTACAGATGCCAATAGTTTTCTGCCGCTTTTAGTGGTACTAGAAGCTCGGAACAGGTTCACTGCCGTATGGTATCAGTTTGCCCAGAGGACCCATGTGCAGTAAACTGGTTACAGGGGTAGCTCGTTAGTTGTTCTCCTCCATTCAGCTGTTCTGAGGTGGGCCATGCTGATGATTCTCTGTTATGTATTGGATACATCCACACGGAACAGACATGCGAAGTCTATAATGATGAAGGTAACCGAGCAGACAGGGATCAGCGAAGAATGATCCATTACTGACCTATTAGCCGGGTCCCTAACTTATAGTTTGGCTAATTATGCAGATATGCTTCTGTAGGGCGATGGCGCGATATGAGGCTCTAGCATGTGGGCAGTTTTCCACGTAGACGAGTTTAAGTAAGCTTAATGCCTGGGATCGCACGGATTGATGAACTGCTTATGGAGCTTACAGACCACGGGCGGCCAATCATGTCAATGGTTCCTGGAACATGACCTTTCCTGTATATTGCGAGCTGACTACGGACGTGGTTCCATGCTTAGTATTGGTACGTCAAGGACCACTTTTTTTTCAGGGGACCAGAGAGACTGTTTGATGCTACCTGCTGTCAGCTTTGGGCTGGTTTACGTTGAAAAGCAACACACGCGAAGGCTTTGTTGACCTGTAGCATGTTATGGGGATTGGAGCGACCCTGCTATTCAGTACTTTGATTGTTGTCACTCGTGAAGTATATGTGGTTAGCACTTTACTATATAGCAACAATCAACAGCCTATTACAGCAAAAGCAAGCGAGAGCACCATGCAAAATAGAGCAAAAGTATTTTATAGTCTTCGACTCCACAGCCACTACTGCCAACACACATGCCCTCACATTCCATTAATGGACTAATATTCAGGAGGGTTGATCAAGAGTCATAATCTTGGCATGGACACCTAGAACCTGAATTTGGAGATGGCCGTCAATGTAAGCAACAGTATTGATTGCGATATCTCTCCGCCATGACCTTTTGCCGCGAGCTGGACCTAGCAGTCATTGCCGGCCTATGCATCACAGCCCAGGAGGGGACGATAGATGTCATGATGCTCCGATATCACATTCCAGATGACTTGTCAGGCTCTACCGTCAAGACAACCAGATCACTCGGCATAAGCCCAGCATCCACATTCAGGATCAAGATAGCATTCATCATTCATTATTCACCAGCGAGACAAAGCGGCGGAAATGCTCTCCAAGCCTCAATCCAAGAATATACCTCGACCTCAGCAGCAGTACGATGATTACCACTAGATGGACTCTCACATATAATTCTGCCAGTCTCTCTCAATATGCATGTGTAGAACTTAATTCCCTTGTCTCTATCTATCCGAGTCTATGTTTTTGACCGGCTGCTCAATGTCCTCGTTGGCATTAAGGCTACAGTATTTGCAGTCACTAGATCAGCAACCGCCAGGACTAGTAGTGGTGTGACCACTGCACCAGGAAAGGATATTTGCAAGAATGGGTACCAGTCCGCGGACGACTTCACTTTCGACATTAATACCTATATGGCCTATCTATATTCAGATACTCTCTGTAATCTGACTCTGTCAACCCATGACACCGAGTGCATCGATTTCAGAGCTCTCCAACGACATGACCCTAGACTTTAAGCCATGAGATGCTCCATAGGAGTGGTCTGAAGACCAATGCTAATTGCTGGTGCTCTTCCTTATCCGATTTGCCAGTCGAACAACTAGCCCGCGGGCGATATTCCTAACTCAATTTACCTATATGTTATGCCACGTATATTGTACATGATATAAGGTACGCAAAAATCGACAAACTCAGTGTCTTCCCATCGACTAGAAAGCTCGGTCTGATGGAGGGCAGCTCACTTATTTTCGACCTTCGTTACCCACAGAAAAATGGCCACAAATACGAGAAAGCTTCAGGTGGTCTGCATGGCACCCCATGGACAAAATCAAAGGCTATTGAGTCTTTGGATTGGTTGCATCATTAGCACAGGGTTCAACCCTCGGCGTGGCTTGTCCGAAGAGTGGATTCGACCAAAGGGAATACGAACTCCAGCCAACTTCTCGACCAGGGGGCACAATCACGAGATAGCTCGATACTTAGGCACCAGGGGCCAGCCAGGCAACATTGGAGGAATTTCGGAACAAGCCGTCGAAGTCTGTTTGATCTAGTGGCATAAACTAGACTCGATTGCGACCGTGAACAGAATCGAGTGTCAAGAGCGAAGGCGCTAACAGTTCTCGCCCCCCAGTCCGGTTTGCCACACAAAAAAAGGGATCCGGACGTATCGCGACTTGTCTGAGGCCTAGAAACCCAGGATTATTCATTGATGAGTGTACAGTAGGATGAGAGAGGATATGGAAGTTTCCAAGGACTGAATCATAACCAGCGAGAACTTACTATCAGATCCTGCCCTGTTGGACCCTGGTGAGATCATCTCGACGGGGAAGGAAGGGAAAAAAAAAGCGTGAGCCTTAGCGCCGGCGCTAAACCCTCCCAAATGGCTCCATTCCGGACCCTTTTTCGAAACCCTGCCAATCAGTTACCCGAGGAGGCAATCATCAAGATGCAGCAATTTCCACCTGTTCCTACGTGGAGTGATATGAGGCTCGAACCTCGAGGTAATTATAGATAAGCCCTGTTGGACACCACAATGGACCCTGGACTGCCCTCGTTCGGATTCTCCTTCTCTCCCTTCCTCACTCACCATTCTCAGCGGTTGTCCGTCGGAGATGGCATCCTCACGTTCGTTTTCGGGATTCATCTCCCTTCTGCTTCTGTTTCAACTCTCTTCCTTCGTTTATGCTGCCCCATGGATTGTCACTGCAGACTACCAGGAGGTGGTCACCACAGAAAGGCATTACTATGCTACGTACACCACCACTCTCATTGAGCAAATCACTCCCACCGTCACTTCCATGCCCGAGGCAGTCTCCACCGCTACCTCCCTCGGCTCCTCGAATTACTACTACTACTACAACGACGACGAGGACGCCGAAAATGATGTGACTATCATTCAACAACTTTACCCAACAGGCGTCGGGTCAGTGGTTGATGATTACGACTACGATTATGGCTATGGCTATGACGACGATGACGTTTACCACAGTACCAAGTTCGTTGTCAACATGACATATTCGGCGCCCACTGGTTGCTCGTCTCTCTGGACCCAGACAACAGCAGTTGAGGTTGTCCCGCCTACAGAGATCCAGGATCTGCTCCCACGCACGGCTGTTGCTACATCGATCTCGGTCGACTCTGTGAGACCTTTTCAGCCGACGACCTACACTATCGACATTGTCTACGTTGATCCCACGCAGATTCCCACAAGCTCACTGGAGTCAATGAGCTTGTACAACCGGCCTACCTCATTGTATACTGCTTCTAGCTGTGCCTACACCGGCAGCAGCGGGAACGGGTACTACAGCGGCAGCTCGTACTACGGCTATTACGGCTATGATGACGGTTACAATTGGTTCACGGACGATTACTACATGGGTATCACGCCGCTGGCACTCACCCTCATCTTGACACTTGGCTGGATTGGCCTCTGGTTGATCTTAGGTTTTATTGAGGCGTGGATCCGATTCCGCCGCCTGATGATGGGCTGGCAAACACGTCGCGGTCTCCCTGTCTGCTGGTCACTGACTATTCTCCCCTTCACCCTGTTACTGCTATGCTTTTTCCGGAAGGGTTATCGGGCTCGCTCTGATGCAGATGGGGAGGTCCTTCGCAAGCGGTGGAAGGCGATGGGGTTCTGGACCAAGCTGCGTCTCTTCTTCGTCTGGGGATTTCGGTACAAGTACCCGCCGGTACTCGGTCCTGCACCCGCCCGGGTCAAGACCAGCAAGCAGCCAGCAAAGAATCCTGGTCCTCGACTGTTGGAGCCCAGTCGCTCGCCCAGTGTAGCGCCACAATCGCGGCCGGGATCAGCCTCTGCATCCACCGCTGCTGCTGCTGCTGCTGCTGCTGCTCCGGCTTCTACTCCGGCTGATCCCGAAATGGCGATGGTTTCTTCCCCCCAAGTCACACACCCACAAGAAACCACTGTGCCACAAACGACGAATACTGGCCCGGAAGCGCCACCTCGTCGCCAGGATGATGAGATTAGTCGGACGAACTAATCCCAAGTCGTGTTCAATATGCTCATGGTCTTAGTCTGATACCCCGAAACTCACTCTTTCTTATACTATCATCCATCACGTCACAGAGAAACTTTCATGTTATGTCTAATGTCCAAATGTATTCCATAATAAGTTAATGTATTTACTGGGTCCTACCATTTGGGCCAGCCGACGGTGTCCGCGGTAACACCAGTCAACATATATCTAATAATATCTATCTACCAAGAATACCATACCAACTAGTTTGAAAAAAACGATGTGACAAATGACTGGCTCTTTCCTGTGGCATGCCCAGGGAAGGATCGACTATCGACATCCTGAGTTCTCATGTATAAGGTGAGGAAGCAGGGTAGGTGGGTTGGTAAACGGTTTTCCGAAGTATGGCGAACATATCGATTGTCCAAATTCGCGCCGCTGTTCATCACTGCTGAGGCCGGCCTCGCGGCTGAACTAGAAGAGTAATGAAGGCGAGCTTTTTTTTTTTTTTTTTTTTTCAACTTTTTTGGTTTTTCTTTTCTTGGTCTCTCCCCTTTCATCCTTGAATGAAGAAGAAGGGACCGCCTTATTTTCTGAATGAACGCCTTAAGCTCAGTTGAATAGGGTGGCTCGAGCGACATGGACTCCAGCTCTTCGCTGTTGACGTGCCCGCGACCGTCGAAGCGGATTGGCGAGCATCGCTTATGTAGGCGACATTCGCGACGCTCTCCGGTAATTCTCATGGCTTATTCGCCCCGGATCCCCGCCAACATATTTATAAGGCCCATGCTTGGTACATTAAGCAAATAACCCAAATTTAGCTTTCTTGAGGTCAGGATACCCAAAATGACTGTTATCGACAAACCAGACGAAGTCTATCCCCCAATCCCCGTATACGGTGGTGAGTCGACCTGGTAATTTAGATTTAATGGCTGAGCATGCTTACATTCATTTGCACAGGCCGGTGGACTCCGCCCAAGCGCCTTCTGGACTGCTACAACTACATGTGGATTGACACAGACGCGTGGGAGCATCCAGAAAATGTTACCTTTGAGCTCTACAGCCAACCAACGCGCGGTCCCGGAGCCCAGGGCTCCTATCTGGTCGTCCTACCACCGGGCTACAATGACTTAGATGTAAACGGAGAGCAATAACCCGTACTCTACTGGCTGTGGTCACTTCAATTTTATGCACGCAAAATGGAGCTGGGCACTATGCCCAAGGTGATTTTGGTCGCACCGCAGGTACGCATGGATGTGGCATAATAAGAGGACAAGTGATCATTGTTATCTACAGATCTGCTGACACCGTTCATAGGCATTGCCGGAAGGACGCTGGACCAACAGTTACGACGACAGCCGCCGCCTTCGGGACATAATGCGCCACAATCTCGTCACAGCCATTGATGAGCAGTACAGGACCATTAGACATCCATCAGCGCGTTGGCTGGAGGGTCACTCAGCAGGCGGGTAGGTGGCCAAACACCCGTAGAGTGTTCCTTTTACTGAGAGTTGACCAGTTATGGTGCCTTTAATCTTGGTCTCAAGTATCCCGATGTTTGCGGAGGCGCCTTATCGCCACTTGCTGGCTCGTTCAGAACTGAATTGGCCAAGGAGGGCCTTAAGATTACTTACGACACTTACAACGGCTCGCAGGCATTTTTCACCTCTAATCATGCCCTCACGCTTCTGAAGGGGATTCTCCCACGGGTCCATCGCGACAAGCCGGAGCTGCAGCTGCTCGTTGGCGGCGAGGGTGTTAGACTACGTGAAGAACATGAGCACATGTGGACCAGCTTGTACGCTCTGGGCGTACCTTACACGAAAGCTAATGTCCCCGGAGCTCCCCCACAGCAGAGCATGTCCTGGGTGGCCTGAACAATGATGATCTCCAGTTCCGGTGGAACGCACGGGCAAAGGTTGTTGACGCCTGAGACTGGGGCGTGCTGGTCCCTTCCATTTGGAGTAGTACTAGTACCTCAGTCCAGAAATCCTACTGCCTCATGATCAATAAGCTTTATAAATAGAACCTAATAAATGAAGTATGTGATGCAATACAACGCTGTCTTTGTGTGCCACCCGTACAGGGATTCGACCTGTCCATGACCCGGCGAAAAATAATTCTTTTATCGGGCGTCGCACAATCAACTCAATTCGTCAGAGATAGTCGCATCAACCACCCAGTAATTTGAATGGTTTATGAACCGGTCGGGATAGGAGAGCAGAATATTTTCTCATGGTCGTTAACAAGGTATCGGGTATAAATTATCTCTTCACAGGGTAGATGATAGAATACAATGGTTCAGATAGTGCCTCAAATTGATAATAAATACGTGGAAAAACCCCAATTATCGATCTATTCCAGATGTTCTAGTGTAACAGCGTCCTAAATAGAATACTAATTCCCTAGCATAGTTCCATAGTAACTTTAGACCTTGTTCTCGATTGCTGTCGAGCTTCAGCAGTTGATGGTTCTGCATTGTGGTTGCTGCCCGCCCTCTTGTTCTTTTCTTGCTCTAGCCGAGCTCTAGCTGCCTCCTTTTGCTGTTGGTCATCGTCCCTCTTCAATGAGTAGTCCTTGACGAAAAAGACGCAAAGAAAGAATTGAATACCGGCCAGGGCAGTCATCATGTAATATGTGACCTGTACTCCGTGGGCTGACTCAAATACTTAGTCAATGAGTCACTCCGCCAAGCAAAAAAAGGGGGGCATATAATTGGTTGGGATGTAAACGGATAAGATAAATAAAGCACAATAGTGGCAAGGGACAACTCACCGTACGCATTCAGTGCTTCTGATTCTTGTGCCGAGGATAGTGACATGGAGGCTATGGTTGTAGGATCGGCGATACTTTCGGAAATGGCGGAAAGTTGATTCCCTCGAGCTTCGTCCTATCATTTCCTGTCAACAAAGCTTGCTTAAAAGACAAGCGTGAAAAAAGAAGGAAAATCATAAAAGCAAGGCAGTAATAGATGGGTGGATGTAAATGAATTCTCGCTCACCGGACAATGTTGTTGACAATAGCCGAACTGGCAGCTACAGCCAAAGTCGAGCCCATCATTCGTAAATAAACACGAGCACCAGTGATAACTGCCATTCCTTCCCTCTTGACTGCAGCTTGAATAGCAACCAGGGTAGTCTGGAGTGTCTGCCCACTGCCGAGCCCCGTCAGTAGCTGGAAGATCACAAGGACCGCTGCCGTCGTTGATGGAGTGACTATTGTAAACAACCCCGACGCAATTGTCCAAAGAGCATAACCAACAATGAGGTTGATTCGGTTAAGTCGATAACATGAGTACTTCGATACCAGGAAGCCGGAAGAAAGTGATGTGACAATCTGCGAGAGGATTAGTGGAAGTATCAGGATACCCGATCGTAGCGCGGAGTCGCCCCGGGCGACTTGATAAAACTGGGGCAGCTGAAGGGGGTTGTTAGTCTGAGTTGCAAGCATAGAAGAAGTCCTGGGGAATTTCAACGTAGAAGAGGTTGACAAAAGTCATGGAGGTGGTTGATACTAACGTGGAATCCTGCGGGAAAGAGTTAGTGTTCGCACGCAATAACTGATGATCTTCATCGCCGGTGATGTCCAGCCAGGGTATCATATCGAGCGCCGTTACGATGATGCCACAACAGTCCTATTTACTCTTGATGACACCGGTTGCTCGGATAAACCATCACATGTCCACGTCCACGCTGCCTCGGGCCATCAGAGCAAGCCTTCATGCCTGCACTCTGTCTCACTATCACCTGATGGGTACTTTCTCATCGAGTGTGACATGAAAAGAGACCAGCTCGTTACAATGGTAGAGTTAACACCACCATGAGGGGAAGGAAACGGTTTTGGGATTGTACTAAAAAGGTCATACCCTTCTGCGACATAGACTGCCCCCTTACCGATAGATTCTGCCCGTGATCTCTATCATGACATATAAGAAAACGACATGTTGAGTGGGTGCCATGATGTAATTCTATGTATTCAAAGATTAGTATACTTAATTAGGAATGAATGGGCTCGTAGCCGTCGAGCTCAACGACTCCCTTCTGTGAATACTGGGCAAGCCAGCAGTGTCATGTAGCCTCCCTTAAAATAGTATATTCCCACATTTTCATGGTTTATAGGATGGTTTGAACGATGGAGCTATATCTCTGAACGAGCTTGGTCTCAAAATTAAGTTCTATCCCCTTCTATTTCTTTTCCTCCTTGCTGGTGGAGATCGGCAACTTATTCCGACGTATACCTACTTTCAGGAGACAACAGTATATTCCGTTTCGGCACAATCAATTGAACATGGGACTTATCCAGAAAAAAAGTACCTCTTGCCCTCCAAGGTGTCGTTAAGGCAAACGAATGGTCAACTGTCCGCAGCGACGGCATCGGAGGGCAGCCAGCCGCTGCCGCTTAATTCCGGCTCCGAAGGCATTACAAACCCCGTAAAAAAAGAATTGTACCGGCCTGAAATTGCACCATCGTGCTGCCATTGCTCCGTACTGATGGGTGGCGTGCATCTCCGAGACCAGCTGGAGAGCCGGCAGTGTCTGAAACAATCCCCAAACTAGTCGACTCGGTCCGGAATGGAAGAGTCATTCATACCTTTGTCGATCAAGTCGGTCCCTCCGTGCGAAGGCCAACTTGGCCTTATAACAGGTATCGCTCCTCATCGAAAGAATATAAAGAGCTCTTAAATCCCGTTCAAGGGAGAACAAAAGCATTACAAGCAGTGGCCCCCCCCCTTCTACAAAAGCTCAACCAACATTGAAAGTTGGTTCATTCTTAGCAAGGGACAATCTTAATGGCAGCCCCTCGCCCTGCAAAGTATATGAATGTTCCCAAGGCGGACCTCTCCACTATCCAGTTTATCAATCTTCTTGATAAGGATGGATCAGAGTTGAAGAAACTTATCACAGCCTGTAAGAAAGATGGCTTCTCCTACCTCAATCTTCAACATGGCGGTTCCGAAAAGTTTTGGACTGACTTGTACAAGATTGATACTATCACCAAGCAGTGGTTTTCTCAGTCTGAGTATGTCAAGCTGAAGACCCCTACTGTGTCTCTATCGCATGGTAAGTTGTTCTATAGTTTGTCTATGAATAAATTTCATAGTCCAACTAGCTGATCTTTAAACCAATCCAATCCAGGTTCAAAGCCATTGGAAACTAGTCTGGAGCTGTCCAGTCACACAAAGATGGCTTTGAGGCACTAAAGGTGAGTAAGAGATATCCTAGAGAAAACATCCTCCTTACCACTATACGTATTCATTCCCAGCCCTAACCATGTTAAATCGGCAAATTCGAAATGGATGGTCGATGGGCTCTTCCTTCCGTGGCACAGGACAACTGCAATTTGTTTGACCAGTTCACCGCCGCGGGTCATTCTATCTCGAAGCTTCTACTCGACTGTATCTTAGATAAACTGGGCCTGAAGGAAGACGCCCAGCTTGAAAGTCATTACTAGGATAATTATTACTTGAAAAGTATTCTGTACTTTCTTTATTACTCTTCCAGAGTGACAGACCCAACCAAGATCGGCCAGAATATATACACTGATATTGGCAGTTTAACCATCCTCCACATGCTATAATGGGATCTCCAGGTCTTCTCCCCGGAGGATACTACTTGGAATTATATCTTTCCCCAACCGGGTCATACAAATATTAATATCAGTGATACAAGCCTCTTTTCTTTCGATTAAGTATTTAGGCTCTGTATTGCACCGCGTGTTGCCTCAGGGCTAGGTCCAAACTGAAGATTGCTACTCTATATTGTACTTCCTGCGAGCTTCGGACTCCACCGACTTCGAAGACAGCAATGGAGTAGATTCAAGCGCGAAATAATGGTACTTGAAGAAGTATGAAATGTATGAGTGGCCCCATACCATTCAGACAGAGGGGCGGAATGGCTCAGGAGCTACAAGCTACCTTCTAAGGGAGGCGTAAAAGGGCTATATTTTCTTGCGGATGAGTCGACAGGGGACAGAACACCTTTGTATTAGGCTGGTATGAGCAGAAGCTATTGCTGGAAGAAGATTATCTTTTGGTTGATGTCATTTATTGGGATCAAGTCTGCAATGATGAGAGTATCATCCATTCTTAAATGAGAACGCCATTTCTGCTTGGAGGATTCGGTAGAGAAAATCCGAACATGATGTGAGAGCCTACAAAATACTATCTTTTAGCGTCACAAGACAAATCATCTATCTGAAAAGCTTCAGGATACTCCCGAAGATGATTATATAGATACATAGATGAAGTGGGAAAAAAAGGCAAGGGAGGTAAGAAAATAAGCTATTTGCGTGATGAGAACCTTGATATTTCCATATCACAGTACATGATGGTGACTGACTGGTGGATCTTACATTAATGAATCTTTCCCGTCACCTTTCTCTGTGGTCGTGTGTTAAGTTTTTTTGGAGTATTTCGAGTGCTTTTATCCGTTTCCAGCTTCTTTGTATTAATAACTATTTATTAGTGGATTAAGTAAGCTTTAATCACCATTGACTTCACTAGGGACCCTCCTCACCTACTATATACCCTTGTCATCCTCATGTCTTTGCCCCACCAAGCTTGCGACGAAGGCGCACCGAGATAGAGCATTGGGCTACCTGATTCACGATAAGCTGTGGTTCATGGTTTCCTCGGTAGTCTGAACAAGGAGAAAATCCTGCACACGGTGTTGACTGTTTATCGCTACACAGCCCACAGGCCGCTGATCGTGTCCCGCATCGATTGGGATTAGTTAATTCAAATTATCCGATATATTGAATATGAGGGATTTGATTGACATAATCCCGGAGTGGAATCGATTTATTAGATATACCGAGTTACCGACCCTGCAGGTAAGGTTAAAGTTATCATGGCAGAAGCTTAACGACCGTTAAGTATATCATTCTACAGCATGTAAATTTGCGTGGTGGAATGCAATGTTTTCCGACCGAAAGACAGGGAAACGCGCTGCAAATAAAAGGCTGCCAGACGACACCATGAGGTAATGGAAATCTTCAATCTGACCAATAATGCAATGAACTGAAAAGAGCAGTTTGGCATATTTACAAGACCCCACTGCCCAGAGGCGGGAGCACCTTCAAAAAACAGTGGCTACCCTATCACAGGCTGTAGCCCAGCGGCCAAAGCACTAACAGGAAAGAAAGATGTACATAGAGGAGAAAGCAAGTGCTGTTCCTGTATCGTGCATCCCTTCCCGTGGTCATTTTTCTCTTTCCCTCATCTGTCTGAGCCAGTGAAGCCATACCCAAATGTTTGTGCACCACATGGCAGTCAGGGACTAGCACGGGCGGTGTCAGGGGTTCTTGGCTGATTACGGAGGGCAGATCGGAACTACTGCTCGTTAGACTTTCTATTTCGGAGCCTCGTGCTTGTAGATGAGAATGAATCGAGAGGAATAGAAAGCCTTAGTCTATGTTTAGGGACCCAGAAGATCTCGGTGGCTGCACTAAATGCCGCGTGCAAAGTGTAAGTTTTGATGATCCGCCCCTTGTCCTGAATAGGAGTCATGACGGGCGAGCTCTCAGCAATAGCCAAGGGATTGGCGAAAGTTCAAGTGGGGCGAGCAAAGAGGGAAAGTGGTGGAGAAGCCAAGATGAATAACCGAGCCTGTGATTATTAGTATTGCCGGCATCTCCGGTGTAGGGTTAGGCGAGGCGCTGGCGGAAATTGCTACTGGCCACCATGGCATCTGCCTGGCAGGCTGGAAGGTTGCCAGTGAGAGTAGAATCATGGAAGGATCAATTTAAGAGAAAAAAAGTAAAAAAAAAAAAAAAGTGAGCAATCTGCCAAGATACCTTGGGGCTGTCTATGCCTACAATAATCAAGATGGAGTGGGGGGCGAAACAAACAGAAAAAAGTAGCAGTTGAAAGTGTATGGACTGTGGAGGCCAACCAGAAATATGTCAAAATTGCCGCTTCTGACGTGAACTGAACGGAGACTAGCGCTAAACTCAATCATCTCACAGCCTATGAGCTTATTCAGTATTTGGTACATTTATGTATTCTTCCTTATACTCTCTATAAATATCAAAGGGAAATGCTTTCCGCTTGGGTACCAAAGTCTGTTCCAACGATCGTCCATGCCGAGGCCCAACGAGACCATTTCTCTTAGCAACCAACACGAGTCTCTCGGGGAAAGAGGACCCACTCAAAACCCCTGGACCGGCGGTCGCATTACATTATACCTCAATAACCGCCTGTACAAGACTGCCGATCTAGTGTTTCGGGAAACCGGACAAGATCCCCGTCGGGCTGGTACTCGCGAATCATGGCACTTGGAGCGTTCCAAAGTGAGCTACTGTAGCAGGCTAATACCGGTCCGTACCCCGAATACCAAATAGTGCCATAGACCTATGCCCCTCGAAAAGGTCTCTACCGGGTGGAATGTGATACTAGATAAGGATCTACTTGTTTAGCCAACTTTAGCTCTTACAGAACGGGTCTTAAGGTTGTTTGGGGTAATCACAATGAGGATCATTGCTCATGTCCTGTGGATCACGACATCAAAGCTCACCAACGGGAACCCGTGGTCTAGACTCCATATAAGATGGCAGTCCCCTCCACTCCGGTATTGCGGTGACTCCTTCCTAACCTCCCTCCTCTTGGACTCTGTGACCTCTGTACCTGGAGGGGCCTCTTGGCCATTATGCGCCTGCGTGAGATACTGATCGGGATCTCAGTGTCTCTGGTCGCTGGGGCCTCAGCGGCGAATTCCACTCTACCTCAATGCGCGGTATGTTCGGGTGTATTGGATCGCCCTGCCCTGGCTGACCCGTACAATAGGTTACCTGCCAGACGCAAGTTCTAGCTGCCAACTCGACCACATGCGCAACGACCGATACAACATGCCTGTGTAACGATGACGGATTTCAAGATGACATGACGACGTGTGTTACTGCGAAGTGTACAGGCAGAGAACAGCTCCGTATGTCGCAGTGCAGGCTTTGATTTGCTGCCATCTGACAATTTGCAGTCACCAAACGATTAGATAGCCGACAATGCGGAATCCCTGTTCATAAAGGACGCCCCGCCGTGGAGGCCGCTACCATTGTTCCGCTAGTCATCTCAACGCTCCTTTTTTTTAATCGAATCCTCGCGAAGATCATGGGTCTTGGTGGTGGTTGGGGTGCAGACGATGTCACGATCACTATAGCATGGGTACGTACCACGCTATACGTGCCACATATCCTTTACTCATGATGACTATAGGCCCTTGCAGTGGGCATCTTCGGTGTCAATGTCAAGAGTAGGTTTGGTTTGTTGGACACCAGGTGACTGTCTAACCATCCTTTAGTGATTGAATTGGGTTTCGGCAAAAACATGTGGGACATTATCCCAATGGACAATATCACTCTGATATTCAAGGTGGGTGTCTACCCGTCAATGCCACAATTATGTTCTAATTGTTTTTTTAGTGCTTTCAGGGGTTTGTTGTGATGTACAAGACACAGGTTTCTCTAGCAAAGATTTCAGTGTGTCTGTTCCTGTTGAGAATCTTCCAGTCTAAATTGTTTCGCTATACCACATGGGCGGTCATCGGTTTGAATGCCGCTATTGGAATTACGTGGGTCCTTACCGATTCCTTTCGATGCATTCCCGTCCACTTAGCCTGGACGCAGTGGGAAGGGCTCGAAACAGGGAGATGCGTTGACTTCATTGCTGTCACGTTCGCCAACGCTTTTGTGAACATCGCTGTCGATATAATCATGGTGCTCATGCCTGTTTATGAAGTGACCAAGCTCAACTTGTCTGCTCGCAAAAAGCTGGGAGTCAGTGTCATGTTTGCCATGGGTCTAGTGTAAGTATTGTCTCCCTCGTTGTCGCCGCATCTGCTAACCATCCCCAGATTGACAGCAGTGGCAATCATTCGTGTCGTCGTTTTCTGGTACAACCGTTGGAACACCAACCTCACTGGTTCGTCCGGGCTCCTCGCCCCTGATTAATATCTACTGATTCAGAATCACAGAACAACTCCAACCCATCGTTCATTGGTCAGTCCTGGAGACCCAAATCGCCGTCATGTGCGCCTGTCTGCCCACCTTCCGTGCTATGCTCGTGCATCTCTTCCCGAAAGTCCTGGGCAATACCAGCGACCATTCATCCTATGGCAAACGGAACACGCCTAGCGGAGGTGCCGCGTTAGGATCCCAACAACCATTGAGCAAGAGCCACATTAATAAAACAGTCTCGTACTCAGTCGACTATGGAGGAAAGAAGAAACCCCAAAGAAGCAGTTTCGTGCAACTGGTGGAACTGGACCCACAGGCTCACCCATAAGCGAGTCGGTTCTAGCCGAAATTTATTGCCGAGTTTGTAGTTTTATCTTCGCTCCACCATCTCTTCCACAATCTCCTTTCTTTTGTTTGGGACTACATTAAATTAGACATAAATCATTAAGCATGAAATCATACAAACAATGACAGGGGGAAAATACTCCATGATGAAAGGATGACGCCATCGGGACAAATATCCGAACGATTTTCAACAGCGAGCAACGAGCTCTCATAAAGGTCAGCATTAGACTCAGGAAAAGAAACACACTAGACTTCCATATTCACGTTTTCATCAACACATGTCTGGATATAGGTGTCGTCAGTTCCACTCCCTGCTTAGTAAAGTATGATGGGATCTACATAGTAAGCCAACGACTGGGGTAGCTAATACACAAGTCAGGTCAGTTTGAGCGGTAATATCTCTGTATTGTATCTTATCAACAGTCAAAATAGGAGAAAATTACTATCTGTCTGAAATATAGTCAAGGAATATATAGGCGAACCACTTAGCAGAAGCCGCCTGCAATGGCCAACATGGTAAATAGTACAGCTTAATGCTATGGTTCAAGAATGTATATAGCCATATACTGTATTTCGCGTGACATCACTGACAGTTAGAAGAAAAGCTTTAAAGACGTAGGTATGACTGCGCTAGAAAGCCCTTGCCCATCACCATGTCCTTGAGACCTACACACTGCACCTGATGACAGACAGCATTATCCAGCCATATAGCCCGTGCCATGGTCTCTCTCCAATGTCAAGCGAGTTGTAGTGAGTACAATCAATCGTACCTGAGGTTACACGGATGACCGCATATGCTTTGCTATGGTCGTGGATCACAGATCGATGTATAGATGGGGCAGACCTCCATTACGGAGGGAATGCCGGGGGAATTACCCTAAGCAGATGGTGTGTCATTGATCTAGGATGGATAAAATCCTGTTTTATTCCAGAGGCCATAAAGGCGAACCTTGCTTGACCCAATGGTAACTCGGAGATATTTCAATATAAAATCTGCATGGTCAACTAGGTTATCATACTTTGTTCTGAGCCTCTTGTGTCCCTAATAGCCCTGCGTTTCAATGCGCTTATGGATGATCTCTGGTAGGTTTTTGAAATTGTCTGTCCTGAGCGTTATGCCTTGTGCGACGATATTCTGGTACGGAGTCTGATATACTCGGGGCAGATTCGTCTTGGTAGTCACCCTGGCAAGATCTAAGTTATGTAGGCAGACTGATTCATTACTGACTACAAGCGGTAGGAAACCCTCTGTAACAGGAAGTGGGAAACGCTCAATGGTAACAGGCTGTGCAACTATGATCAGCATATATTTTATATGGTATAGATATTGATCATTTTCTGTATCTCATCTGATAGGACCTAAAGTACTTACTGAAACTCCATTATTAAACGAAACAGTTGTTAACTGCTTCAACAATGCCCTGTCCTGCGTGGTAAGTGAGACCTGCTCAAACGTCACAGCATTACAGGTATAGTATTTCCCATGATGTATTCTCCGGTTACTTTTATTGATAGGCAGCCAGTGAGTCACCCCATCAGCCGTTTCCGCCTACAGTAAATATGGCCTGGCTTCAGATATCAGGCACAGAGACTCATAACGTAATCCATGGTTGGGCGACCTACTGTTATAACCTAAAGACCCCAATGGCTAATCAAGCCTAAATGAAGCCTGTGTATTCATAAGGGGTTTTAAAAAAAAACCCTAATAAACCCTAATAATTAATATTTATTTTAATTCTACTTCAGGATTAGTTTACTTTTTCAGTGTTCTGATATAGATTGAAAACTATCAATAATTCATATTGAGAGATTAGTTAAAGAATTTATATAAATAATCTACTTATATCTATAAACAAGATAAGATTCTATAAAGTATTTTTGTATCATATTTGAATATTTTGAGATTATCTTAATTATCTTATTAGAGTATATTACAATGAAAATATCTCTGATACTGTAGATGTCAAGATAATTATATTAATTATTACTAGATTTATAAAATCTACTTTTAATTAATTTAATTTTATAATAATATCTTATCTAGAATCTAAGAAATAAAAAATCTTTAGCCGCCATGATAGAAATGTGAGGACGACTCTTGACCAATAATCGTCCAAGCCTCAACACACACGACCGGACAATTCTCACCGTTTGTCATCTTTTACATGTACCGGAAGTGTCCTGATGACGTATAGATGTTTCCATGACCTACGTGATGGAACGATATATTACATCTGCTACCTGGCTAGATAGGGGCTGACGGACAGACCTGCGTTCGCAATTTTCAGATCACGTTTCATTCTATTTCAAATAGTAGGATGTATGGAAAGCTGCCTCCCTTCTCCGATAGGATACCAAATTTTCGTGTTCTGTTTGGACATTTGAAAGGAGGTTGAATCAATCAGACCAAGGATCCCACCCATCTGGCCAGCCAGCATCCCTAGCATACTCAGACAAGCAAAATTCGTCATCGTCATCAATATCGTATTCAAACTCATCCTTTAACACCCGAGTTTTATGCTGGATATCTTGAGTAGACGACGTGGTCGGATTTCGTTTGACCTTGCTCTTGCACCGGCTTTTTTTGCCCTTTTGTCCCTCTTCTTTCTTTCGAAGTTCTGCCCATGACTTTAATTGTTCCGGGTTTCTGATGCAGAATATGATCACGTCGCGTACCGCATATGCGTCTCTCAAAGCACTGTGCGCACGATCTCCGCTCTGAATGTCCAAATCCAAAAGAGTTTTGGCCACGGCCTTCAAGCTCCAAACGCGAGGTAAACTCTCCGTGGGGCCAGTGGCTGGGAATACAGCCTCCGCAGTCAAAATGGCGGAGTCAACAATTCTGTTGTGACAGATTCCCAGAACCTCAAGGTCATAATTAAGGGATTGGCCGACGAAAACAGTGGATGTATCGGCAAATTGCCATAAATTCTCGCGCGCTTCTCGCCAATTTCTGAATGCAGCGCCAGATATCGTGGCGCTTGTCATAACATCTTGGGTTATTCCGGTAATTTTTGATCTCCAGTCAATGACCTCCTCGGATGGTGCTACGTAGCGGCTAATGAGAACATCGCCTGTCAAAAAGTCAATGGCACTTATGAACGCCAGAGTTTGCCGATTGTCTTTGACACCGATCATCTCACAATCGAGTGCGATGGCATGTCTCTTGAGTCCCTGCTGTTCCGCAGACAGCGTTTCGCGAAATTGATAAGTGGGAATGGACCCCTTCCGTGGGAAGTCTTTATTCCTTACTGTGACTGGTCCTAGGATGTATCCTTCTCTCCGAAGGCGGCTCTCTGAATGGCACTTGGAACGCAGATACCTCAGAATTAGACACTGTTCAAGGGGATGCAGAACGACGTTGTGGATGTTTGTGTTGAAATCGATTCCTAGCCAAGAGTTTCCCGGATACCAAGTAAGTCTTTATGTAGATCACTTAGTCGCATGGACGACTGCAAAAGGGAGCAAAGATCGAGAGGGTTGGTTACCATTAGCATCAGTTACACCCGATGCGATCAAAGGCAATTGAAAGGGCAAGTTGATCGGATCACGCTCCTCTCCGAAATGCATTATATTTCCGACAGCTGTCAGTAGAGTTTCTTGAAAGTACTTTTGGCCACTTCCGAGGGGTGATGGCGACGTTATTGTCGGACCTGCTGAATGCTGGTTATAAGCCTTTCTCTCCTGAATGGGCTTTTTCGTATTGGTTGAAGCTTCCCGAGCTTTGACGTGCTTTTGATAATGCTGTATGACTGCCATGCCGCTGCCGAATGCCTTTTGGCAGACGGTACACCGCACAGAGTGAGATTGCTTCTCAAAGTGCTTCTGGGCCTCCACCAAGCTGCGGAACCCTCCTCTCTCGCATCCTGGACAGGAAAAAGATACTGATTTCTGCATTCCGAATATCAAAATTGCAGTCAGCGCGTGTGCCTGACTTGCTGTTTTCCGAAAGCTCACCCCGAAGATCAGTAGGGGGTCTCCCGCTTTTTAAGTTTCTGCCCAAGCATCACCCAATTCTCACGGCACCCATGCATAGTATCAGCGAAAGCCATTGGTAGCTGCATGCAGGGATTTGTGACCTGACGGCGCACGGCACATACGATCCCGACCGTAAGAAGCCAGCGCACTAGAACACAACTTCGAATACCATCTGAAAATCGAACTGGTCCCTGTGACATTCCCTCGGCTCGAACTTGGTATGAAGTATTAGGTATCGAAGTATGAAGAATATCCAACAATAACACCCAAGGGGAAAATGGAGTTCGTTTGCCGCCACTCAGAGCACTATGGACATAGTATTCAGCATCGCGCTCTTAGTTCCTTCCACAGATGCAAATGGAGCATCGTTCAGTAGAAAAGAAGGTATGCGGCCCTTACAGATACGGCATGTATCTCGGGCAGGGGAATGTTACTCTGAAATTTAAAATTGACAGCATCGACAATGACAATCGAGTTCGGGTTCTAGGGATTATCGACAAACTTGGTGAACTCGGAGTTAGCGAGAGAGTCTCCCTTCCTCAAGTAAGAGAGCATGAACCCGTATTTAAGCTGTTACTAATGCCATTAAAGCTCGTTGTTGTGGGTGATCAATCGAGCGGCAAATCTTCTCTTCTTGAGGCAATCACCGGGTTATCGTTCCCCATAGCCAGTGATCTTTGTACCCGACATGCGACACAAATTGTTCTTCGCCGGTCAAAGCTTAATGAAGGCGGAGCGAAGATAAGTATCATCCCTAGGCGTGCAGCCGAAGCAAATGAAGAGACGAAAGAACGTCTATTACATGGTTATAGTTATTCAGCGATAGCAGTATTTATCAATTAACTAACGTCAACTCGGCGGGATCATGTGGCTTACGTGATTCGCAGCCTCCCTAGGAGCAACTGGACGTGCTGCGTAGGTAATATGGAAAGATTAGTTTACAGGCAATATACAGTATTGCCACTGCCAGCCTATCAGTGCATTGAGTCTAGCATGAGGAATGAAAATATAAGCGGCGCTCAACCAAGGACAGCTGGAAAATCTCCGAGGCTATTACAGCTAACAAGCAGGTATAACCAGCCTTCCTGAAGAGCAGGGACGCTTTTCGTCCCCATGACCGTGGGCCTCGATTGATGAATTTTGGAGGAAGATAGATACGGAGTGTAGATGCCAATGACGTGTTTCTCGAGCCTTGCCTTGTCAGGCGGGTCGTAGAGGGACTCAAATCAGCGCACCGTCAATGACAGCATAGGGTCTGTAACGTCCGGATAGTTTTACACGTAGACTAGTATGCAAGCTCTACTCAGATATCCTATAAGTGTTCTTTTCTCAATCATTGAGAATAGAAAATCACCGTTATATTGATATTATATTATCTCATTATTTGTATATCCTGTGCATCTACAAAACTACGGTAAAAGCGTAACCCTGGATATAGTACTCCTATAAAGTTAATTCGGGCGGAGGACAGATAGCAGTGCAGTTATTATGTGCTGTGATAGTCTGATTTTGCTGTTCCCCTTGCTGCTCTAATTGTCGCTTCCGATCGTATATCTGATCACGAATAAGGTCAACTTAAAAATTTGTTGCTGGGCGGGAGACGGCATCACCTGGAAATACTGGCTCTGGAGACCCGAGACAACGGAGCACTGGCAGGAGGTATTATCTCAGAGAGACTGAATCTGATTTCTACTTGCATTGGCAGTGTGCGGGCCCGCCCTCAGCCTTTCTTGACTAGCTGATGGATTTCGATATGAATTCTGGGCAATAAAGGCCTGTTAGGTTCATAAAAGACAACACTTCCATTTAGCGGATTATGTAGAGAAAGCCCCCGGAGCTGATTCTCTAGGGCAAATAGAACCGGCTCAATTCTCGAATCCACATAGTCCATAAAGATGGCGCTTGATGTAGCTAGTAAGATAAGTCAGTAGAATTGCATACACGCGCTGCCTACAGATTAGAATCCAATATTCAAGAAAATGTCGAAACCAGTCCATTTTCAGAGACGAGCCTTTCTGAACGCAATGAGAAATTTATGCATCGATATGAAGTACACAAAAGTCTAAGCAAATCAAAGTTGCATCCGCAATCTTCGAGGTGCATATGAGTTGCCGAGCATCCGGCAACTACATTCCCCACTTTGTCACTGCCAGCCAATACGCGTGATGTAACTGCGGAGAGAGAGCTAAGCTACCGCAGATAGTGCGATTTATCTTTTCCTTGTGTCGGATAATTATCCGGTGCCGAGTATCCGCCATTAATAAAAGAATCAATTCCTATGAATGCATGAATGTGTACTTCACCCTTCACATTTGACAAAGTTAGTTCCTCTACTACAATTCATATCCTACACAGTGCTGGCCCTCGAAAATCACCTATAAAGGACCGATATGGTCGCAGATAGCAGTATACACCCGGCAGATGTCAAGGAGTTGGGCCACCAGAGCTATATCCCATTCTGGCAATTATTGATCGACCAACAAATCATCACGAAAGAGGTACTGAACCACCGATATGATGGCTCAGGGACTGAGGATGACCCGTATGTGGTGAACTGGTTGAGTATCGACCCTCGGAATCCGATGCAGTTCAGCATGGCAAGAAAGGCCGCCGCCACATTTGCTACTGCTGTTGCGACCTTTGTTATATCATTGACCTCTTCCGCATACAGTGGTAGTATGCAGGAAATTGTTGATGAGTTCAACGTTGGAAAAGAGGTCGCTACTCTCGGTCTGTCGCTATTTGTTTTTGGATTCGCCGTGGGACCATTAGTATGGGCGCCCCTAAGTGAGACCATTGGTCGACAAATTCCATTTTTCGCATCATTTCTTATCCTTGCTGCTTTTTCCGCGGGGTGCGCGGGTGCTCATAATATTCAAACTTTGTTGATTCTCCGATTTTTCGGGGGCGCTTTTGGCTCTGCGCCTCTGACGAATGCTGGCGGCGTTATCTCGGATATGTTTGCTGCGAGGGAGCGAGGGCTGGCCATGCTTTTATTTGCATCAACACCCTATCTAGGTATTGCTTCGCTTAATTGAAGACTTACAAAATCGGTACTAATCGACTCACTAGGACCCGCTCTCGGCCCTATCATAGGTGGCTTTCTTGGAATGAATGCGGGGTGGAGATGGGTTGAGGGTTTTCTGGCTGCTTGTACAGGCATGGCTTGGATCCTTATGGCGTTTCTTGTTCCCGAAACTTATGCACCGGTCCTGCTGCGCAAACGAGCGGCAAAGCTATCTCTCCTGACAGGGAACTGCTATGAAAGTAAACTTGATCTTGAGCGAGGGAAAACCTCTATTGTCAAACGACTGAAGATAGCTTTCTCCCGACCTTGGGTGCTTCTCTTCACAGAACCAATTGTGCTTCTTCTTACCTTTTATGCGGCACTTATCTACGGGATACTCTACATGCTGTTTGAAGCACTTCCTATAGTCTACCAAGATATCCGAGGATGGAATGCTGGTGTTGGTGGTCTTCCTTTCCTCGGGGTCATGATTGGTGTGTTATGCGGCAGTGCCTATACCGTACTCGATAACAAGCGATATATCAAGGCGCAGGAAAAACACAATGGAGTTGCACCACCAGAATCTCGTTTGCCTCCTTCTATGGTCTCTGCCGTGACCATCCCTATTGGTCTCTTCTGGTTCGCATGGACTAATTCCCCGTCCATCTACTGGTTGTGCAGCGTTGCAGCTCTGGTTCCTTTTGGCTTCGGGCTGCTCCTCATCTACATGGGAATCGTCAATTATCTCATCGACTCCTACACCATCTACTCCGCATCTGTCTTGGCAGGAATGTCTGTATTCAGATACGCATTTGGGGCGATATTCCCCTTATTTAGTTCATACATGTACGAGGGTCTGGGTATCCACTGGGCCTCGTGCATACCGGCCTTTTTGTCGGTGTTATGTATGCCACTTCCTTTTCTTTTCTATAAATTCGGCGTACAAATACGGCAGCGTTGCAAGTACGCCGCATTGTCCCAGAAGCGTCTCGAGACATTGAGGCAAGCGTCCCTATCTGAAAAGGGGCCGGTTCAACCTATTGACCAGGGAGCTGAGAAGCATCAACAAGTTCTTAGTGCCTGATTAGAACTGGTGCTCGACAACGTACGTAACCCACGATTGCTCGACCATCCTGTATTCTCATGCGATTTTTAAGTTTTCAGATGCCAGTATTTACATGATTTGAGAGCTCCAAGTTGGAAACATAGATTTAAATATATAGAGGAGTCTATCAAGAAAGGTTTAGATTTACAAAGAGGTCTATCAATAAAGGTTTAATCTTAATCAAATCCCAAGATTCTCCGCGATTCAGAAATTATCAAATATCTTAACACACATTCGCAAAACAGGTTGAAGTAATATTTGCGTATAAATAACCCTAATTGCAATTGGATATTTCTCTAGGATGACAAGCTAAGGAAAAGGCTATTTTTGCTGCTGCATGTAAAGGAAGGTAACAAGGAGACTCCGCGAGTATCCAGAAAAAGTAGAGTGTGGAAAGATACAAGACAGTGAACCAACATACAATTTCAGCAATAGTTTTTTTTAGCTGCCAATCAATTAGTTCAGGTGGGCAGAGCAAGGAGAAGAATACGTCAACTGAGAATCGGATTCTCCTACTAATAGGTAAAGACATTTCGGGCACTGGCCGTGGTCTAAGTTTTCTTGGGCACCGTGGCTCACCAATAATTCCCAATCACAGCAGCCATATCAAAAATAATATAGGCCCATATAGGTCCAAAGTTCCGCCACGTATTACTTCAGTAAGAGATGATCTCCGTGAGGTGAGTATCAGTAGAACGTATTTTACAGAATTTGCATGAGCTCGATATATTGAGGTTTTAGATATAACCAGATCTACTCATATATAAATTCGGTTGATGATAGCAAGTTTTATTTCCTGGGGGGTTGAAAACGAGGAGTTCAATCGAGTTACATCTTACACTAATACCGCTATCGGCAGTAGAAAGCATCCCAGATACCAGGTACGTCAATCGAGACCTTGAACGCCATACATGAGAATCCAGAATCCAGGAATAAAGTCTAGAGTAGAAACGACACTGGAAATGAATACATAAAGCTCCCAAACGGAAGCATTCGCAGGACAAGTGACCCGCAGAATAGCAAGAAAAGAGTAAATCTTCCAATATTCCTCCGGTTTCCGCATTTTTCACTTTTGCAGCAACCATGTGGGAAAAGGTAGATGTGAACAAGAAGAATACCAAGAGGTACAAACACATAAAGACACCACGATTATGCACAAAATCAGTAAGGCCGTCAGTTTTGTACAAGCCGAAGGGATGATACGAGTAAAAGAACGTTAATATAGCAACAAGAGTGTTTCAGGGCAACTCTACCGGAATATTGGAAGCCATTGAATGACACCATAAAACATCCTCGAGGCCCGCTCCAGTACCCCAAATTTGCGAACGTTAGATAGGAGAGGCATGACTTGCTACACAAGAAAATCAGCGTGCAATTTGAATACCAAGATCAAGATTAATACATGTAAGAGCATTGGCTCAGGTGCCTGCAAGGGTACGTGCGGACACGGCTAGTATATTTTGTGATATTAGAGTATTAATTGTAAAGCCTTGATTCTCCTCGTCTAACAGATTCTGCAAATATTAAGTACTCAAATAGACAGTTCGCCTAGAGCATGAACCTTTTCAAGGTCTTACCTTTTTCTTAACTAGTCTTTCCCTATGTAATTGCCTGATAAGAGTAGCTTCAGAGCCGTCCAATACGATACTACTGGCGCTTTCTAGCTAGGACTTCTAACGTCAGGAAGGAAGGGAAAACGTGCAGAATGAATATATAATATAAATAATGATAAACAAACGATGTGATAAAGCATATAAAAAGACAAACTAGCGGAAGAGACTTTTAAATTGATAATTTACAGTCCTGGACAATACATATCATTATATTATCGTCATTTACATCTAGCTGTCCTCAGTAACGCTAGTATTATACTATTACTATATTTATGATTCAGTATAACCTTATCAGCTACTCTTATATTAAGTTACTACAGGAGATGTTCTAAAGATCTAGAATAAGGAAATTTCTAAGTAACCAGTATATGAATAAAAAAAGCTTTCTTAAAATCTTCGATGAAATATCTTATATGAACAAATCTAACAGAAGTGTGTTCCTTGATTATATATTGTAAATCATTATGAGATAGTAAATGAGCGAATTTTTCCTATTCTCATTTCTTTATGTTCTTATTCTTAACAATAACTACAATTTTCTGAATCTAGCCAAAAGGATTTTACGAACAATCATATACATATAGGTCCAGGAGTCAAGAACTGGATTGATCTATTATTTTAGTATATGAAAAACAGATGATAGATCTTATGACCTATATATATGTTAAGAATTTAATGTCAAAGATTAATATAAGAGAGGCATTCCCACAAGGCCAAAAAGACCATCATTACCAGCAGCTACCAGCGGACCCTCATAATCCTGCTTATATAGACATGTATACACACATGCGGGAGCAGGTGGCTCTCTACCACTTAGGCCATCCCTTCCGGATAGTAGCCTATGAAATCTAATTGATCAATAATTTAAACCTTTACAAACTCTCTGATAGTTATTAGCAATAATCATTTCTAAGATAAAATGTAAGTCTCTGATACTAATAAAGATCTTATTACGTACTCTGGAGTTAAGTAAATGTGAAAAAATATCATCTTATTGGATATGTTTCATTTCTAGTCTTCTTAGATACCATAGATAATTTTTATATTAATATTAATTCTGACCAGTAATCCAGTCCATTACAATCGATAAGTCGGGGTTTCTCATAGGAACAGATTGTATCATCTTGTTAAGATTGAACCTCTATGTTATAAACTTTGACGTATGTCCTTCCCTCTTAACAAAAATTGCCATGACTGCACTAGTAATCTAATATATTAGCATGAGTACTTTAGACGATGATGATAACTCTGCAAGAGCCCAGCCTATCACAAACAGACGTTCTGCTGCACAAACTTGGTGATAATATCCAAGCCTTCCTGGGTTGCATCTCCCATCTCAATGATGGTGAACGCATGACAGGCCCCACCGACCACAGCTAACTCAGCCTTATTGCCCGCCTGCTGCCACTTAGCCGCCATGAAGATACTATCATCCAGCAGTGGTTCGATATTTCCTGTCAAGAACAGCGCCGGCGGCATTTCCTTCAACTCCGCATACAGAGGTGACACGAGCGGGCTCTTTCTCTCCGACATGGGAATGTGACCAAAGGCCGCTTCGCAAAAGTCCATCATACCTTCTTTACTCAAGATGAGGTTTCGCGTATGTGCCAGGAGAGATGGTGTGTATGTGAGGTCGAAGATTCCATATCCCGTCACGACAGCATCGAGGGCTACGCGGACATCGATTGCGTGGTCTCGGCGGAGGGAAAGGCCAGTTGAAATCGCGAGCCACCCGCCTGCGGATTCACCCCCTAAAACCTTCAGAGGTGCACCCAGTTCGCGCACACCCGTTTCGCTGAGGGCGAAGAGTGCCGCATCCACACAATCGTGCAGAGATTTGGGGAAAGGGTGTTCGGGCGCCAGTCGATATTCCACAGATACCATGGTCAGGCCCAAGCGATCGGACAGGATGGTCAAATATGGATCGTAGGATGCGTTGCTGCCAATGACAAAACCACCTGTTTCAAGAAAGGTGATTAGCTTCGATCCTCAACGATGGGCCAAGTCAGTCTCAGTATGCCGTAAGTCATTTTTCTCACCCGCGTGGAAATGTAGCCAAACGCCCCTGGTTTCCTGCTTCGTGGGAGTAATAATCCGCAGTTCAATGGCATGGCCGTCCCTGGCAGATATTTTCACAGTCCTTGCATGGGGGTTGAGAATAGGCGCTGTAAACCCGCTCAGGCCCTCCCGGCGCATTTTGCGGTACGCCGCGGGAGACTCGCAGTTTTGCCATTGTATACTCCCGGCGAGCTGTGCTTCGAATTTGTCCAAAAAATCATAGCGAGCCTTTAGAATGGATGCTTCAATAGGATGAGGCTGTACGTTCAATGACATAGCGGAAGTATATGTGCAACGGAGACAATTATATCGTCGGAAATAGTAAGGATGGAGCCAATGCAGCAGGGGATGAATCTGGTTGCGGACAGTAGATAAAAGCATACTATGTATATACATGCTTATATATTCTAACGAGTACATACTCTACTTGCTTCATTGATTTATTCAACCACTAGACTGTATAATGCATGCATGCTGGACGGAACCTGTTGTGTACGGGTGCTCGGAATAAACGGAAATATTACGCCTACTACTCGACTCAACCATTCCGTTCACAATCACGGCAATTTGCGCTGCTGCCGCCATCACCGATTCGCAGCTCGGCGGGGTCTCAATATAACTCGGCATGGTCTAAAAGTGTCTTATTACTCAAGAATACCACTCATTACTAGACTCTACCTTTTTACCATGCCGCGCTTTACAGGGTATCTGAGGTGTATCAGGGTTACTGGGGAAGTTATTAGGTCGTCCTATAAGAGAACAACATTTATTGATTTGGTACAGTTTGAGCTCATCGTAATCAGGAATACTTCTGAATTTACTTAGTTGACTTTCTAGACACCTTTAGAATACATCGAGCTGTATGACAATCTCCATACCTATGTTGTTTACGACCTGCGCGGTCGCACTGGCTTCTGTAAAATAGCGCATTCGATGCGTTGAACTCCTGGTATGTGTAAGAAAGTTACGTTGCGGCGAAAGGATAGCTCAAAGGAAATAAATATTTGCTCCATTGACGTAATGATACAAATGAAGCGGAGGCCCCGGTGTACTACATAATGTTTAGCTGTGATTCATAGCTCCCTCGGCTTGATTTCAGTTTCAACCCGTCGCCTCGGCAACTCAGAGCGTTGCTCAACGCTAGTCATGCGCTTCAGTGTCGAGGCTGAAGTTGAACCATCAAATCGTGCTTCTCCCATAAAAAGAAAGTCTTTTGTTTCTGCCAACCGACCGACTCTGGGAGAAGAGAGAACTCAAAGTGAAACAGCAATTTGGCCAGAATCACACGCATTTCATGATAGGCCAAACTATTCCCCTATCAGCAATCTGCATAATTATTCTAAGTGGGAGTGGGAAATAAAATAGGGAACATACTTTCGTCCAAGGCAGTTTCGGGGGCCGAATGAAAATGGCTGAAATGATGCCTTGTTGTCAGAGTCGAAATCACTGCTTATCCAACGTTCAGGAATGAAGTCATCAGGCCGCTTGAAGTTTTTAGCGCTGTGATAAGTTGCCCATTGATTGACCGAGAGTGCGACCTATCGAATTATCCAGACATTAAAACTTGAAGGATAGGAAATATTGCAACGGAAATCCCATACCTGTCCTGGGATGTATTCGCCGCAAACCATCAACCCATCATCGGGGGTAACCCGAGGCAGGCCAACTGGAACCGGAGGATAGACACGCAATGCTTCCTCCAGGCATGCATTTAGGTACTTCATCTGCTCCAGAGCCCTCATTTCAATATCCGAGTCCTTCTGGAAGTTTTCCCGAATTTCATTGAGCAGCTTCTCCAGCTTGTCGGGATTCTGCAAGAGCTGGTAGAACAACCCACTGAGCGCCGTAGCGGTGGTCTCGGTGCCAGCCACCATAAATACCTGCGAGTTAGCGTACATTTCCATCCGGCTCAGACGCAGCTCCTCCTTCTGGTGCATTACAGTACCCCAAATGTCCGCCTTGTGCATGTCATGATCACTCTCAATTCGCTTATCGACCCGTGCCTGCGAAGACCGGTAGTGAGCCATGCTCTGTTGGCGCAACTTCTTAGGTATTATCTGTTGCACGATCGGAGTGACCAAAGGCCAGTAGCGTGCCAGTCGGCGTAACGCGTTCGTCTTCATGCTAATAAAGACTGCCTCCACCCAATTCATATCGCCAGTTCCGGCCAACAGCTCCAAGGAGTCTCCGAAGGTCAAATCGCCCATAATATCAAATGTCGTCAGGTTTAGCATGCGAACCAGGTTGACTTTCGCCTTCGGGTCTGCCCGGAGGGTGTCATTGAGCGAAGCGACAAGCATATCCACGTATCCGCAGATCAAGGGTTGCTGGTCACGAAGAGCGCGGTCCGAAAACGCATGTGAAAAGTTCCGGCGAAAGCGCGAATGGTCCGGCCCCTTCGCGCGAATTATATCCGGGGCTCCGTTGAATGAGGGACCGTAGAACCGGGTGTCCTTTTCTGTGACCTTTTTCCCTGCGGTCGCATGCCCGTAAATACCTTTCCATGCTTCGCCAGTTGCGTAGCTCAACTCGTCTGGCGCCACACGAACGACATTCCCGTAAATCGCGTGTAGTCCCGTGACCCACTCAAGAAGGTCTCCCTTGAATGTATGGTAGAGCTGGGGGATTCGTGATGCGGCTGCTAACTTGGGACCTGGGAATTTCTTGAGAGGGTTGACGAAAACCTCATAAAATGCCTGCGAGGTCAAAAGGAGTAGAATCTAGCCAAATAGAGTTAGAGGTAATATAATAGGGAATTCGGTTTCTACACATACCGCAGTGGTAATGATCACAGGGAGGTGTTCATAACATATAGTGAGAGCATGTTGAAGAATCATCTTGCCCCGGGTGTGAGAACACTGTGACCGGTCACAAAGAAAAATATTTGCTAGGATCGCAATAATGATAGACAAATAACAATTGGGCATTGAGTTACTTCTAATAGGTCAGGGTCCTGTCATGTTCTTAAGGGCGTTCAACGTTATGCAGAGAGAAAGCTGTACAGTGACATAAACTATGATCTTGCATAATATTGTGAGTTCAAACTTGGTTGCTGGCCAATGACAAGCTCTTCCGTTGGGGATTCCGCGGAACAACATCAACTGCCCACCTTTCAGTAATCTTGCGGCTCGAAAAGGATCAGTCATGCTCTGTCTATGGACCCTTGACCCGTAGATGGGTGTTTACGTCTACAGTTACCAAGAATATGCAGTTGTATCCAGACACCAGCGACTCTCTCACACATATCTACCCACAGCACTTATGCACTTATCAATCTATCTCCCCGCGGGGATTTCTCTCCAGTTGAAAGCATATCTACGTTCATTAGAATTACCGGAGCTAGAAGCTTAATTTAATATAAACGGAAAGAAAGAGAGAGAGAGACAGAGAGAGAAAAGAGAAGAATATCTTGAAACTCGTTCATAGCCTATTAGCCTATCTACTACTGTTACCCTTCTGCATAGCCTATACTCCCCCCAATTGACTACTGAAATCCACCATCGGCGTTCAGAACCTACATCACCTCGTAGTTAGTACAACACGTTGACAGCAGGGAGGGGCCCCAAATCTTACACTACCGGTGACAAAGCTGGAAGCGTCACTGAGCAAGAACAAAATGCATCTGGCAATCTCCTCTGGCTGGGCCAGTCGTTGAAGCGCGCTTCTGGACACCATTCTCTGGAAAACGACCTCGGCAGAGCCTAGGGCAGTCGCAAGAGGCGTATCGACAACTCCACTGGAGAGATCGTTAGTATCCGCCTTCATTGCTTGGAGACTCTTCTACTTACGGAGCCACCGCATTCACTCGAACGTTCTTGGGGCCCGCTTCCTGTGCAGCTGACTTGGTCAGGGAAATCACGCCCCATTTGGCTGCTCCGTATGGGGCGTTCCACGGGGATCCACGCTGGCCAGCAATACTCGCAACGTTCACGATACTCCCGTCATTGGCAATATGTCTCAGTTCAGCTGACAGGCTATTCCGGACGCCATTCAGATTGATAGACATCATTTTATCCCATTCCTCATCCTTGATCACATCCAGAGCATACCCTTTCCCTTTGAAGCCCTGGGTGCCGATCCAGCCTGCCAGGTTGGCCGCACCATCAACCCGACCAAAGTGTTCCTTGGTGGCTTTCACAGCAGCCTCGACGCCAGAGGAGTTGGTCACATCAACCTTGAAACCGATAGCTTCACCACCAGCTTTCTCAATTTCATCAATAACCGGTTGGGGATCATTAAGATCAAGAAGACCTAGTTTTGCCCCTTGTTGAGCGAGGAGAATGGAGGTCGCACGACCCTGTCCAGAGGCAGCGCCAGTGACGAAGAAGACTTTGTTCTTGAGATCGCCGTAAGACATAGTGAACTTGGGTTTATGACGTTCAAGTAAGGTAAAAGAACATCCGTTAATTGTGTGTAATGATGGGTTGATGAAGCTTTTTTATTAAGACTCTATGGGGTGACCTTATGTTTTGACGGTGAGTTCACCCCGGGTCCTACGGTGGTTCCGGAAAGAGACTAGCATTTCTTCGATGGAGAAAAATGATGACCGCTTCACTGGAAGACTTGAGAACCGGAATAAGATTGTGTAGCAAATTCCGCGGAGAGTCACCATTCCGTTATGCATTAGTTCCGGTCTGTTGTGCCTCGACTACCTAGGTATAGACACGAGACCTTGAGGTATCTGTTTCCGGCCCTCGGATAACTGCTTCTGTGAAATCCCGGAACACATCCACTTAAGGATCGTACTTGAGGCCGAGCTTTTTCCCCTGCCCCAATCAGTCCCCATGGACAGCATTCTTTCGAACTAGTCACAGCAGACATTTATTCTTCATTTCAAATCAACTCGAAGTCGAGATTATGGTTCGATCTTTTGAGACAAATGGTGCTGGAGGAGAAGCACCGTGCAAGCCCATCGAAGCGACCGAGGCCTACCGCAACAGGTACCCAGTTGCCTATGAGCTATCCAAGTTGTCTTTCGACACCCCTCGGCGATTGAAGGTGATTGTCGCGGGTGCAGGGATCAGTGGTATCTCTTTTGCCCACGCAGTGGAAAGCGGTCAATTGCCCAACGTTGACCTGCAGATCTTGGAAAAGAATGCGGGAATCGGAGGGACTTGGCTTGAGAATCGCTACCCTGGCTGCGCCTGTGATATTCCCTCGCACAACTACCTGGTATGTCGTCAGGCTGTAATTACGCGATCCAGCACCATTCTTGTACGGGTTAGCTGATGCCATTGTCTAATCTAGTTTACCTGGGCCCCAAACCCAAAATGGTCGTCCTTTTACGTCTCCGCACCCGAAATTCTCCAGTATCTCGAGGACGTCGTAGAGAAGTTCGATCTGAGAAAGTACATCACGGTCAGTCGAAAGATCACTGGCACCCGATGGAACGAAGCCACACAGAAGTGGGTTGTCATTAGTAAAAGCACGGATGGCCGCCAAACTGTCATTTCTGCCAAAGGAGTTGTTGATGGTGAAGTTGGTGATGAAATAGTTGAGGAGTGCGATGTGTTTATCAACGCCAGCGGATACATGAATAACTGGAGGTGGCCTAGCATACCTGGTCGTGAGGACTATGAAGGTATCCTAGTTCATAGCGCGAACTATGACACCAGCATAGACCTTCGCGGCAAGAGAGTCGCAGTGATAGGCAATGGAAGCAGCGGAATTCAAGTCACTGCAGCCGTTCAGAGAGTTGCCAGCCATGTTGGGGCATACCTTCGATCCCCGACTTGGGTGACCAACAATTTAGGCTCAAGATTTATCGGCCAAGGAACATCGAACTTGACATATAGCGAAGAGCAACAAAAGAATTGGATCAACAATCCCGAGGAATACCTTCGTCTTCGCAAGGAGATCGAGAAGGAGCTGAACTTTCGCTTTCCGATGTACATTCGGGACACTGAGATACAAGCCCAGGCTCGGAATTTCACAACCAAGACCATGCTCAGCAAGCTTGAGGCAAAGCCAAGCATTGCTGATCTCATCATTCCTACTTTCGGGGTCGGATGTCGTCGACCAACTCCTGGGCCAGGCTACCTTGAAGCCCTCGCTGCTGATAACTGTGAGGTGATCTGGGGAGAAATCGACTCGTTTACAAAGTCTGGATTAAGATCCCAAGATGGAACAGAGCGCCAGTTTGACGTCATCATCGCTGCGACAGGTTTTGATATGTCCTTTGTTCCTCGCTGGCCGGTCATTGGAAGAAATGGTGTGAATCTCCAGCAACAGTGGGAGAGGGATCCCGCCTGCTATATGTCAGCGATCGCACAGGATATGCCCAACCATTTCATCTATATGGGGCCTGGCAGTCCTGTTGGCCACGGAAGTATGATCACCTCGATTGAACGAATCACTCTTTATATAGCAGATATAATTCGGAAGCTGCAAAGAGAGAATTACTCGTCATTCCGCCTCAAGGACGGAAAAGCCAAGGCCTATCAGTTCCAGATGTTGTCATGGCTGGAGAAAACAGTTTGGGGTGACTCTTGTCAGAGCTCTTTCAAGAATGGCAATAAGAACGGTGCATTGCATGCTTTCCACCCTGGCTCACGATTGCATTATTTTGAACTTCTCCGCCGACATCGCTATGAAGATTTTGAATGGACGAGTCGGTGCCCTGAGAGCCAATTGGATTTTGCTTGGTTTAACAATGGCTTCTTGTCCCACGAATTATCTCCCGAGGAGGGAGTCGATCCTACGTATGTGTATCCTTTTGCGATTTCTCTCCTTGTTGACTGATGTATTCGGACTAATCATATGGATCTGTAGTTGGTATCTAGACCAGGACTGTGAAACTCTGTCAAGGTTTCTGAACGGGAACTAGGTTTGTAGGATGTTGGGCGGGACATCTCTTGCGTATTTAGTTAGTAACAGTATACAGAACAAAGTAAGGAGTAGAAGAGGGACGTCTAGAAACGTGCCAATTGTGAACTGATTTGAACAGTGTATCTTATATACCAAGCCTTACTGACTACATTATATTCTAATTTTTATGGTAATCCTTCCACTTTTGTTAGTTGGTATAGTGTCCCTGCCTCTACCACCTTGTGGGACTTGATACAAGCACATAACTCCATTCCTGTAACACACTGTCAGGTTCGGCTCTAACAGAGCTGTAACGCTTCCTATATCTCCCAAAAAGGCTACTTAAGTAAAGAAATCCATAATGTATTTGGCATGTGATTCAAAAAGCGCGATAGCGTCTTTTTTAACTACTTTCGCAAGCCCAGGCAGCCAAGAAAGGGGTGGAATTACCTGGAAGCTCCGATATTGGTGTAATATCTCAAAGGATGGACCAATGAATGATCGTCGCTGAGCTGCTTCGCTGGTGGTATTAGTGTGTGTGTTAGTGTGGCGCGGATGTTGTGAGATTTTAGTTTAAGTGGCTACGGATTGGGACTGCCCATTTGTGCTTATCTGTCCAGGTCGTGACGGCATGCGAGGAGGATATTATATCCGAAGACTCAATTTGTGCAATGAACAGAAATGAACGTATTACAGGAGATCTCCAATAAGCCGGGATCCGCCTTCTCCGCCCAAATCCATCCCAGATTGACGTTGCAAACCTTCCAGTTCGGATGGTGAGTAAACTATCGAACAAAAATCAGGTAACTCAAGTGCGGGGGGCATAGAGCCGCTGTTAGTGAACGCTGTGGTGCTGTCTTGCCCTAGACCATCTCCCAAGGCCTTCCGGGAGTCTTCTGAGGACATGTCCATCAGCATCGGGCAATCCTGTGGAATCTGTTGATCTATATTCTGGCTCACTGAAGACTCGGATAAGTCATGACAAGTTGCAACTGTGTCGTGAATGGGCAAAATATCCTGGAGGTACTGATAAACTTTATATGCCATGGCAGTCGACCTTGAAAGAGTTCGAAGAAGTTGACTTGTCGTGAGCACTATTCCTCTCAGAGCTTTCCTTGGAGTGATAGGACTTGAGCAAGACTCTTCAGGAACGACATGGTATAAGCATTCAACCAATGCGGTCGTCAACATATATCCAAATGGTTTCAGCGATGTAGATATTGCCATGTACTGTCGAATTGCTTCGGTGATTGCTTCACAAATTGAAATCGATGTTCTGCGGCGCTCGATATCATATTCTGTAGATGTGAGCGGCTTATGACGGATGCTCAAACGAAGGGTTTGAAAGCGCTATATACCAGGTTAGTATCCCTAGACCCGCGCGAAAAGCGGTCTTCGATACTCAATATATGCAACTTACAAGATATATCACAAGCCTCTGTCGGGTATGCGTTTGTCCTTCCAACGACAGATACTCCGTAGCCATAGAAGATTTCCAATGAAGCGTCCAGGGTAGTTGTCTATATGAGAGAACAATTCGCGTATCCGTCATCTGCATTTCCTGCCAATAGTCCAATTTTGGAGCCTGAGGCGAAAAAAAAGCGTCCCAAATGTGGGCCCATAACCGACTAAAGGAGACTAGGCTCTGCAGAAGGTGATATCGTCTCGAGCCCATATTACCGTTTAGTATGCCAGCGTCATTCACATAACTTTCATCTTCGCGTAAAAAATACGTTATACCGCATTTCTGGGTCAGGCGTTTGTCTAGAAAGTAGAGTGTCCACCAGAGCCCTTGGCGGGATACCAGGTCGGAATCAACATCTGGCCAAAGGGCTGGGTTGTTCAGACCAATCTTGAGAGCAATCTGAAAGCCTTGTGTGGTACTCTGAAGCGCTAGGTGGTGCTGTGACATCTCCAGCAGAAAGGTGGATGAGGTTGTGTGGTATAAGACGTTTTCTAGATCGCAATCATGCAGTTTATCGAAATGTTGCATCAGCTTGAGCCCCTGCAGGTAGCTCTGTGGGAATCGCTGTGGCTCACAGGGCTCAGCAGGCTGAGTGAGAGACTCTGCATATGCTAACATGTTGAGGAGAATGGCAATGATCTTGCAGTCAGCGGGCCCTACATATATTTGCTGGACCCCGTCGCCATATCCACGCGAGAATAGTGTGGCGGAAAATCGCTCCATGATCACGGCTTGATTCAGGCAGGGGAAGTAAGATTCAAACTCCGTGAAGAATACTCCCCAAAGTTCCCAAAACTGTTGAAACTCGGGTAAAGTCACTGGGACTAAGGCAGGCTGGCAAGAATTTCCGAGATCGCCTATATCGGTCGCCTGACGGAGCTTTCTCAGAGCGATGATCTGGGATCCGATTGGTAACGTATTGAGCGAGGGGGTCGTCAGGCCGAGGGTATCAGACTCTTTGGGCTCTTTCCAGGGACTATCATCGGACAGAGCAGGACTGCAGACCGAGTGCTTGTCCAGAGTTTTGTCATGGGTGGTGTTGGAGGGAGATCTGGATGTTCGTTTGGGGGACTGATCTCGGTCTGACAGGCTCATGTTATAGGAGCTTGCGACGTGCATAGATGGCATCTCTTGGCCACTAAGGCTTCGATCTCGAAAGAGCACATTCACTTGATCTTGAAGGTCTGCGAGTTGTCGTTCCATGGATGCGGATGTTCTGCTTCGTTTTCGCGGGCAAGGCTTGGGAGAGGTCCGTGGAAGTCTGTATCCTATCAGGCCATGGACCCACGAGAATATGAAGAATGGAAATGATGGTTACTCCTCGTAGATGCGTTTCTTACGCCCCTTTGCTTCTTTGTGACCATCACCAGCGTAATAGCAATGGATGCTGCGGGTTCGACAACTAGAGCATACGGGATCTCCGGAGCACTACAAGGGTTCAGAGACATGCAACAAACATGTCACGAGAAGGAGCGTGGTATAGGAAACTAACCTTCACCTTTCGTCGCTGGCACTCCAAGCTAGGCGCAGGAAGTAGCATGAGCTTCATACCGGTGTGTGCTTCTAAAATCAACAAGGTTGCTCACCATGCTTGTGACGTGTACTTGTCCCGCTTAGGGCCATCCTTACGTCTTCTTTCGTTGGACATGAAGGAGAGATGCCTTTCTCGGTGTGATCAATGGGATACCGGTATAAGTATTTGATTTTTATGCATCTGGAAAGGAATAGGATAAAGAAGTATTTGAGGTCGAGCGTAGACGGACTTGCGTGGAAGATCCAGGCTGAAGGATCGAGGGAGAACCCGTGAGGATAACTACCTACCGGCCTAGTCGGGGTGATGATGCGGGGAAATAAGGTTCAGCCGTAATTAGAACAGCACGGTGGCAAAAGGGGAAAGTTATGCATGGAGTTATTCCCACTTCTAAGCGCATACGAAACTATTGACCGGAATCCACGTGACCGGTGATTCTTCTCCCCCAGTCTATGCTTCCCTATTCTATTTTGTTATGTCGCTCCCCCAAGAACTCTGTCTCTTGATTCCTAGAAATATGAACATGTATTCCTTCCCGATTTGGGCGAGAGGAGCTTAAACAGATATCCGATAACAACCAGGGCAGGGGGGAATAAACCAAGTCTACCAACACCCGGACAGTGGGGATAATAAACCTTGGGATTCTTTCGCCCAAGATAGTTGTCCCTTGAAGCAGGCGTCTAATATATATTGGTGTTCAATAATACAGACATGTTTTTAACATGAGCACAGTGTGGCGAAATGACCAACGCTCTTTGTTTGGTGCAAAGGATTTGGGTGGGAGGGGGGGGGGAAAGAGGCCCATCACGGAATCGCAAATTCCACGGAAGGAACGTTCCGGAACTGGCGTTAGCCGGGCGGGTAGCTGTAGTTCTTGGGCTATATACTCAGCCCATGAGTTTTCAAAAAGACCAATAAAAGTTCAATCTTCTACCCGAACAAATAGCCTAAAAGATAATGGCTCTTACAACGCTTGATGGTGTCGCTCTTGTGACAGGCGCAGGTTGGCAACACGATCGTACAAATTGAGTTCTAAAACACTCTTTGACCATTTATAGGATCTGGGATTGGGCGCCAGCTTTGCCTTGCCTATGCCCAGGCAGGATGCAGGGCGATTGCACTGGCTGATATCAATATCGAGGGTGTGAACGAAACTATTTCCTTGATACAGGCCCAAGGATATCCGGTGGAGACCCTGGCATTAGAAACGGATGTCACATTGGTGACATCTGTACAGAGCATGGTTTCGGAGACGGTGAAATCCTTTGGACGCATAGACTACGGTTCGTCCTTTCGATCTGTCGCTCGCCTATACTGATACAGGGAATGCAGCTGCGAATGTCGCCGGCATCACAACGACTGCCAGAGTGCCCACGGCCCAGTATCCGCACCAAGAGTATAACAAGCTTCTGGAGATCAACACAAAGGGTACTATGATTTGTATGCAGGAGCAGATCAAAGCCATGCAAAAACAAAGTCCAACCTGCACTCCGGGAATCGACAATCCACTGCGAGCACAGAGAGGAAGCATCGTCAATATTGCCTCAGTCACCGGATTCGCAGCTTTGCAAAATATGATGCCATACAATGTATCAAAGCATGCCGTCATAGGACTCACGAAATCGGCGGCGGTTGATCATGCCCCATCGGACATTCGTATCAACTCAGTGTGTCCAGGCATGACTGAGACGCCCATGGTTGCATCTGGGAAAGTGTCGGTCTCTCCACCAACCACACGTCGAGGCTGGGCAGTGGAGGGGAATGGACGGCACAGACTTGCTATCCCTGAGGAAATTGCTGATGTTTGTATTTTCTTGAGCGGGTGCGGGGCTAGCTATATGTCAGGATCGCCTGTTACCGTTGACGCCGGACATTTGGCAGCATTACGGTATGACGGTAAATTGTCCCACAACCTGTGAATTTATTAAGGGGCTGAATCCCAAATATGGTGCCCGATGTGCAGGATATACAAATCTACTTGGACAATGAATCGAATTTACGTGTTCGAATTATTTCCAATCACTTAATTCAACGCTCAACGTTGGTCGAATACAGAAAAGGTATACTTACATTATAATAGAGGGCTTCAGGCTCATGCGTCACTAGTAGACTCCGTGGAAGATTTTGATCTGTTTGATTTCTCTGGGCCTTGCCTTTGCAGACTGTGAGCATGCCACAAAGAGTCAGGTAGTTTATTTTGCAGCTATGCCTATAAGAAGGGGCCTGATCTCTTCTCGTTTAGATAGCATTCCAATCGATTCAAGCAGTCATTTTCCTACAATTTACTCTGACATAGTCATCCTCTCAGCTTCAGATTTCTCTGCCATCGCCTTTGACTTTTAACGACAGGCTATCTCCGGATTCCCTTCGCCAAGCCCCAGTGCCGGTAAATTCTGCACATATTGTTCCGACCCAGCGGATTATTTGCACCCTTGTAGGATAGACGCCCCGTATTTGTAGCAAATGAAGGAAAACTGGCATGCATAGCAGCAACAAAAAGGAGGCGACTGACGGTGCCCAGTGAAGTTCCATTGTAATATACGTCCATGGCGCAATGCTTGGTAACATAGCACCAAATATGGACCCTAGAACGGTATGAGCTCCCAAGGCAGACGCTGCATCGATCGCGTAAGAGTCGATGAGCTAGTTCATGATCCTAAATTACAATGACACCGATTCTAAATGGAGCAGAGCCAGTGATGCAGACTGATCAGTGGATGAGAAATCCGTCCCCGCAAACCAGAATTGACTGACAGGGATTGCTTGGGCGCCGGGCTCACCCATGCTGAGTCGGGTCTCCTGAGTTGTGTATTCATTCTGAAGATCCTAGACTCTTGTGTAATGGAAGTTTGCGAATACCGTGCAGGTTATCCTGAGTATCATGGCGACCAGCACACCCGGGAACGCTAACCTTCGCAGACCCGAAATCCAGCTGCGTATATCTTGAATCACTATGTGAAAAACAGCAAAGAGAATATATATTATTTCATGAACTATGGCAGTATATACAACAGAGAGAGTTACGATTGGTTCGTTGAGGGAAAACACCAATGGTCTATAAAAATAACCTCTAAGCAGCTCAAAAAAAAGGGACACTGTCCTCCTCGCGCGCTCACGGCGCTTCCATACAACGAGGGGGACGTTCAGCGCGTCTAAGAAGAATAACAAGCGCATACGTGTCTGGAACAAAGAGTGTCGCAGGATCCAGACTACCCCGGCAGCGATCGCAAGAAAAGCCTCCACCCATCTCAACCCTGCTCTTTTACCGAGAGAGCCACCAACTCTGGCACCTAGCGATGGACCTAAGAATGGAACTGCGACAATAAGCTGAGAATAAGCACTCTTCACTTTGCTTGGAACAAGTCCGAGATGATTTCACCAGCATTGCTCAATGGCGCTGAGCCAAAGGAGCCGACAAAGAAGGAAAATCCACAGCGACCAAATTATTTGGTGAGGTGGCACAGCTCGCCAGAAATGCGGCCATGCCGAGTAAACTGATGAAGAATTATAGTTGGTGACCCCAGACTTCGCTCAAGGGGGGCCAACATACCGGCCCGATCGCGAAGCCAAGGACATACAACGATACACCGAGGGTTCCAACATTTGCGGGAATATTGAATTTAGAGACAAGTCCGACACTTTCGCTGTATGCGAGGGACGTCAAAAGGACAACCAAAGTAGAAGAGGCGGCGACAAACGTGATGCGTAATTTTGTAGCAAGTCTGAATTGGTGTAGATCATAACAGTCGTTGGGGGTTCAAGACCCCATAACAGGATCTTCATGCGTACCTTATCCCGGGTAGGCGTCGTCCAAAACTTCCGATGTAATCGAGACACGGTTGTTGACCAGGAAGCACCAACCAAGAATATTCGCAAGAAGATCTTTCTTTTGTTGAGTATTTTGCAAGAAAGACTAATATCTTAGCACAATTACCTTTTCAATATTCAAAAACAATGGTTATTATCGAGTTTGTGCATTTTGTGCAAGTGTTGTTCATGTTCACGCCGGGAATCATATCATTCCGCGGAAAGACATTTCGGCTAGCCGGAGACACTAATTGACCCAATTCAACAGGGTATGATTGTTATGAGGTGCCTAAGAAACATGTCCGTAAATGCGTATGGTGCGATTCATTATCCAGCACACCCTGAATCATTCCGCGGAAGTGCAATCTGGCTGGTGCGTTGCAATCGGGAGATGCGCGGTCGGAACGTCCGCCTCCTACCGGCTCGCTCGGCTATATATTAGTTCTACTGTCCAATTACAACACAGAAAAACTGTTCTATGAAGATATCAACAATCGGATTCAGATTGCCCACTCGCCATTATGACCAGACAAGCGAAAGACGATGCCCTGAAAGCCTACAAAGAGGTCCTCCCATCGACGGTATCGGTAGGAGAAGCCACCGAAGCCTACAACGGGGTCGATGACGTGGCATACGCCATATCAAGATTACCCCTGGGCACTCCCCGAAAACTGAAAGTACTGTGCGTTGGTGCGGGCTTCAGTGGATTGGCATTTGCACGACAGGTTGAACTAGGGAAGTTGCCTAACGTTGGTCTCACCGTATATGAAAAGAATGCCTCTGTGGGTGGAACTTGGTATGAGAATCGCTATCCGGGGTAAGTACTTCCCACTTCGACACAATTGTGGCGGGGGAATAAATGCTAACATCTGACTCATGTAAAGATGCGCGTATGAACTTCTTCCTTTCCATCGCTATAAGACACTACTGACTAGGGTCCTAGCTGCGACATTCCTATACATAACTACCAGGTATGGTGGTTTTTCTTTCACTCCTATTGCCTATTCTTTCAGTTGTTCCAATTTTCTATCTTTAGTACACGGCAAGTACTGACAACGTTCCAGTTCTCTTGGGCCCCTTGTCCATACTTCAAGAGCTACTATGCTACTGGAAATGACATTCACAAATATATCGAAGCAGTGGCCGACCAACACAATCTGCGGAAATATGTCAAGGTATCTTATAAGGTAATTGGAGCTAAGTGGCTCGAAGACCGTCAGAAATGGGAAGTGAAGATTGTCGCAACTGATGGTAGAGACTTAATGGTGAGCAACCGGCTTAACCGCGATGGGGAGTCCGGGGAGCCTTTCACAGAAGAATGTGATATCTTGATTAATGCTGGAGGTTGCTTCAATGACTGGAAGTGGCCAGCAATTCCAGGCAAGGAAACTTTCAAAGGCGAGATGATTCATTCGGCTGCATGGCCGAAGGAAACTGATCTGAAAGGCAAAACCGTTGCATTGATTGGCAACGGTAGCACTGGAGTACAGATCCTTCCTAATATCCTTGACGATGTGAAGAAGGTCTATGTTTACATCAGGAGCAAGACCTGGGTAACAGCTAGCTTTGCTCAAAAGTTTGCTGGTCCTAATGGTTCGAATATCTTTTTCACAGAGGAACAGAAGCAACGTTGGGCCGAAAATCCTGATGAGTATCTTCAATATAGAAAAGAAGTTGAAGGAGAGTTAAACTCGCGTTTCAGACTGTACCTTAAGGATTCAAAGGCACAGAAGGAGGCCCTTGCATACTCCATCTCCCAAATGACCGAAAAGCTATCATCTAAACCGGAAGTTGCCGAGAAGCTGATTCCAAATTTTGCTGTCGGGTTAGTTAGTCTCTCGCATCTTCTACTGATCCGCATCGACTAACCAAACCTTAAAAACAGATGTCGGCGCACAACGCCCGGAAACGGCTACCTTGAGGCTCTCTGCTCCCCTAAAGTCGAAATAATCTGGGGAGGGGTGGACTCCTTCAATGAAACCGGACTTTTAGCAGCCAACAAGACTCAGCAACGTGACGTCGACACCATTATTTGTGCTACAGGATTCAACATGTCTTTCTCCCCTCGCTTCCCGATTATTGGACGGAATAATGTGAACCTACAAGAGAAATGGGATGATAACCCAGAGTGTTATTTGTCTGTGACTGCTGCTGATATGCCCAATTACTTCATCTACCTTGGGCCAGCTAGCCCTCTTGGTCATGGAAGCGTGGTCAGCTCATTGGAGCGTGTGACAGAGTACATCACCCAGTTCGTCCGGAAACTTCAGACGGAGAACTATAGCTCTGTCGTACCGAAGGCGCACATCCCTCGTGCATACCAACGACAGGCCCTCGCTTGGCTGGAAAAAACTGCCTGGAACTCGAATTGCACATCTACGTACAAGAATGGCAAGCCAGATGGTCCATTGGTTTCACTTCATCCGGGGTCGAGATTACACTACTTCCAACTTTTGAAGAACCCTCGCTGGGAGGACTTTGAGTGGACCAGCTTGTCTAGAGACGATGATCTTACTTTTGCTTGGCTAGGTAATGGATTTGTCGTAGAGGAATGCAAAGAAAATCCTGAGGAGGATCTGACGTGAGTGATCCCGATTTATATGATTTTTAAAGCCTGACTGACCGCCATCTCGTTCTGATAGTTGGTTCCTCCCGCCAGTTGAAGCTAATCAGATGATCAAAGCCAGTTTTTGAGAGCTCATTCTGAGGTTAGGATACCATGTTATATTTGGATTAGAGTGGCGGCGCGTTAGAATGGATAGAATGTTATGAATACATGGAATTGAATGTGTGGTCTTTGGATATTGAACGACCATACTGCCCACATCCATCGCTCATTCCATCATGGTAGGAATACATGTATTTCAGTCTCAGGACACCGCCATACATTAATATCTCATATTTAGCGTTATCTTTCATAGGGGCTGCCCTTTGGCTACTTCAGCTCTGTAAGTATGGAACTTAGTGTCTTATTGTTAAGCATTTACAATCACGCACCCTGTAGTTCATCAGGTCTCGTCAACTCAGGATTTCAAGAGACCCACTGTACTCTTGTGTGGCTTGCAATACCGTTCTGTTTCGGGCATCATCTGTATTTTCGTGAGAAAGAGTTCAACTCTGGGAGATTTCAGGAATTAAGGCTTCCGGTGGATATAGAAAGAATACATGGGTATCCCTACGGTTAAGCATCTAAACAAAGACGATTCTCCATTGGCTATAGAATTTCTTGATGTGAATTCATACAGAACCTAGTCAATTTACGTTGTACTCCATGTCTTTGTCTCTGCGACTCGACGTTCTATATGCGAGCAGAGGGACCAGGTCGCAGACGTTGGAGTTGAGCTGGCCAAGCGACATCAACCCCAAGCTCATCAGCAATTCTCAAGACCCAATCAGGTTCTCTCAGAAACTGCCGACCAATAGAAATAACATCAACACCGGGTCCACTTATGGGGCTACCTTGCACGAGATCGCGGGCTTGCTGGGCTTTGGTAATCAAGCCGACCGTTCCAATCAATAGGTCGCTACCTTCTGCCTGGAGTGTTTGCTTGATCGTCAGGGCAATCTCTCTATGCTTTACTCCACCATCAAATACGTTGAATCGGGCTTGATGGTGGTTCCCACCCAAACTGATATCAATCAGGTCCACTCCCAGGCTTGGAAGCAACTTGACCAATTGGACAGTTGACTCTACTGTCCAACTCCCCAGCTTTTTTCCTATCTCAGTATCCTCCAGCCAGTCGGATGCGCTGACTCGGACGAAGATAGGCATGCTTTCTGGTATGACCGCTCTGACAGCTGAGATGACCTCCAGGAGGAGACGAACTCGATTGTCAAAGCTCCCTCCATACTGATCCGTTCGGCGATTGGTAACAGGGCTGAGAAACTGATTTATGAGATACCCATGGGCCGCATGGATCTCGAGCACGTCAACCCCGGCTTTCACGGCTCTCTCGGCTGCACGCGCATAGTTCGACACTAGTTGTTGGATTTCGACCTCTGTCATTGCCTTGGGGACGTGATAGCCTCCAGATAGGTCGAGGCCTTTGCCGTCCCATGATTGTTCAACACCTCCCGAGGGACCAAGCACGTCATCTGGCCAGCCGCCGTCGTCGCTGGAGGCTCGTGCACTTGATTTTCCGAGTTGTTGTGCAACCAGCGGAGGCTGAGTGCTTGACTTCCTTCCAGCATGAGATAGTTGAACCCCGCAGAGACCACCCTGGGAGTGGATGAAGTCCGTGATTTGTTGCAGACCTTGTTGCTGGGCCTCGTTCCATAGGCCAGGGCAATGGGGCGTGATACGGCCGTTTGGCTGGACACCTGTCGCCTCAATCATCGCGAGTGCGGCCCCTTTGAAAACGTTGTGACCAATCGTGGTGATGTACAGCGGTGTCAACACTCCCGTCGAAGGCCCTGAGGAGGCCAAGGAATAAAGGCACATGGGAGAAACGCATATTCTATTTCGAAGTGTAACGCCGCGGATACTCAAGGGTCGAAATAACTTAGGTGTATTGTCGTCGATTTCGTACGGCATGCCAGCCGTTGGGGTGAGAGTTTTCAAGGGCTTGGCCATGTTGTTCTAAATGAAACAATGAACAGGAAAACTGTGAAGGCTGGGGGCCGAAATGACATATATATACAAATCGGAGGAAACTCGGTCACGGAACAGCCTCAATCTTATTTTGGATTCCGAGAACCTGCCGTTCCGCGGAACGCTCAAACCGTGACCACCAGCCGGAGTACCGAGGTCAGGGTTGCATCTTCAGCCATCATCTCGGTAGCTGTTCTTGGGATTTCTCCTTTTCTTGGGTACAAATATGAAGCGCTCTTTTTCACCATGCTTTCGTTCTGACTACGCTTCATCTAGCACCCACATTAGACACAGGCGTTTAGTACAAACAAAAATGCCAGGGCTTGACCCTCACGGAAAGAAGGCCATCATCACTGGTGGTGGCTCAGGTACATCTCTCCTACACTGCAGTCAGAAACGCTTACTTACCTACCAGCAGGGATTGGTTTTGCTCTCGCAAAGGCACTGTATGAAGCCGGCTGCTCCGTCCTTGTAGCCGACCTTGGACTTCATCCCTCAGCGAAGCAATGGCTCCGTATGGTCGAAGCCCGTCCGGGGCCGAAGATACAATTCCAGAAGACGGATGTGACCGACTGGACACAACTCGAAAGGGCCTTTGATATCCTGGAGAAGGAGTTTGGAGAGGCTCCAGATATCGTTGTCCCTGCTGCTGGAGTGTACGAGCCGTCCTCTAACGGCTTTTGGGACGATTCGGACAGCGCTTCACAGTACAAAGTCTTCGAGGTGAATATCACGCATCCGATCAAGATGTCCCGAATGGCTATCCGGAGGCTGTGCCGCGCTCGAAAGCCAGGCGTCATCGTCCACGTCTCCAGTATAACAGCCCAGATTCCCAGTGTCGTCAATCCTCTTTATTCAGTTTCGAAGCAAGCGGTCAGCCAGTTTGTAAGATGTATGGCGCCATTGGAGGGTTTGGCGGGTATTCGAGTTGTTGCCGTTGCCCCTGGGTAAGTCGTCATCTAGCAATCCAGGTTGAGGTCTGATGATGGTTTCACTAATGTGTGATACACGGTAATAGGGTGGTGGACACGCCTCTCTTTCGTGACAGTGCTAAAGCTCGTCAGCATATAGATTTGGAAAAGGACTTTGTCCTTCCTGCAGAGGAGATCGTCAAGGCTATTAAGTTCCTGGTGGCAAGCCCGAAATACCCCTCGGGGACAGTGCTTGAAGTTGGCGATATCGGTGGATGGCGAGAAGTAGGTTTATTCCATGATTCTGGGCCTCAAGGACGCTCAACTCTGCCGAGACCAAAAGCGAAAAATGCCATCGCTCTTGTTGAGCAGGCTTTAAGAAATGACGCTGCACAAGGTCAAAAGGATGCTGAACCACATCTGTAAGTTGGGACAGAGTTTCAAATGTGTCAACAGAAATGGATAGTTGGTATGGAGCCAAAATATAGCAATCAGTAGGATAATTCAGTTGTTCTACTACAGAGTACGTTTTAAGGAAACAAGCCGTCAAATTTGCGTAAACCCCTTGCAAAGGAGAGATGAATAGGGAAAGGAAGAAAATTGTGGGTCAGCAAAAAACATACAACAGCATTACTCTGACGGTGCCCACCCAAGACTACTAGTGGGCATCCTGACTCTCTTACCAGTCCTTTAGGATCTCCTACAGTGATCTGGATATTCCTTATCTAACGAAAGAGCCAAAAGCACATTCTAATACTCATACATATTCTTCCCGCCAGAAATCCCTCCAGGAGAATTCGATTCAATTCAATTCAATCCATATCCCTATACTTCATCGAGCCCGCTGAAGTAAGATGCTAGCTATGCAGGTACATCCACGTGTAAAACAGAAATATATTCTTGAACACTGTCAACTTTTTCAGAATTCTGATAGAAATTTAACTTGGTACAGAACATACTAATGTAGAGATAGGATGTTTGTAATCAATAAGCTTCCTTCAATTATTTACTATAACATATGTTGAAGCAGTAATACTAGTAGGCATGGTCACGTGACTAGATAGCACCATACCAGGAACCCCTTCCTCGCGCCTCTTGCTACGCGACCCCTAGATAGCAATAACAACACTCATATCTCCCTATATTCTTGCTTCCTGCTGGTAGAGTCCTTCCAACAATATATATAGTAGTTCATACTAAAAGAGCTTTATTTTGATCTCTTTTTAGGTCCTTTTTCATATCACATGAAAAGTTTTCATTCCGATTCACATCTGTTTCAGATACGGACCATCTGTCACCAAGTATCAAATGGCCTGAACTAGAGCATGCTGCGTTGTCCGAATTTCAGGCATAATGCTGTCTCTTGTGTCTATCTTCGGCAAAGCCCGACAGTTTGGCTTATTTTCGGATGATTAAACCAACTTCAGGTCCTCCAACCATTTCCTTATCCATTCAGGTCTCACGGAGCCCAGTTCCTTCAGAGTCAAACTCTTCTGTGGGGCTTTCACGCATTCATAATTGGATTCACTGGCCAGCAAGCTCCTATAGAACCCAAGGATTTTGCGTGCAGGGTTTGGTGTATGAGGGTCATCGGGCTCTGGTCCTGTAGCAACACAATCAATCCACTTCGACAATGGTTCTGCGCGGCTGATATTTAGAAGACGCCGCACCACTGGCAGAGCATATCGATTCCACATTGAAGAAACAGGATTGGTGAGGTGATAGACCCGAGAACTGGTTGCAACTTCATCCTTCTCTTCTGAGTCAAGAATCTCGATGATCACTTGAGCGAGAATATCAACAGGGATCCAGTTCATGCTTTCCATGCCACCAAGCGTTATCGGCAGAACGCCTAGGCTCTTGGAAGTAGTGAGAATGCTGGGGAACCACTCCTGAGCATTCCATGCCGCACGAGATTGTCCAATAGGGCCCGCTATTTGACCAATTCGGAGTATAGTCGATGGAACTGCACCGTTGGAGCTGACTGTGGCCATCTCTAGGAGCATCTCTGCTACAAATTTAGATTCCCCATAGCCCATATGCGCTGGTGCAGATAGATTAGGAATAACATTTTCTGGGATCAAACCGTCTCGTGATCTGACTGAAGATAGACTGGAAACGAAGCAAATCTTGGTTCCCTTCGTAGATTCGGAGCTGAAGTCAATTAAACGTCGCACCCCAGCAATGTGGATTTCCTCGTAAGACTCCAGTGACAGGTTGAAGTTGACGGGCCACGCGTTGTGGATTACGTGGGTCACTTCCAGCCTGAGACTCTCATATACTTCCTCAGGAAGTCCAAAAAATTCAGCGCCAATGTTATTAGTCTGATAAAAGGTTACCGGGCATTGCTTGCGCGCCTTCCTCTCTTGGGCGAGGTCAAATTCCTCCCACTTCTGGGCCGCGATGGCAGACCGATTGATACAGATCACTTTTTCAATTCGCGGATGGCCAATTAGGGCACTCAAAAGAAAGGTTCCGAGGGATCCGGTCGAGCCTGTCAGGGCGACCGTCCAGTAAGAGCTTTTGTGGCAGTCCCCACCAGCCAGCTTCCGTGGCGGAGTGGTCCAAACCCATCTATTGATGATCTTTTGTATCCTTTCCTCCCTTGTCAGTTTCTCATCTTCTACCTCAGATCCTGATGATGACTGGTAGAGGATGGTTTTCAACATAGTTGATAGAGCTGTTATGGACGGGCTTCCATAAATTACTTTGGCATCAACCTGCTTTCGGATAGACAGATTTAACAACGCAAACTGCATCGCACGAGCCATGCGTAAGACATGCAGGGAGTCCAAACCAAGCATAAAAAGGTCCGAATCAGGGTCTATTGGAAAACTCCAGCCTGTGACCCGTAGAACAAGCTGCTCAATAAAGGGCGTGACGGATTCAGGCATTCGTAAATCAATACCAGGTGGCACATCATCATTACCCATTTCCGATGGGTTCTCCTCCACTCGGAGAAACATTTTCTCAATTTTATCAGCGTACAGAGCAATTGTCGGTTGTCGCCGAATACTGTATTTAGGAGTTCGAAGAAACGGTTTCTCGGGGGAAGAGAACAGGACCAGAGACTTTGTCAGTTGTCCATGCTTGGGTGCTTTCTTGTTGGCTTCTGCTACAAATGGCCAGATCTCATCCACCAGTTTTCTTTTCTCGGTTTCCCCATGCATATCTACCCCAGTGATTTCCAAAAGTAACCCAGGCTGGAATTTGCCTTGGCCATTCACGAGAGCGCCTGTAATTGCCGGATGACGTGTTGTTAGAGCACTTTCCATGTCTACGGGATTTAGCTTTTCCCCATTTGAGAGAACAAGGACATCGTCGGCTCGGCCAACGGGTCGCCAGTGATTGGTCTTTGTTGGGTGCGGTGAGTAGAGGTCTCATGTAGGCCATTCCAGCTTGTCGGGGAACAGCTCAAATACGGGCTGTAGTCCTGGGAATGCGAATGGAAGGCGTGTGACCACCAACTCACTCAATCCACCACCCACTGGTCGCATCTCCACTCCACTCCACGGGTGGAAGTGGAAATACTGCCAATCCTGAATAGGGTCATGGAGCTCAAGAAGAGGTAACAAACCTATCTCTGTGCTGCCAATATAATGGTGACAATTCGGTTGTCGAGCGATCAAAGCATCGCCAGTAGCCTTCGACATTGGACCACCCAAATTGCACGAATCTGAGATTACTCAATGTGTTGAAATAAGACGGTGTCGCGATCATCTGTTCAACCAGGTATGGAGGAAGTACACACCCGTCACACTTACCATGGTGTATAATACTGTCCACAACAGTGCCACTGAGAGGGACGCCCTGGGGTTGGAATACCATCATGATGTCGTGGTAAAGAGATTTCAGCAGACCAAGGAGCACTCCTCCGGCCTGAAGATATTATCAGCCGTATTGGAAGGAAAACCACCATGGACCAGGTGTAAAGAAAAGCATCAGAAAACATACATGGAAGAGTGGAAAAGCCAGAAAGAGACGACATTGGCCGTAAAATGGCTTCCGCGTTAGTATATCCCAATCGCCATGTTTCGGGTAATATTGTAAAATATCTTCGTGGAAACCGTAGCCCTGATTGAACCTCACTAATTTTGGAATTCCCGTAGTGCTAGAGGAGGACCGTGAGTTAGCCTGAATAAATATATCAGGGTATGCAAGTCCTAAATTAGCTAACCTGGATGTGTGGAGAGATACCAACGGGTCAAATCTTGCAGTTTCGACGGTTTTGTGGTACGGGAATTCAGGGACTGGAGTATCTTCCAACAATTCTTCTTGTTCAGCAACCACAAAAATCGAAGTTGGACCGTTGTTACTGGGCCTAGCAGCTAGAAGGCTCTGAACTCTATCCTTCATCGATTTAGAGCAGACCATCTTCTGACAACCAGCTTCGTTCATCACTGCATACTGGGCTTCATCACTGTTCCGGGTTGACAGAAATAGCATCTGTAACCGTTAATAATAAAGCGTGTTACTTGGTGTGTACAAGACATACTTGGAAGCCAGCTTTGACTGCGGCAAGGGCGAGGATGATATATCGTGAATCAGGAGGACCCAGATATGCGAGAGTCTCAAATTTGCTTTGTGCCTCGGATATCCCTTTACCGATGTGGTCTCGAATCCAGAAGGCTGCACGATCAACTGCCGTGGCTGGTCGGGAAAAGCTGATATCATCATAGCCATCCACGGCATCCATTGGATTTCGAGCAATTGAACCCCATATCTTCGAAGGGATATCTCCGGCCGTTTTAGAGACAACATCAATGAGAAGACGTGGGGCTGGAAGACCTTTAACGTCATCCATAGTAATGGCACTGATACTTTCACGTTACTTGATGCTTCAAATGATGGTTAGGAAAACTTTAGAACATTGTGGTTCGCAGTAATTGATGTAGATTGCCAATCTACTTATATGTATACTATGGATCCCTTGACCGGGGAGCTGATATATTCGGATCATTTTATTTGTTTTCCCAGATTTCCGAAATTCTCGGAACTAGTACCTCATTCCAAACTTGTCTCGTCTTTCTATGTTCTGTATATTGGCCGCCTATCTCATTCATAACTTGAGTTTAGCTCTCCGTCACTTAAGCTTCGAACCAATGATTCATTCCGCGGAACTGATGTTCTTTGTTTCCGAAAGGTTGCTGCGTAATTTGGGCGAGAGAAATATCCGAATGGGAAAAATACCCGAGTCAGTTACGGAGTACTCCGTTGACGTGATGAGCTCGTCTAGATCGCTAGCGGAAACGTCTTGGTGCATTTTTGAATGATTTGAGTAGCACTGATAAGTTCCCGGGCCGCTTACACCCTCGCACGCTGCTAGGAGTGATAAAGCTTCAGTCTAGTAGGGAAATCTTCACAATGGGATAACAGTGGAATGATATCTGATAAGTTCAAAACTAGTATTATTTAATAGCACTTTGAACATAGAATATAATAATATAATTTCTATTTTCTTAATAAATTGTTCTGTAGGATTATAAGTATTTAAAGATAATAATATTTATTTGTAAACTTGACTAGTATATATAACAGGAATTTAATCAGCTTAATATATATAACAGAAATTTGAATTACATTAATATGCTCTTCTATGAATACTAAGTTTAATTGAGTCTATTGAAATATTGCTCTAATGTAGAGTGATTAACAGCCAGGGTTAGAGTGGTTAACAGCCAGGGTAGGGTAGGTTAATGGAAATATACCTGCCGTCAGGTTAACGGTTAGGTATAAAATATATTTATACCTAACCGCGGTTAACCTGAATTCACTTAATTATCCTAATCAAGCTAGTCCAGGCAGAAATCGGGCAGAAATCTATTGCCAAACTGACCGCCTACTTAATTAAGCCTAATTTCTGCCTAATTTCTGCCAGATCAGGTATAATGGTTAACCGCGTTTAATAGATTTTTATACCTTAACCTAACCGTCAGGTTACGGTTAAATTTAGGTTAACATATAACGGTTAGGTATAACCACTCTAGCCAGGGTAGGATAAGTTAATAGAAAAATTTAAGGAAAAGGACTTGGTTAAGCTATTAATCTAAAATCTATAATTTAAAAAATTAGAAAGCTGGGCAAAGTTCATAAAATTTTTTTAGATTTTGAAATATTAAATTTTAAACATATTGTTTATACTTATCTAAAAAAATATAATTGAATTTATAATATATTCTATATCTCTCTGTTAAAACTATAAAATAATAAAAGAAATAATAAAAAACTACTAATATTATAAAAGCTAAGATTACTATCTGATTAAATAGATAGAATGTCTAAGTAAATATAATTAATGAATTTTAAATAAGAATATAACAGATACTTAACAAATTATAGGAGATTATCAGAAGAAATAGAAATAATATAAAGTATAAATTCATAGATCATTACTACATAGCTAAATATACTAATTACTAAAAGATATAATATTATTCTACTATAACATGATAGATAGATATATATATATGTAGTTTATATTATTATGGAATAGATCTCCATATTATAAAGAACTTAGTTAGCTAGTCTCATGCCACTAGCTGACGAACTGTTATCTATATATAAAATACTAAGTTCCGGTGATCCTGTCTAAACACCAGCTATTCCTTCTTTTTTTATAGGTGATATATTCTTAGAATGAAGAGATAATCCCTAATATTAGAAATAGCTTGTTTAAATAATTTATAAAACAGAGCCTTAGATACATAATACATTATAAAAACTTCTGACTTAAGTTAGGAGTTTATTTCTATTTAAAAGTTTTATTATAAAATATATTTTATAAAAAATGATACATTATTTCTGGTAGTTTATACTGTAATACCCATGATTACATAATCTATATTTATAGTAGTATTTAAAGAGTAATTAAACTCGGTACTTTTTTACAAACTATAACATGGGATTAATAGTCTTTATAAAAAAATCATATTAATATAATGAGGATATGTAATTATAATGCGACTTTCTAAGAGTAAATGATTTTTCTTTTATTAATCTTAGTAAAATACACAAGTTTCTTCTGCCACACACAGTCAGTATAGTCTTTAAGTTGTCACACTTCATGGTTTGCGTGCGACACAGACCACACGAGGCATCGAAAGAGCAGCGCCCCGAGCAGCCTCGGTGCTGACCTCGGCCAAAAGTACGTCCAGATCACGGGCCTCCAGCTCCAAACCCTTAGCCCTGAGGGTCCCAGCAAACTCCAGCATCGTCATCAGATGTTGGTGGCCGTTGGCCATGATCAAGTCCCTGCGGTCAGTGAAGTGGTGCATGCAGGCGCCGACAAAGCCCTCGCGGGTGAGGATCTTGTCCAGGCACATAACCCAGTCGTGGCGGCCCTTGGAATAGACGAACTCGCGCAGGCGGTCGAAGGCGGGCGTTGGAGACGTTGGATCGATACGAGTGACGTGGGTGTCCGGGTAGTTGAGATCGTCCCACTGGATATAACCGCCGGGTTTGAGCATGCGGTGGGCGTAGCGGATGATCGGGGTGGGATCGCTGTTCTCCACCACCAGGATGAGCAGGCGGAGGTGCACCACCTCGTACTGCCCGACCAGAGGGTCCGGCAATGGGGCCAGAATGTCGGCTTGGTGCAGGTGCACGTTGGCCGGCAGCCAAGGGTGGGGCGGCGCTTTGCTGAGATCCAGGTCCAGCCCGTCCAGCTGCACGTTGGCGTCGGCGGGCAGAGCCTGCGCTAACTCCGTCAACCACAGCGCCGTGCCCGTGGCCAGGTCGGCAATCCGTCCGGTGGTGGGGAGGGGGATCGAGGGGTGCAGGGTGAATCCAAGTGAGGCCCTCCAGAGGAAGATCTGCAGGTTCAGGCGGCACATGGCCAAGGAATCGTGGCCCAGGGTGTACCCTTTGCCGTCGGCTAGATGAAAGCCAGCTACTTGAGTAGAGACGGTCATTGCTTGGGCTTGGCTTTCGTGGTCTGGATATCAGACTTGTGGATTTAATGAAAGGGAGTGTGGGTGGCACGACAGGGATATATGACCGGTGCATCGGTCCCTCCAAGCTTAGCGGAAGCGAAAACCACTAGGGTATATATTCAGAAATAACGATTCATGCGTAAGCCCTACAAACAGCCCTGAAAACCATAAATTCAGGCCCCTCCCTTAAGAGAGACATGGACGGACTCAACCTTGGCCCAGCAAAATTCCGCCTAAAATCATGTCAGCCCCGTCATCCCTTTTGGTGGGACTTGCAGTCGGCGCCGGCACAGGCCCGGAACTAGCCGCGGTGTTCGAGCAAGTCATCCACGCCCTGGCCACGCCGTATGGGACAAAGATCGACTTCTTCCGCTCCCCTCGGATCTACAATTCGTATTCATCGCTGCTCGCCGCTAACGAGATCGACGCCGTGACCGAGGAAACGCGGCAGGACACCATCCACTACCGGCAGTTCTGCGAGGAGGCCGCCGCGCGAGGCGTGCGAGCCATCTTCCGCACCTCAATCTCGGCGCAGGCGCTGTATCTCGTGCGCGAACAGCTAGAAGCCGTTAAGTGCGAGCATTACTGGCAGAGCCCGACCACGTCGCTGGTGCTGGTCCGTGACCAGGCGCAAGGATTCTACGGGGGGATCAATGAGGTGGAGAAGGATGGCAAGGCTGTGTCGCGCACTGTCCACTTTCGCAAGGCCATCTTCGATCGCATCATCGCCTTCGGCCTGACTCGTGCGCGGCAGCTCCTTGAGGCACGAATCACGGGTGCGGCTGCCATCGACACTATCACGCTCGTCTACAAGTTTCACCTGTTTGACGGGCTATTTTTACAATGGGCGCGCGATTGGGAGCAGACCTACGGGGTCACCGTCCGCTGCGTGCAGGGAGACACCATGAATCGGAACCTGTTGGCCGCTGGAGGGATTGAGGGCCACCAGGTGCTTATCGCCGCCAATGAGTATGCGGACCTGATGCAGACCGTGCTTCTGGACCGGTTTGGGCTCGGGGCCCAGGAGGGAGCGTGTGCAGAGAACATCTATCTGCATCCGACGGTGCACGGGCTGAGCGAATGGCAGACGGCGCATGGATCAGCCGATGATCTGACCGGGCAGGGCATTGTCAATCCCACTGCAACGATCCGGGCCGTCGCTGCAATTTTAGAGGACAAAGCGCTTTGTGTGGGAGTCAAGCATATCACGGATCTGGCCCTCCACCAGCTAGCCGTCCAGGGCTTACAGACTCCCGATCAGGGCGGCTCCGCCACCACTTTGGCATTTGTGGAAGGATTCTTGGATGCTGTTGCGGTTCTATCGACGGTTACATCTCCAGCAAGTCTTGCACCAGCTGCATCCGATACCGCGCTGGTTGTGGTGGACTTCCAAAACGACTTTGTCACGCAGTATCCACATCCGCACGACATGGAGCGGGTCAGTGCCAACATTGCGCAGCTCGTGGATCAAGCCCGCCAGGCCCATACCGAAGTCATCTGGGTTCGATTCCATGGAGATCCGGATTATCAGCCGCGAGGCTGGCGCCAACGCGACCGTGAACAACATCGCAAGCCATGGTGTCTGCGCGGAACATGGGGAGCCGAGCTGTTCGGGGCGGTACAACCTCGTGCGCAGGAACGTCAGTTCGAGAAGCGAGCCTGTTACGACCCATTCCTCGCTCCCGGATTCGAAAGTTATCTGCTGGAACGGAATTTAGAGCACCTGGTGGTGGTGGGGCTGTTCACCGATGTTTGTGTCGATGCCACGGTGCGCGGCGCCTTCCAGCGTGGGTGGTTGACGACGGTGGTGAAAGGCTGCACTGCTGGCCATCATTTCACCGAAGACCAATGGTTGGCGTACATGCAACGGGTGTACGGCACCAGAGTCTCTAAAGTTGGCGAGTTAGAGGGGGTTTGGGGGCCGGAGCAAGACCGACTAAGGATGTAGTTAAATGAATACGAGGGCAATGCAGAGTCTTAAGAGTTAGCGCCGCGGTAGCGCCGGCCCTAAATAGAGGAGAAGGAATTGGGGCCATAGGGAATGTAACCGAATTGCAAGGCAATCTCCGACTTAATATATCCATCAATCCCATCCGTCCGTTCACGCCATTGCCACTCATCCAACTTCCCTTCTGGTTCAAGACCATGGATCCTTCTGTCTGGTACCACCACGACTTGGGGTCCCGATTATCACCTGCTTGCCGGTTCGTCTATAACCGGTGGAGTAGCATCGCCGACACTGACCTTCCTGCGCACTTACACCGCGTTGTTAGTTGGACCCTGCCCTGTACCCACCCACGTATGTAATGTACACATACACCGGGTGATATTTCAGGATAAGTACTAATCTACTATTGACTCTGCCTCGACCAATCTGCAGCGAGATCGAGCCTGGCCTGTTGGACAATACCCCTGCATCGGCCAATGGATGTTTCTGCTGCCTGGCCTGGCAGGCTTCCCTGAATTTCCCTCGATTCTGGACCTCGTACGACGACCACGAGAGGCCATAGTGCTTGATCTCGCGTGCGGTCTAGGCCAGGACCTGCGGCTGCTGGCGGCCCACGCCGCCTACCCCGACGGCGCCCCGACGGCGCGCTGGTGGGCGGTTGACCTGGAACCCCGCCTGTGGGAACTGGGCTACGAGTTGTTCCGTGATCGTGATCGCATGGCAGCGCACTTTGTGGCCGGCGATTTTCGCACCCTCGATATCACCGCCGAATCATCGCCTCTGGCCCCGCTTCGCGGCAGCGTGGACCTGATCATCGCTAATCAATTCATCCACCTGTTCGACCTGGCCGATCAGCGGGAGGTAATCCGGCGGATCATTGCGCTGTCGCACCCAGGCACGACGGTGGTGGGATTTCAGCAGGGCCGGCGACAACCCCGCGAGGATGTGCGACCCTGGGGCACAATGTTTTTCCATAATCGCGACTCGTTCATCGCGCTGTGGGAATCGGGGCAGAGCGAAACCGCCACGGAATGGACCATGCAGGTGCGCGAGGTGGATCTACAGCGAGATTGGGGCTTGCAAGAGGAGGATGTGGCCTGGATGCCCGCGGATCAAGGCGGCTTGGAGTTTGTGTTTGTACGTATGAATTAGCTACAAGGATTTAGAAACCAAAGGACAAACACACGAGTAAAGACCAGGCATTGAATTCCCCACTCTCATTTGGTCTGGAATATCGGGAGCAGCCCGTTGACCAAGCCCACTGTCTCAGAGATGCGATCCACAAACGGTGCCAGGTGGCTGCACTCCATCTCCTTGACGATGAATTCCTTTTCGGTGTTGGTAATCATCCAGCGTTGCGCCTCCTTGGGCACCGCCTTGTCCGCCGCAGTGATAATAAAGGCAAGCCGTCCGGCATAGGCAACGTCTGTCCAAGCCGGAACCGGCTGAGGAGAGAAGAAAGCCAAGGACGAATGAGGTTTTAAGTAGCTATTAAGATCGCCCAGGAGTGCCTGGTCAACCTCCGGAGCGAAATTGCCGACTGGGTCGTCGACGATGTTGAGTTGCGCGGAGGGCTGCAGTGGGAGAAGGAATGGGCTGTCAGCGAGTGTGCGAGGCCACGAGAAAGAGGGGAGAAGGACACAGGATGCAGCATTGTTAACTCTCACCTTGTCGAGAAGGATCCAAGGAGGGAGTTGTCCACCCTGAAGACCGGCGCAACTGTGGCCTTCAGGAACCACAAAAGCCGCCAGGAAAATCAACCCTACAATGCCTCCAGACTTGCCCTGCTGCCGTCGTTCCACCTTGGACAATCCGCAAGCAGCCGATGCGCCAGGCATGCCGGCGTACGAGTGCATTAATAGCACCACGTCCTGGTTTTGATCCTCGACCAAATTGCGTAGCTCACGCTGAATGGCATCGCTGTCGGTTTGGCAGTCCGCCGTGGCAGGGTTGGAAGGATTGAGCGAGGGATAACCTGCCAAGTGCGTGCGGTAACCGGCTAGATTGAGAGCGACCAGGAAAGGCTGGTAGAAGTCCGGCGTGAGCCAGGCACCGGGAATCACGACGACAGTGGTCATTCCAGGATCTGGGGTTTTGGGAAGAGATGATTAAGGTGCAGACAAGGAGAGATGCTTGAAGATGAGGGAATTGACAGTGATTAGGATTGGGTCCGGACAGTATTTGTAATGGAATCTGGCAGCGCAGTCGGTTGTGGTCCCTGGGGTGATCCTGAGCTCCGGCCCCTAAAGGAATCCCTGTCGAGCTCCGGCACACCCTGGCCCTTTCTCTCCCTTTGGCGTCGGTCTTACGTGGGGCCCAAATATCGAAGCCCCCGTGTTTATAAATCTGCCCAGATCCCCCTAACTGTTGCCTGGTCGATCTGGAATGATTGATAGCCCTGGAAGTGCTATACCATGGATCTCACCCCTCCAGCCGGCTTGGATCTGACGGAATCCAAGCGTCCGGAACTGTATGGAGCCTACTCCGTCACCTATGCCCTGGCTCTCCTGGCCTTTGGTCTCCGCATCGTGTCGCGCACGCTGATCTCCAAAGCAGGTCTATGGTGGGATGATTATCTGGTCTGCATGGCGATGGTGTGTTTTCCCCTAGCTCTTAGCCTTCCCTTTGCATATCATGTTTCATGCTTCAGCCCCCCTCCAATCCCCACTGAGCAGAATGCAAGCCAGTAACAAGACCTAAACAGCTCACAGCAACAGCCAATTTCGCCACCATGATCGACTGGGTCAATCACGGCGTAGGGCAGCACATCTACTTATATGGAATCCAGGGTCTCCATCACTTCCTCTTGAACCTTTTCATCGTCGAGATTTTGTACACGCTGTCGATCTGTTTCACCAAATATTCAATCCTGATGTTCTACTGGCGCATCTTTGGCATGAGCAATATCCGGTACCCAATTTACCTCATTGCTTTTGTCGTGACGGGATGGGGCTTGGGGGTTATTTTAACAACCATCTTCCAGTGCCTCCCGGTGCATGGATTCTGGGACAAGACCATCCCCTCGCACTGCGGCGTGAATGTCAACAACTTTTTCATCGGCAACGCCGTTCCTAATATTCTCACCGACTGGGCGCTCCTGACCCTCCCGCTGCCTTATGTTTGGAAGCTGCAG